GGACTTGACGAGGGAGAACAAACTCGCTCAGTTCAACAACTGGTTCACCTGGTGTCACAACTGTCGACACGGCGGCCACGCCGGACACATGCTCAGCTGGTTCAGGTGGGACTCGCTCTGAATGCTGCACATGCTGCTATGGTCCATGTACCCTCCGTTAATTGGATTTACAATTTTATATTTTAATAATAATACTATAGCCGACACATTTAAAAAACCACAAAGCTCGCTGTGCGTCACACCTGAAACAATTAGTCCAGACTTTAAATAAACTAATGGCTGCTCACAGCGCCACCCAACAATAGAAACGACAAACTAGTCAAAAATATTCGGTAGAAAATGCAAAATGGGACAATTTTCAAGTATATCAAGAGTTTATAACAAAAAGAATCAGACAAATGCTGAGAGTTCTTCTTATAGTCAACAGTAATTCCTGCCGTTATTACAGCTTCTTTTTTTAACCCAAAAAAAACAAAAAAATTTGGAAGGGAAAAAGGAAAAAAAAAAATATTTTTTTTTTTTTCCCCCCCTTAAATATGTTGTAACATTGTCCATGTTGATCCTGCTAAGAAGGATGACTCCGTTTCCGGTATAAACTGGCTGATTAGAGACACTGTACCGCCTTTTGAGCGTAAAACCTAAACCTCCTGTTTTCTTAAACCCAGTCCTAATACTGTACGTTTAACACTGGTGCTACAGTAGCTACCTCTTGTGGCAGGCAGATAAATCTTAAATATATATTTTTAATGAAATGAATTCTTTTAAAACATATAATTCTATCAAAATATTTGAGATCAAATGTAATTTAATGTAAGTTTTGCATTTCCTGTAATATTTTGTTTCATTATCAGCCTTCTACGTAGTCACGTTCATTGGTGCATACGTCCACGATTAGTTACGAGCTAAAATGTGATGGCAAGATAAGTGGAGGTAAAATGAATGGTTCAAAAACACTGCAGTCGTGGCTACAAATAGGAGCTATTAGGGACTGAATTTCGGACCAGGAGTACCCTTTTTCTTCCAAATTATTTGTGGTTCTTGAACCGCTTTCACTCAGGATTCAGCTACAGTCAATAAATATACTTTCGATAAGGAATAACACTGAATGTGATCGGCCTACGCTGTTGTATTTTAACGTTGGCCGTAATGGTGGTACTTACAGAGCCTAATATTTTAGTGGTAGGCACTGTAAAAGATAACCTATAGTTATCTATTACAGACAAAGGCAATAAGAGATTTTCTCAAAATTAATTTGTTTGATTTTTGTTCTGGAAATGAAAATTCAATGAATGGCAGGTACACGGACCTGTTAGGGCCTTCTGTGTTCTTGTGGTCAGGATGTGCAAACTTCTGTATCATCTATTGTTTACACATTTCTTCTCATCCGCGTCTTCTTGTTCTTTTAATCTACCTACATGTGTCTATTACAGAGACCACACAGAGTGCCCAGTGTCGGCCTGCACGTGTAAATGCATGCAGCTGGACACCACAGGGAACCTGGTGCCTTCGGACAGCAGCTAAACAGGAGACGCCTGTCGGAAACTGAAGCCAAACACCAGCCCAAAGCCAACCAGTGCAGGTTCACTGCTGCACCCGCCACACCGACAACTGGGCAAGGGACAAAGGGTGCCAGCAGTGTCCTCTCTCTGGACTGGCTGCTTGAATAGAATGACATACTGTTAAGTTATAGTCTAGTGAATGTAACGTCGTAACAGGAGCCCTATATGAAGAAGGGAGGCAGTGTGTGTTACTGATCTCACTAACTGAATCAACGACAGAAAGGGAGCAAATGCAAACTCACTACTCTGCTAATGAAAAATCTCACTCAGGAGAAATACAAGAGGCTCTGTTGTAATCAGCCTCTTCCAATCTAACCTGAATCAGGCTTGTGGTTTTATTGTGATCTATTAAAATATAAAAAATAAAATAAAATGTCCACTTACACATCAGGTTGTAGGGATGTGATCACCGGTGCCAATATGTCTGAGCTATATTTTGTGGCTTGTATTTTTAATACGCTATTTAACGTCTTTGTTTGTCTAACGAAAGCATCTTCACATACCTCATGAAAGAATTGTTCTTGGGGGGGTGGTGGTGGAAGGACAGTACCTCCCTCCGCCTCCCCCGGGTGATGGAGCGGAGTGCAGCACACACAATAACCACACTCTTTTGCTCTCTTCATGTTCCTCTGTGTCACTCTTCATGTGGCATTGTGCGGTGGGGCTTCCAGTGTGAGGGGTGGTTTTTTCGGGGGGTGGGCGAGGATTGAGGAATTGGAGAAGGTAGGGGTGGTGGTGAGGAAGAGGAGGAGGGTGGGAGGGTGCGTCTGTATTCACCAGCCCACTCCAGGCCTGTGGTCCATGAAAGAAGCTCGCCAGAAAACAGCAGCTGCTCGGCACTCCGACAAGACCCTCCAGATTGTTCCCCTCATAAAGAACCTCAGCTGCCGGAACACTATTGACTCAAAGAGAGGGCGAGAGAACAGACAGCCTGAGCCCCGTACCCTCCCACCCCCCCCACCCTCTCTCCCTCCTACACCCTCCGACATACACAGACTTGCCCTCTCTTTCTTTCTCCCTCTCTCTGGTGCCCAAATTGCACCCAAAAAACTATGCATACCACACATCAATCCGAGGATGGGCGCCGTCTGTGGGGGGACGGCCGTGTGTAAGCCGCATTGTAAATGGGTTTTTCTCTCTTTCTCTGCCACCCTCCTCGCTCTGTCACTAACCTAGGGAGGCATTGTAAGTGAGAGGCGGCCTGCACCAGAGCTGGCTAAATCACTTAGTCATGGAGTAGGGAGGAGGAGGTGAGGAGGAGGAGGAGGAGGTGGTGTAGGGGAGGAGGGGGGGCACAGGAGCTACTGTATGCTGCTTTCACCAGGATCTCTCCCCGGTGTGGGAGGTTTTATAGGCCTGCATGCCCTTTTGTGAACTATTTTGGAGTGGAGCTGACAAATTGGCGAGCCGTGTAGCGTCCCGAAAAAACAGGGTGGCTGGAATTTCATCCTTTCATCGTTTCTTGTGTTTGCCTTTTAAATAAATTCCGACTGACAAATTGGAGCGCTGTTGAATGGGGTGTTTTTTTTTTCTCCATAAGTTTACGTGGTTTATTTTTGTAGTATGTTTCATACACACACAGATGGCGTGGGGTTTTTTTTTCTGTCATGTGCGCTCTTTATCTTAAAAGCATTGAGTCACTCATTATTCTCCCATGGGAACTCCTACAGGTTTACAGACCATCATTGCAGGCAGAAATATGGACGCCAGGGAAACACAATAGATTTTGGACTTCAGAACTAGGCAAAAAAAATCTCCTTATTAGTTTTAAAGTTCACTCTTTACCTTTGGAAACAATAAAATCCATTAGTAGCCACTCTGGAGCTTTCGATCTTGTCACGATCTTCCTCGGCAGATGGAGTTTGCCCAGTTGTCATGAAATCATAGATAGTCAAATTCACGTTTTATGGACTTGCAGTTCATGTTGGCTCCAAGAGTTGAGACTGAAATTCACTCTTGACCTTGGATCAAAGCAGTTAATGAGCAATCTCACCACAAGTAGAATCAACTGTGTGTATTTAAGCATACAAATACAGCAGGAAGTGTACAGGAAGATATGTAGACATACAGTAACTACTACTACTATGTACGGATCAGTAAGAATATAAAAATATATATAAACAATAACAAACAGTTCAGTTTCTATGTGCAGATCAAATTTAAGCTGTAAGCTATAAAAAAATAAGGGAATAAATATTACATGGATAATGTATTAAGTGACTTTACAAGGTCCACAAGTAGTACTCGACAAAGAATTGTAACATATACATTTTCATGACGACTGGGCAAACCCCATCTGCAGAGGAAGATTGCGTGATACAGATCGAACAGCTAGGGCGTAACCACACATTAAAGTGCCCAGCAATGTACAGCACAACGTATGTTAAATACGTCTTATTTTGAGCGCTGTCTCTTGTTAGTTCCTATTTGTTCATGAAAACATAAAGTGTGACTCCCCCACCTTGGTTGTGCTTGTACAATTGTTCAATGTTACCAGCTTGGTGACTTTTCAGACTCTCTTAGTGGCTTTATTTCTAAAAAAAAAAAGCTGTAATTTTCCCCTACTGGAAGCCATCATATTCGCTGAAACCTTTTATTTGAGAAAAAGGCCACTATCTTAAGGGAATCACAGACTATTCCTTTATAAATGCATTCAAATGTCAATATAGTCCTTAAAAATATGTTCCAAATGTGTGAATCTTATCTATAAATATCAGGATTGTGGGAAAAGTGCATACAAATTCTCTTTTGGACGCCCAAATGTCTATACCGATGGTAACCTGGGGTCGGGACCCGCACTAGGGGTCGCCAAAGCTTCATGGGTTGGTTGCAAGGCCTTCTTGATTTTAAGTTTAATAATAAATGTAAAGTAAAATAAAATGGCCAAGCATTAGGCACACGGAAACACTGATTTGTCAGAAAAGAAGCATTAGAAGACGTATTTATGATTGTTACAAGTGATAAAAAATACATAATACAGACAAATAAATGTATAAAAACAGGAAATAATCATCCAAATCACTCAGTTTTACACAAACGATTAGAGTTTATTGCACAGTTTTCTATTAAATATGTCACTTAGTCAAGGTTTTGACAGTTTACTCAATGATCTTATCAATGATCAATGTCTTAAGGGAAAAGTTACGCCCCTTTTCACATTGTGACCCCTAAATTGTAAAATATGCTCTAAAATATACTTTCAATATACTTTAAACACAATAAATTTCACAATCAATACTTTTTTTTTCTCCTCCTCTTCATCTTAAAGACTTTTAAACCACACCAAGACATCCGCGACCTGATTGGCTGAAAGCACGACCCCATAGAACCCTCTTCCACCAATCCGCGACGTTACTGTACGACGCCGCCGTCCAATCAGAAGCTCGGAAGCGCGCAAGCAGGGCCCGCCCCCCCCCACGCATCAGCCAGTTAGTCTGGTCGAAACCAACTGTCAGTTAGAGTGAGTGGACGTGATGGGGAAGACGGAGCGAGGGCTGGAAAACACGAATTAAAACCTCTCCAGAAGTATCAAAAAAACTACTTTTAAAGTTACGTGTGTAACGCCAACAGCTTACGCCGGCATGTGTTAATATCTTACAGGTAAGTTATCACCAAATAATACGTGTTAGAGCTGGTTTTTTTTTTTACCCACTCGAGCATGAGTTGAAATTAAAAAAAAAAAAAGGAAGCTAACGTTTTTTTTTTTTTTTGCTAACAAGCTAATGTTTATCTTGCCCTCCTCCTCCTCCTCCTCCTCCTCCTCTACCTCCTCCTCTAGAGAAGCAGCAGCTTTCTTTTTTTTTTTCTTTTTCTTACTGCGATAGGAACTAACAGCCAGTGTGTGTTTTCGGTGGAGGATGTCAGCGCCGAGCAACTCGCTCCAGCAGCCGCGGGTGAGACGCAGCAACGCGGGCTCCCCCGGCTCGTTCAACAACAGCTGCCGTCTGCACCCCATCCGTGCCACCGTGCCCTACCAGCTCCTGCGCGGGGGTCAGAGCAGCCCAACGCGGGCGCAGACCCTCTACGGAGCGGCCACCAACAGCCGAGGCTCCAGCCCCCCCTCCAGCCCGACACTCAGTTCAGGAAGTGCAAATGCAAAGCAAAGACTGTCCCCTGAAAATAAGGATTCCTCCTGTCCCCCTGACTCTCCAGTTTCCAGAGGTAAAGTTAATTTTTTTTTAAACTGTTTGTGCCACTAATTATACTTTTTAATTGTGTAGAAAATGAGCCTAAAATATGATATCTGGATGGGTCTGTGCGTCTGGAAACCAGGTTGGCACTAGATTTGCAGAAGGTTGAAGCATTAACTATTTAGCCTATTATCCTTTTACACAATTAGGCTCTCATAAAGAGAATAGAGTGCACTATTGGCTCTTATTTCCTATGGACTTTTGACAGAAGAGAGAGAGAGAGAGAGAGAGAGAGAGAGAGATAGAGGGGAAGAGAGGAGGGAATTGGCAGAAAGTTCCAGTTGTAAAAGGGGCCACGTCAGTCCCAGTAGAAGCAGTGCTGAGCGAATGGTCAGGTGTTGCCTGCTTTGACCTCGCTCCATACATACACATGCACGCAGCAGCTTTTAAGTGCATATTCAGAACATATGCTGTTGCGTTACACATGGCCAACAGAGGCGAAGTGCTGTGTCGTTTCACGTCACGCTCAGCTGCTCCTTTCTGGAAGTGATTGGAGACGAACTGAAGGAGGAATGAGAGTCCAGGTAGCCCTTAAATCCGTGTTTCCCGTTCCCTTTTATTCACTAAATCTCATTTATGTGACAGCCTCTCTTGCCAAATATCGACACTGGAGCTGCCCCCCCCTGTAAGCCCTGTGTTTTATGTACAAAACACACACACAACCACACACTCACATTGTGATATGGAAATGTTCTGAATACACTTTGCTTTTCTAGAGACAAAAAGAGATTTATTCTAGTTCAGTTTAACCTCACTAGGTATTTCTGCCTCTGCATCAGTTCCCATGATAAGCACCTGGTATTAATACCACAGAAGACCTTTTTCCCAGCAGCCATTTTGACACGAAATAGTAGGTTAAACACAGGTGTTACCAATGACACTAATTAAAGTTCAATTTGGTGTAGCAGAGCCTTTTCCAGTGAGCCAACATGCACAGTAGCAGCACCCTGACTCTGTTTGACCTGAATGGAAGAGAACTTTAATTAGTAGCACTGGTAACACCTGTGTTTACCCTACTGTTTAATGTCTAGAAGAGAAAACAGTCTACAGTGTTCTGTACTTAATGAGATTAAGTCACATATCTCAACATGCTGCACAGCTGGATCAGTGCTACCTTCATTAGTCACGTTTCATAGCTTCCTCCCTCCTTACCTTTTTTTTTAAACCAAATTGGCAGCCCTGTGCCGCGTGTTAGTTATTGTGGAGTTTGACGTTTGCGACGTGCTTCGCATTCCTCCGTCCCTTTTGAATGAGATGACCTCCAACCTTGACCAGTGTACCATGCGAAGCAGGAAACGAAAGCCTCTTCCACAACAACCCGAGTAGGCAGACTCACCAGGCACGACTGATTTCACTCGTGTTTGGCTAGCGGCCGGTGTTGATTTCCCACCCCGGTGTGCATGCCACGCATACCTCAGTCCTCTGAAAGAGACGACCTCTAACCCAGGCCAGTGTCCCATGTCAGCTGGTGATGATGGAGACTTGACCCTCCTTCATCGGCGTGACCTCACTGTCCTAACGCGCACCGAGAGGGCCTCGGATGACGACTGCGGTCGTATCCGTGTGGTGTCGGTTGCTGCTAGCGTTCAGAAAAAAACTGACACATATTTCAACAAGTGCGCCAGCGTGAGCAGTATTCAGTCGTCTCTCATCACTGCAGCCCAGCTTGATGTGACTGAAGCAGTAGGCTTTGCACTGTGTAATTTCTCTTTCATTGTGGTACTTCCAACCCCACTCGCTAACCATAATTCGTGCCATTTGGTGGTGGTGGGGGGGAGTTTGTTTTTTCTACAGTACCATCAACGTTAGTGCCAGACACTGGTAACGATGAGTTCAGATCACAGCCTGATGTTGAAGGTTAAGAGTATTATATTCCAACATCGTGACCTTTTTTTAGGTTCACCAGCATGACATCATTCTTACCACACCGTCCCAACAATGAGTGTCCCGCTCTCTGTCAAAGTGCCAGCTGTGCTGAAACAGCCCGGCTTCATTGTCACCCATTCAAACTGCAGAGTAGGAGCAAATGTGAAAATGAGCGTGTTGTCCTAAATCGGTCGACTCTGGTGGAACTGTGCTGTGTTTTATAACTGCCTGTGTAGCATCTGGTTGAACCTTTTTAACGCCGATGTTAACCTGGTAGCCCTTCGCTCAAAGCTAGTTCCGACCTAGCTGGTCCCCTCTGGACTCATTGGGTGATGCTAATAATGCTAACACACCATTTCCTGACCAGCTGAGGGACAGATGTTGAAAACTCATAACTTTTTTTTAAAAGATCACGGCCCAAGATTAATGTCGTTCATCATTTTATATTGTATGATACAGTCAGTGTTGAAATTACTGCTTGCAATTACCACACTTTTTATCTTGAGCAGCTAATGCAGAACATTATTGGAATATGACCTTAGTGGTTATATAACATAGTATATAAACACACAGATTAATAAGTATGTAGATAATAAATAATCATGCACATTGTATCAGTAGTTTATATACTACAGTCATTCAAGTAGTAGTAGTAGTAGTTAATCATTGCAGGATGATTAAGTAGAATCAGTTTATCCATTGTTTATATTTTCTCCTTGCACTTCTTAACAATGACCAAGCTTGCACAGAGAATAGGCGATTAGATGTTTAATTATTCACTGTGTACAAAGTCTGAGCAGTTACAATAAAGTTAAAATATGTCCATCTATAGTCTATTAAAGTGGTGCATAAACCCTATAAGGTTTCACTTACGTGAGCCTTTCAGAGATACTAAAAGTATCACAAGATGAAGCGAAATTATTATCATTTCCTTTTTACCCAGTGTCATGTAGCCTTGTGAAAACCTACAGGAAACCCGTCTGCTATGGTTTACTGATTTGTACCACATGTTTGTGTTCACATTCGCCTCTGCTCTACAGTTAATAAACCACCCATTAATCCCTGGAAAGAGACTTTTTTTTTTTTTTTTTTGCAGCTTGCTGAATACCGGGTGAATAAAAGTTCTTAAAATTCAACCTGAAAATATTCCTTTAATGTCACATCCACCACTTAGTCATCCCTGAAATCAGCAGATGGACTGCTTTGAGGTTTTGGCTTCTTTCACACTGTTTCTTTTTTCTCATCAGGAGATTATTCTAGTCTGGCAAGTGGGGAGACGATGGAAAATAACCACAATCCCAGTTCTGAGAGCACTGGCTTGGCCTGTATCAATATTGATGGAAATTTAGCCTGCTTCCTTTGTCTACAATGCTTCAGGGAATTTTACTGTAGCCCAGTAAGCTTACTTAGGCAATACCTTTGGGTGGGTAGGCCTGTGTATGCTATGGACAAAGAACAACAATGAATGGCTGTGTAGTTCTGCTAGGAGAGGGGTGCCTCATGTAGATAGTTTATTCTGTGCGTGTTAGTTTGTGTTCATGTTGGAAATGCCTTAGCTTACTCAGACAAGGAACATGGTGAATGAGCAGGAAACCTGCCTTTTTATTCTGTCTGTGATCGGGAAATGAAGTAGCTTTATTTTACTTTCAGTAATCACAAAAGTGTAATTGAGTCTAATGTGTTTAATCCACTGCAGTCTCATGCTATTCTCAAGCTAATGTCTTTGTGCGTTAAGTGTCTTTTTATTTTCATTTTTTTACTGCGTGTCACTGCAGGAATGTTGAGTGGATGCAGGCAGCATTGATGTGCATTGTGTTGTGGTTGTTTATGAGTTCTTATGTGCGTGGTGTGTGTGTGCTTAACTGCCCTGGCTCACAGCAGATTGCTCTCATAACATCAGATACTCCTGCTCAACCATTTACATTTGCTCCAGGCCTCGGCTCTCAAGGCTGCTGCTGTTTGCCCTGCACTAATACTTTATGAATTTGGAAAATTGTCCACACTTTGAAAACAAGAAGAGAGGAAAGAGCAAGGTCTCATCTCAGTAAAACACTTTTAATTGTAGTAGTTAACAGATGTGTGGGTGGGGTGATTATCTGAGTAATAAGTTATTCTGTGACTGATTCTTGTAATGTGAAGATCTACCTACAATCCCCTTTGTGCTCCCACTACAACACATAGTTATATGTATAAACCAGGCCAATAAAACTAACTAGTTTTGACACTAAAACTTTGATTATGCAATTGCATTTTATTTCAGGTCAAACATGTAAATCATTAGAGTTGTGTGACACTCAAAATAATAGCCCCCAGTCCTTGGCTGCACATTTACAGTGACATTTTAGTACTTTATGTTGAACTTACTGGCACAATCGGGAAAGTTGCCACATTGAATCTCAAAGGTGCCTCAGGGTGTCGGGGAATATTTCTCAGTAGGTGTTGGTTCCTTCATGGGTGTGTGTGTGTGTGTGTGTATGTGCCTCATATTATCTCTTTGTTTTCCACAGCAGAAAGGTCCAAGTTACAGGTTCGGAGTTCCAGTGCCATCCGGCGGACATCTTCCCTGGACGCCATCACGGGGCCATACCTCACCGGCCAGTGGCCCCGAGACTCCCATGGACCCTATCCTTCCTGTATGAAAGACAAAGCCACACAGGTACGTACCATTCAGAAGAAACACGCTGTCTTGGATATAGGCCTGAATAGTGGTTGGGCCATATCATATTATTCATCATTCCCACTTCAAAATTTATTTTAATGACACCCAGATGATGTAATGATCCTCCTGGTTTATGTTATGACCTCCACTTTCAGTTATTTCAACTTTTGTTTCTGAGGAATCATGTTTTGTCTGTCGTTTCGTCTTGGTGGACGGGACTAAATACTGCAGTACCCATGAGCCTTGGCTGCCGTTGCCATGGAGAAGAAGTGGTAGCGAATTCAAAACGCCTTAGTTGCTGAATACATCCAAAATTAACCCAGACTCCAAAAGTAAATTGGCTTAAGCTGCAGATTATTTATTATTGCCAGCTTTCTCAACACTGTATTATTTAGCTTTTACCTTCCTTTAGTGTTAGTGGAGTTAATTTGAGGTGCATTTCACATGACTGCAGCATCCACATCCACCCACAAAACCTCAAATTAGAAATTCACACAACAACCACATACGCCATTATTTCGTAACCAAGTTGAGCTTTACACGAGATGTGTCATGATCTGAAATCTGGCAAAGTGGAGTAAAATTGCTTAATCAGTCATATTCAGAAGAGGTGTGTGTGAGAAAAAGCTGATTGCACAAGAAACACCAGACTAGTTGTTTTTTTTAATAATGACCTGGTTGTGTTTTGCCCAGTATGATTTGCTTTGAGTTGAAGTTAAAGTTTTACAAAAACCAAAAGTATTATTTTAAAGCCATATGGCCTACACTTTGACCGGAGTGTCTGCTCAATCTGCAAGTTCAACATCCTCTTTTTTTTTTACTTTTCTCCAAGCAATTTATGGTAGTTATGACTTTCAAATAATTGTTGGTTTCCGTCATAGTGGTTGGTGAAGGAGACAAATCTACAAGCTGTGGCCAAAGATTTTGTTATAGTAATCTGGTGGCTGCTGGTGGAGTCTGCTGCCAATACAGGCTTAATAGACTGTAAATATTCCCGAAATTCTTGCACAGCACTACATTTTAATACATTATGACACTTCATAAGACCTATGTATGGATTTCACATTGAGCCTGACCACAGTATTCCTGGACAGCAGCCCACACATGATCACCCAGTAATCTTGCCATGTGACTGATGGCTAAATGCAGTTTTTCTCCAAGAGCTTAATTTTTGGGGGGGTTTGGGGGGTTTGGGTTGGGGCGTTAAGAAAGAATATTGACTATGTATGATCATAACAAGGGCTGCTCCCTCTTTGCTAACAGAAGCCTTTCATGTGTCTGAATGAAGACCGCCAAGCCTCATTTACATGGGCTTCATCCCTTTAACCCTTCATTTGCCTCGCTCTCCTTTGTGTGTAGTCTGAGGAAGTGGGGAGAGGGCCTTGCAAGATCTCTCACAAGTGGCTGTATGCAAAACCTTTTTAATTACAGGGTTCCTGTGCAGCCCTGGAAAGACTGGACAAGTATGGAAAATCAATTTGATAATTATCAGGTCCTTGAAAAAATTTCATTGCGCAAAAACGTCTGGGCATGTATACACAGTGATCTTGTAGACGTGCTGTCTTTTGGCACATTGTGATATTTGCCTGTGCTTTTTACTGTGTTTTCCCAGCCATTATCAGCAAGGATGTGATTGAAGGTTCACCAAAATGAAAATCCAGTTTAGAGATTTATATCTGTCAACGCTGTGGAAGTTTGAGATGGAAAAACATTTGGCTATGTTGTAACGATGGTGGGAGAGTGTGACACACTTGAACGATTAAATGCACAAACTCCCCCAAGGATAGTCAGAGACCACTTCCTGTTAACAAGCTATGCCTGGGCCCAGCTCTCTTTATAAGACAACAACAGCAGAGTGCAGCAGACAAAAGGTCCCTGGCCTCTTTTGTTGTGCATTGCTCAAGTTCAAGACAGCCTTTCCTTTGAGCTGTAATGTAGCCTCGCATGGAGGTGAAGTTGTTTGCACCTGTCCCTCAGGCTACGGCTGAGGCGAGGAGAAATCCCACTGCTTACCACCTGGCCCTCGTGGCTGCACAGCCCGCCTGGCTTTTGTGTGGGAGTTGAGGAGCAGAGGGCCCATACATATGCTAATCACTGTTCCGGGATAGGTCTGTCTGCCCCGGGCCCTGTGGTTACAGAACACAGGGAATGTCTGTATGAAGATTAGGGCCCTGACACACCAAGCCGACCTCAAAGAACCAGCACCGACAAAGACAGATTGATCAAACAGTTTGCGTTGCTTCACGTCTTCTGTTAAAAGTTGCACTTGGGCACAACACAAAGACCACAGCCGATGGCCAGCTGACCACTGACATGTACATTCTGCACCTGCGTGAGAGGAAATAACTAATCAGCAGTCTGTATTTGTAATCTGAAAGACAAACTAAAAAAAACAAGCCTTTTTTTTTTTTTTTTTTTTACGGCAATCTGAATCTGCTTAAACTGTCTAATTATAGGCTGGGAATATGAATTGAGAATATGTCTGATAAACATTTGGAGCAGACATTTGCCAGTGAAACAATTGATGCCAAACACAAATGCTAAATGATGGTCTGCTTTTATGTATTTTTACTTTTATGTCTGGATCTTTGGATAGATACTTTAGTGCTGTATTACATGCTATCTGCTCTCACTGTGCCCAATTTAACTTCATATGAGCGTAATGTATATTGTGGATCTGTGTTGGTTCTGAATATAGACAAATGTGGTTTGAAGCAAGAAAAAAAAAACCCCAACAAAAATGCTGTCTTAAGAAACTTTAATACATTTTCTGTAATGCTCAGTGAGTTTCAAACATCAACTCTGAATGCATGTTCTCCTCATGTTTAAAACCCACAAAATGATAGCAATGGCACTCTGCTCGCATGTCTCAGCATGCACTCTAAACAAACCAGCACAAATTCCACTGCGACTCTATTGAAGCCCAGTCATTATTTCCTGCTTTGGAACGGAGCTGGATTCTTGAGGATGTTGCCTGTATGTAACCCTTTGGGTGGGAATCATAATGGGAAGCTGCAGGCTATGGTAACAGAGTTTTATCTTCTCAGCAGTACATTATCAGGCACAACACCTGGCACACACGTCTACAAAGCACACAACTCAAGCCGGAAGTTCAAGAGCTAGCATTATAAAAGGGCCTCTGAGGTAAATAAAGGTGGTTGTTCTTGTTAACAGACAATTTGTTTGGGGGTCAGAATCAATAAAGAAAGATAGCCTGCAGTATTTTTAAACTGTATTGTGTTTGTTTGGATACCTGAGGGAAACTTTAGGAATTTAATTGCTAACTGAAATATTTGCAGTTAAGTAAAACATGACCCCTGTCATGACATTGGTGGCCTATCTAACATTTAAAACGAGTCAAATTCTGTTGTCTGAAACATTAAGTGTTTTGGGAATTCATTCATAAACCCACAATGCACACAGCTAGGGTACTAACCCTTCTATTAACTGTTATACTATTTATTTTTTGTATACTGAAAGTTGCTTTTTAACAATAAGTACACAGTAATTTCAACAGATTAAATGTATGGCTCATGAAAACGAGAATGAATCAGCACTTGGAGATGAAATAAATAACCTCATTGAATGGTAATGATTTGAAATATGTCCAATAAAAACACTTTCTTGTTTCAAAGTGACAATGAGGTCACCTCAAACACCTCAGTTTTTTTTTCTTTTCTCAACCAAAATGTGCTTTTAGTTTTAACCAGTACTGTGCAGCCCTGTGAAAACCTATACACATGTCACTCACTGCCAAATGAAAGCGTTTCACATTTCATTCAGTTACAAGTCGCTAGTAGCATTCTCTACTTGACGTCATAGAACATCTGTGAGAACTTAGTTTTTCCTCAACAGCTAAGTCCACAACTCCTTAAAGCTCTCTCTGCCCTTTTACAGCAGTCCACATTCTGTATGAACAGATTATGCTGCAGCATTAAGTTCCTCAATGTTTGGCGGAGGCATCAAATGGCACAAGCCATTCCATAGGCCATGCACAAAATGTTAATGCTAAAGGCTAGCAACACATCTGCCGTCCAGCGTGGCCAAGCACAGTGGTCCCTTTATGAGAGCACAAGCACTCATTTAATTCGCTGTCCTTTTCTGGGGGAAACCAGCGCCAGAAATCCAGCGCAAACGGCTTCCCCGGGTGTTCCTCATTATTCACAGTGTGATATTCCATATCATAGGGCAAGGATTGTGCGTTAGTTGGAGAGCCATAGAGGTTTTTCTGTTTGTGTGGGGTCAGGCATAAGGCAGTGTGAAGACACTGACATTTAAGATGTTTCGTACTACTGTGCTGACCATAAAACGTCAGATGTTTTGAGGATTTGTTTGAGGACCAGAGGCACTGTTGATATGCATAATCAGGGGGGAAGTATGTGGTTTCAGACAATCCTATGAAACATCCTTAGTCTGTTTCTGTTTTTGCATATATTTACATAACTTAACTGTTTCCTCGTTTATGCAGTAGAGGTCTAAAAGACCTGTTCAGTGAGACAGAACTGCGTCTGTGCTCTCTGGTAGGAAATGTTTTGTATATCAGATGTTTTCTTACTGGTGTACTAACAACATAAAATTTCTCAGTTTACTCATTGACCTGGTATGAGCCTACAATATTACATTAGTGTGTATGTACATGGGCTATACAGTAATGCAAATTTGTAGACTAATTCAAACTATCGAAAGGGAAAAGGTGGAGACTTAACTAACACCAGCTGCTAGTAAAGTCCTTGTAAATGTCACCTATGGCTGACGAGGATTCTTCTTGGCAGGTAACCATATCATTTGGTGGCCCTGTAATTATTTTCTTCAACTATGTTTGGCTTGTTAAATGGCTGGTGGCTTTTAGTATGTAGTCAGTTTAGCCCGTAGACCAAAAAACAAGTTTCATGCCTTGCTACAGACGTATTTATCTTAACCCGTCTTACTAATGGAAGAAATCAAACATGCTATGACTTTTGTTTTTCCTGTTGAATGTAGTTGTTTCCTCAGGGATGGTATCTCATGACTGTTTTCCTCATTTTCATTGATTCCAGATTTTCTGCTTTACTTTTTGAGCACACTGCAGTCATTACTGCGTTCACCCACATTTTTCTCAACTGTTTAATCCAAACATTTTTACATCTTAGATATTTAGTTAACGCTCGCATCCTGAGTGACTTCACATTGAGGTGTGGCATCATTAAGCAGCATTTCATGAGTTTTGAGTTTTTAGGAGTGTATATTGCTCCCCACCTCTCCTGCACAAGCTTTTGTTTACTTTAAATTCATGTTATGTAGGTCAAAGTGTGTTTGTATGCGGTTCTGTGTACATACATTGTTTATAACAGTTTTTACTGGCAAACAGATGAAACATAAAATAAATGAGTTATGACTCAACAAGGACGACATCTCTGACCTTTCAGCTATCTGATCTCTGTAAACAAATCTCAGAAACTGCAGGTTAGTTAATCTTTAAGGGTGATGTAATGTATTCTATTTAGCACCCAGACCCAATGGATGTTTATGCCCCAGAAATACATCAAACCCGTCTTTGTGTGTCTATGCAACAGAAGTTATTTGGTGGCCGCAGTGTTACACAGTACATTTGGAACACCTATCAATAGCATGTGTTTGTTTTGAGGAAATTAGAGTTGTGTAACGTGGTTATGTGTCATGTATGTGTTATGTGTTTCTGTGTTTCAGACTCCAGGTCTCTGGATTGATGAGGGAGCCGAACAGGGAAGTCCTCACCAGCGGTCGGCCTCCTGGGGAAGCGCAGACCACCTCAAAGAGGTAGATTCACCTGTCTTAACCCTGAAATCAGCCAAGTCACAGCTGTGTCTGACAACAAACGCCACAGACGGTGGATTAACAAAGGGAGCAGTGTCAGCAATCTGTTTGACTCTAAGCTAGGCCTGGCTGGCTTTAAAACATTCACACAGCCAGTTCAAAAGAGCATGTTTTTGTCATTTTTGAGGTTCATTCCATTTACTCAAAATGTGTTTTATTTGTCAGGGTCTGAGGTCAGCCTAAATATTATGCTCCTTAAGGTTGGTTTCCAGTCCTGTCTATCTGCTGAGCTTGGTGGCCAACCAGCTGACCACATGGAGCTATTAGGTCTCTAGCTCTCCAGACCACAGTCTAAATTTAACCTCCTTCTCCCCTCTGTTTCCCACTCAACTGCACCCTTGCATCTCATTATGGCCTGTTGTTTTTGAGGGACGGTGCAGGAGCTCCTCTCAAGGGTGAAACAGCCATATTGTTCCCTCATTTAGGTCGCACTGAGCGAACTAATTCAGGGTAATTCAAGTTACTTAAAAGCCTTACAGTTGCCTCTGCAACACACAAGACATTTAAAGGAACCGGCTTTGCCTTTTAATTATTTGTTTGTGTTACCTGCAGGCTATGGTAAAACTCGTCAGATCACGTAGAACAATTAGGTGACTGATCTGAAGTTTGATTCCTCATCTTGACAATTTAATAGTGAAGAGAGTAAAATGAAAGTGTTATGAATAGAACTGCACATTGCACTTAAGCGGTGTCAACAGTTGTAAAATGAGGAAGAAGAAACACATTTTAATAATAACATCCCCAAAAAAGCTGCACAGAAACTATTTCCCAGCTATGAACTCTCACAGCAATGTGATCTCATAAAATCTGATTGTTGGAATCAGGTTTCATAAATCACATTCAAGTGTAAATGTAGCCATACAGAATAACCAGGCCTGCTAGAAAACCTTCTGCAGACAATCCACACCTTGGCCTCTACAATCAATAGCATATAACAGTCAGGAAAACTTGTCTTATCCTCTGAGATTACATCGAGGATTGCCTGGACTTGTCATTATTGACTGCTGCGGTCACTCAATGAATGTAGTGAACTGCATTCTAGCTCTCTAACCTCTGCGATTACATGTGTGGGAGGACATCTCGGGGGAAAAAAAGCAAGTCTCTTTGTTGACTGTGTTGCCAGGATTACAAGATCAGCACTGAAGACCACACCTTTGTCTGCATAGTACAACTGCGTCTGTTAGGCTCACAAAGGGTATCCTGTTTTTAGGCTGATACTGGGCCAGATGCAGAAACACCCATTGACCTAACCTGTTTCATCACCAAACATACACGTGTGATTATATGCGTGCTCTATACTAGCCTGCAACAATATTCAAGTCAGGTCAGTCTGCGTGGGTGCACCCAGTTGTGCAAATCTTTGGGAAAAGTGGTGCCATATAATTGTTGTAAACCACATTAGAGAAGAAAGGATTAAACAATAATAATGGACAAATACTGATTTTAATTTGAAAGTGTAGGTTGTAATTGTTCTTGTAGCGGCTGCAAAAAGGAGGAACAGTTTACATAAATAATAATATTCAGGTAAACACTAAATGTAGCTGCAATGATTTGTCTATTTAATTAATCAGTCAATTGATTAATCTGAAACTTTTTTTTTTTTTTTTTTTTTAAGCAAAAATGCCAAACCTTTCTGAAGCTTTTTGTTTTTTATTGTCTTTAGCAGATACCGAGGTAGCAACTATTCCTCCTGGGCTCCACATAAAAACACATTGCATTAACACACAGCGTACAGGAGCCATCTGCACTAAATCACATACACCTGTGACCCAAAATTCATACCCAACCAGACCCACCCAACACCCACAAAAAACTAAATAAAACAAACAGAACAGCATGAATCAAACAAAAAAAGATCACTAAGAAGGTCTACGTTATCAGACTACCACAGGCCACAATCACACAAACAAGCATGCTGCTTTTATTTTTTTTTTTTTTTATTAAGTTTTTTGGCCTTTTATTGGATAGTGACAGCTGAAGGTAGACGGGAAAGGTGGGTAGAGAGAGAGGGGATGGCACGCAGCAAAATGGCGCATGTCGGATTCGAACCCGGGCCGCTGCAGCAACTCCGTATATGGGTCGCCAGCTCTACCGACAGCGCTGACCAGGCACCCAACAAGCATGCTGCTTTTTAAAGTTAGCTTTACTAGTCTTCTTGTCGTAATAATATAGTAAATAAACTGTTGGTGGTTGTTTGACGTATTCTACACCAATTATTTTGCAAATGAATTGATTGTGAAAATAACTGTTAGTTGCAGTTCAATTTGGGAGCAACTATACTTGTCCCATCAGTGAAATGATTGAAACCAGAAGGTGATGGGTTAAAATTCAGATTGATTTTGAGCTGTCATTTGCTGAAGTGATGTTACTTTTCTTCCAGCAGATTGCTAAACTCAGACTGCAGCTGCAGCGCAGCAAACAGGTCAGCCGGCAGAGCAAAGACAGGGAGCTGAGCTCACTGCAGCTGTCTCAGCAGGCGCAGCATGGCATTGCATGCCAACCGCAGGTGAGTTATTCATGCCTTGCCAAACTGAGTCGCCGCCATGCTCTTTTCAGGTGAAAACATCAACTAACTGACTTTGGTGATGCATGATTTTACCCTCAGATTGGTATGATAAGGTAGCTTAGCAGCCAAGCAATAAACATACATATGAAACAGAAGGTGACCAAACTGTATCACAGCTGCTGAAGATAAGAGAACTTAATATTCATTTTCCAGCGATAAAGTGGTTTTCTACATTATGCAAAGTGAAAGTTTCTGTGTTTTTAAGGCATGCTGTGTTCTTTTAGGCTTCTTTTAGGCTATATTTGATCATAATCATATGTTTTATGCTGCACTGTATTTGGCTGAGGAGGTGTAGTTAATGTGTCCCCATTCTGACCAGTTGTGTCAAAAGAGGAGAGGAAAGAGGGAATGTGTCTGGGCATGCTCTCTCTGTTCTCTCCTTGTTTGTAGTTCATTCATTAACAGATGCCAAGCAACTGTACACATCAACCACTGTGGGAAAATTAACATTAACAGTGATATGCTGTGTCCTATACAGGTAGATGACAATCATGCCTGTGTTTGTTGTTCCCTATGACATTTAATCCTACTTCAGTAACAAGTATTTAAACTGAATGCCTCCACCTATTCAATATCTCATGGAACTGGATCAGCGACAATTCAATACCACAAGCAGATCTTACTGGCACAGATTCCAGGACGTATGTGGTATTATGTATTTATTGCACCGGAATGTCTGTGGGTGTGTCATGAGAAGGGTTGTATGTATTTTATTATTATTATCTAGATGTTTGCATAAGTCTTTTTTTTTTTTTTTTTTGTCCAGTCTTTCCAGCACAAGGGAACTTCATCAGCCATGTCAACAATCCCTGTGCCAAAATCACTCATATGCAGAGTGCCGAGCAGTGTGGAGGGCATCAACCATGAACTAGAAAATGTGTTTATCAGAGAGGACTGGGAGCAGGGCATGCAGGTAAGGATGTGTATACACTTGTCATATTGCTGTAAAGTCTTGTCTTCCGTCCCAGTTGGGTTAAATATCAGATTCATGTTGTATCATAACATAACTTACTGATAGACCGATTAATCTGCATTTTGAGATGATAATGATAGACAGAAAATGCCTTCAGACACATCTGCAGGCAGCCTGGTAATTGTGGCTGCTTTTGAAAGCTGGTAGCCCTTTGAGAGTTTTGGGAAGCTCGGGGAAAAAGTTGGTTACAGTCCTGTGCTATAACTCACATGCATCCTGCTCTACACACATGCATGAATTTCCTATAGAACAGAATTAAATTATACATGATTTTTCTATAGAAATTTTATAGATTATAGATCGGCCATCGGCTGCCTTGCTCTCTAAATATCGGCATAGGCCAGTGACAAACCCTTATCGGTCGACCACTAGTTGTAATTATCGACATACGTCTATGCAGCTCATCAAAAATTATCTACATATGTATCCTACACAGTTTTTCTGTAATAAGGTATCTGGTTAGTTAGTATCTACAAAAATATAACACAATAAAAAGTGACTAATTTGGTGTTTATTTCTATTTATCTGGTGTGGAGCATTTGGTTACTGAATATTGTGTAGAGGCTCCAAGGCTTGAAGTTTTCCCATTTGAAAACTGCAATCTGTGATCCAAATGTAAACAAAAGCACATCGCCATCTAAACAGAAACACAGGTCTGAAATTCGCCATCACTCTTAAATTGACTGACCATCTCTTTTAAATACAGACTAAAGGGCAACACACAGGTGGTGTATAATGCACGCCAAACACCCACAACCATACACCGTCTGCAGTGTGTCACAGTGTAAAGCACTGCACTATTTCCAGGAGGTACATCAGCTCTCCAGAAAAGCAACACTTCGATCAGCTTGTCCTTGCTACTGTACTTTAACTACTCTTTCCCTTAAATGCATCCAGTGTCCCGCAGGGGATGCATACGTTGTGTGTTGCACATTGGACAGAATGAATCAACAATTTTGTTTCCAACAGTAATGTTTGTTGGTAAAGAAGTGAAATCCTACACATACACATCAATATACTGTACCTATGGTCAAAAATAGCTTTTTAGTCTGTGCTTAACATTTATTACGTGCACACAAGCACAGTCTTGTAAAGTCACTTACAGCATTGTGCACCTTACTGTCAGGCGGCATATATTCTCACTCACACTGAATTAAATCGCTTAAGGGTGAGGGGACGTGTAAATCTTGGCTGATGTGGGGTAGTAAACCCTGGCAGGTCTTTTAAAGCTCCCCTCTTTAGAAAGTAACACACACACAGTTTAAATGCACACAAACACATGCACCACGACAGATTTACAGCCTGCTGTGCACCAAGCCTTCTCTCCCTCCTTCTCTCCCATTTGAATCAGCTGTGCCAAAACAGATCGCTCTGCACATCACACTGTTCATCTAATGTCAAGTATTACCATCTGGTGTGGTGTTTGCTTCTCCAATTGCCCTTTAAACAGACAGACAAACACACCAGAGGCCTTCCAGTTCCAGTCATTCGTAGATTTAGGACCTTTTTCAGCTGATGCTCTTAACCCAGAGTGACATGATCCAGTGAGTGAGCAGGTAGCTGTTCGGCTTCAACAGTTCAAACAAGTCTTTCTAGGACACGTCGGCGGTTACGGGTGATTGAATGTGACCTTTCTCTAAACGCAAAGCTCCGCCACTCTGCCATTTTAGGATCCATGTACATTAACGCATGACCTCTCACCACCTCCTCCGCACTCTAACCTCACAGGCCATGGATGTGTTAGATGGCCGCCGCGCTCCCTTCCCTCCGCATCACTACAGCAGCAGCGGGGAGACACGCGACACGGACACACAGGCCCCTTCAAGTGGTGACTCCAGCCCGTTGCCCTGCCCCTGCAGCTCTGACCACCTCCACTCCCCTGATGGAAGCCCTTGTTCTGCAGAGGATATTGACAAAGGTGAGCCTTTTTTTGTTTGACAGATGCAGTTTTAGTGTTCAGGGCATTAAAGATCCATCGATAGTACACATAAAAGTCTGTTCAGTGGTCTTTGGGGAGTGTGGATACGTGTAAAAAGGTTGTATAAAGCCTAATGTGGCTGCAGAGGGAGCTGTGTAAAAGCTGATGAATGGCCTCAAATGATGTCACTTGAGTCAGCGTTGGTTAGGACTAGAAGGACTTTCCTTCTCACATTTGCTTACTAGACCTCTGCAGTCTGCTCCTCATCTCTGTTTTAGGTTTCATTGGCTGATATGAGCATAATACACCTGAATCTCTGACCAAACTGTCAGTATTTGTAACGTATTTGAGTTGCATTTTGGGTAATGTAGGCATGCTTTGGTCCTTGTTTTACCCTTCAACATGAGTCTGACAGTATTACTCGAGTGCAATACTAAATTGGAGTACAACACAATAGAAGAGATAAGAAGTTTTATTGAGTTCAGAGCTGTGACTTATTTGAGTTTGAAGTGTTTTATTGGTCAGTTGCTGCTTTCATGCATCTTGAAATGATCACTTAAATTACTTTAGATTATTCTTTAACTTCAGAAACACTAACATGGACAAAATAATGCACACTAAAAGCTAGCCCAGAGTATTGAACCTTAATACTTTTCTTTTAGGTACTGAAAGTTGGCATCAATGTTCTTGTGTATTGATTTAAATTATAATTTAAGTTTTAGATTGTATTTTATTCAGGCAAAGTTCGTTGTGCGGCAGCTTGTGTGTAACATTTGAAAAGTTTGGGTTATTTTGTTTAATGAAATTAAGGGTTTTGTATAAGAGGATGTTTATATTCCACAAAGCAAGGGACTGAAAAAGTATTGATTTAGGATCAGCCCTAGTTTAAGCACATTGCAGCTCTTAAGAATCAATAACCAATATGTTTTTTTCTTTTCCTGTGTCTACAAAAGCAATAAATTATAATAATGTTATATTCTTTTTCTGTATTTCCAGACAATGTGTGCAGTTCTCCTCTTCCCAAGTTTGCCACTTCTCCCAAACCTAACAACAGCTACATGTTCAAACGGGAACCTCCAGAAGGCTGTGAGAGGGTCAAAGTGTTTGAGGAGATGGTGTAAGTATTATTTCATTTTTACAATCTGTTGTTTTTTTTTAAAAACGCAGCCTCATATTCGCTGCTGCACAGTTACGCTTCTGTCTGCCCTGCAAACGCTGAGTGTACGGATCATTAAACGGAAAAACAATAGAGTTTACTGTACTGTTTCATGGACTCTGAGATCCTGTTAGGATAGTACAACAAAGCTAACAAGCTTATTTGCATTGTGGGTGGCAGGGATGAGGGCGAAATAGCTGTGTAGGATAAACATCTCGCATTTAATCATCATCGTCATGGAAATGGAAAATAAAAACACTGAGCTCAACTTCTGTTGTCTTTCAGGTCTGGCAAATCAAAAGGCTTCCCCCTCTTCTCATGCCCGGACAAAAATAAGGTGAATTTCATTCCCAGGGGCTCTGCCTTCTGCCCTGTAAAACTCATCTGCTCCTCCCTCTTCTCCCCCGTCTCTCCCTCGTCCTGCTCCTCCGCCAACCCTGTTCTCCATGGCAACGACATCCCAGGGCCTCAGGTGACTCCAACTCTGCCCACCGCACCACTAGCTACCTTCCCGGCCTCCGCTGACCGGAGCACCGACACAAGCACAGGCACAAACACAGACAGCCAGAGCCCCGACGCAGATGTGGGGAAAGACGGCTCAGCACAAGTTCTCCTCACCAGCTAGTCCTCAGGTATTCACGACCAAACCACCTACAGCTAAAAGCTAGTCAGGTGGTGTGGTTTTAAAGCAAAGAAAATGTAAAAAAAAAAAAAAAAACAAACAAAAAAAAAAAAATCCTTGCACTCCGTTAATCCTAACGTTAGCCAGCAGGGAGTGTCCAAGGTCTGGGATTGACACAACACACATGGGAAGATAATGGCACCAGCCTCCAACCTCCAGTAGTGTTTGTGCCGCTGTTGATGAACTTGATGGTTTGACTATTATCGTCCAGACTTAAAGAGTGTGCTGACCTTGGGCACAGCCTCCCTTCACCCATCACTAACCTAGCCTTCTCCTCTGTACCATGACACCCATAAACAAAAAATAGCTTTGCTTTCTTTTTGCAAAAACGAAAAAAAAATAAAAATAAAAATAGAAATTACTGCTCAAATTATTGTGTTACGTAGTGCCTGCAGTTTTATCAAGATAAATTAAAAAGGAACAATCGTAAACAAAGAGACAACCATGAGGTATCAGAGAAACACGTTCTACTCATGTTATCTAACCAGCTTATTAGCTGTTCAGTGTTCAGCAAGCTAACATCTAAAGTACATATACATAAGCTTTTTTTTGACAGAATGGGAAATGCTTGAGTCATATTTTTAACATATCAGTATGTCTTACAGTCAGAACACAATGCCCCACACATTGACCACAATGTTTGCACTTGTTAAGACCTGACTCAGAGCGACACAGGCCATGACCTAATTCATTTTTTTTTTTATTATTATTATTTGTTTATTTTAAAGTATTTGTAACTCAGTGTCTATGTGAAACCAGCAGTTGCTAGAGTGCAGCCTCCACCCAAAAGGTTTACAGGCCAAGACCTAGATCTGCATTTCTAGTCTGATCACTATTAAAACTTGGTTAGCTCAACACAAAATGTAAATCAGCTGTTTTTCGGTGACCAAACAACCAATTACAAAGCACACAACTCCCTCCCCCCCTCCTCCCCTGTTTTATTGCCCCACACTACACAGAACAGTAACTCAGGTCATGTGGAATGTACTTGCTTGGACTATGTTGCCTTTCCCCAGTGTTTATGACTTTATTCTACAGAAAGACATTACAGTCTTTTGCAGAAATGTTTTATTTTCCCCAGAGAGGGAGGTTATTAAAGGACTGAATCGACTCACTGAAGTCACAGCTTGTGACAGATGACATTAACCTGTTCAGGTTAGATATCACATTCCAGAGATCGCTGTTGCATTGGTCAACCGTGAGTACTCGTGTCAATGCAACTAGCTACATAAGCTACACCCTCCCCAAATTGAGAAGTTGACAAATATGTTATTTTGTTTCATCCCCTTTTGTTAAATATGTACCAAAGCAAATTATAAAACAATGAAAGGCCTTTCGTGTATTTGGGAAAAGAGAGGCACCATTTGTGTGCCAGAAGCAGAATGTTTATATGCACTTTGTTTTGTTTATAAACAGTTGAGCGACATATAAACACTGGTTCATAGTGTTTCAAACACAGGCGATAATCGTTAAAACCAAGCTGAAGCACTTACTTGGAAGTGAGATGATAATCACTATTTTTTATTTTTTATTTTAGACCAATTTGTAAGTTAAAACAATCAGAACGTAAGTGTGCAATTGATTTTTTTTTATTTGTTTTTTGTTTGAAGTAAAGCTACACTAACAGTTTTTGTGTAACACAGGTTTGGCTCAATATACAGATCCAACCAGATGTGCCCTAACGTTACCTGCACAAGATGCATCACCAGAACATTTAAAAAAATAAAAAAGAGAGAGGAAAAAAAAAAAAGTTTGGTAAACTTGTTATAAATGTTTCATTCCAAAACTTTGGTCTTTCAACCCACTTGCACACAGAAACACGAATATGAACAATATGCAACACATTCCACACAAACTAAGTTGAAATACTCTCTTCTGCTTGCAGCTCCATGAGTTTCAATCATACTAATTCTGATTTTATTCACAAGCTCATTGTGCAGTGCAGTTAAGAAATGTTGCCATGTTTGGCAATGATGATTCAGTTCTCCTGTGTATTACGCATTTTTATGTAGATCTTGTGTGTGTGTTTTTTTTTTTTTTTTTTCAATAAAGAAAACAGAACCTGATTTTTTTGGATTGTTATGTAATCTTTTCAAAGGCAGACGCATCAACAAAATAATATCAGTATTCAGAAGCATGGCATTTATATACAAATAGGAGTCAAGGTAAGGCAATCAATGTATTTGGTTATGATTAAATATTAACAAATGTCACGACATGAACATCAAAAATGGCACGAGGCTAAGTTACAACAAAATAAATTCACAATCAGTTGTAGTATACCGTATGAGGAATCCAATAATATCCATGATGAGGTTCTATATTGTTGACTTGTGATTAGATTAAGGCATTTACTCTGATATATATATTCACTTATGCAGCATTGTAGTCAAACTCAATATAATATGACTATTTTCATGATTATCAAACTTTACAGTTAGTTTGGTTCTGAAAACAAAACACTGTAAACTGCATATATTCCCAGTGAGAGCCAATAACTGAGCTGAATAAATGTGTCCAAATGAATCAAAAATCTCATGTCAATAGAAACATATTGTCCATTCAATCAAACACTCTTACTGGATGACAGAAAACAAGGCATGCAACATGCAATAAATAATAAGTGGGGTGATGCGTGTAGTTTTTAGTTCTGGAATATATATTTAAAACGGGATCACAAACACAGCATGTGGCAAACAAATTTAAAAGCACAAACATTAAAAAGAAAACCTCTTTGCTGTTTGGAAGAAAGTTCAGGACGTTTCCAGTTCACACTTTTCTTAAATATTATCCAGTAATTCTGATCGGTTAACCTGAAAAATATGCTTCAGTTTATTTCTGAATATTTCTCTGTGACTGCATTAATCTCAACATGTTAACGTTATTTTGTAAACACATGAACTATTGCACTGTGATCTGTGTCGTGTTTGCTTTCTCTTCGTTTGTATCTCACAAACTTTTTTTTTTTTCTTTGCCTGTTTGCAATCTTCAGTAATGAGGATCAGAAATAAAGCATGAATGCTACTAGAGACTACAGATTTCCAAGGCAGCGAAAGTCAAAGGCTTCTTATTCCAAACTCATACTGAGGTATCCTTGCTAAACATCAAATATATAAATAGCCAACAGGCTTCTTAAAAAGGTCCTTTTGGAAATGTTTTGGTTCTTTCACAATGGAAAGGATGAGAGCTGGTAGTTGTTAGTGGGACAGTTACAGCAGAGTAATACTGCCACCGTCAGACAATCACAATCAGTTTCTTGTAAGGACACCGACATTTCTCTTCTTAGAACGAGATATTTGTCTTTAATAAATTATTAAAGATGCTTTAATTTTATTTTAAAAATGTACCCGCCTTTTACTGTTATACAGACATTTCAGAGCTTTAAAACAACATATCTTATTCTTGTGTCATTATAATAAAGGTACCAGTAGAAAAATAACCAGTTAGGGCAACTATTGATTATTTAATGTGCTACTTTTTAAATTAACTGTTTTGTCAATGACATAATTAAAATGACCATTATAATTAGAATCTAAGATGAAATAATGAATCTAAAAACCCAACGATTATCAGTTTATTGACATACACGATAAAGAAAAACAAATCTTCATATTTGAAAAATATAAAATAATCAGTGGTGGAGAGTAACTAAGTACATTTACTCCAGTACTGCACTTAAGTACAGTTTTAAGGTAGTGTTTACATTTTCACTACTAATTCAACTACACTACAATACAGAGGCAAATATTGTACTTTTTACTCCATTTACTTACATTTATTTGATAACTTTAGTTGTTAATTTGCAGATTCTGATTAATAATTAAAAACATAATCAGCAAATATATTATTATTATTATTATTATTATTATTATTGTAGATTAAGATAAAACAGGGAATTCACAAGCTACTTCTGAAAATGGCCAGAGTGTTTTTACTTTATACTTGACTTGTAGAGTATTTTTACAATGGGGTATTAATACTTTCACTTTGTCCTTTGCTAGAAATAACTGATCAATGTTCTCCTGATAAACTGAATCATTTTTTTCAGCCCTATATCTACTTGAAGTCTAAAGAGAAGACAGCTGTTTGTGTGGCTGATCAGATTTGTCTCTGGTGTCGGTGGCAGCTTTATTCTGCTCTGCCCACTAACAAAAGGTACCCCCTTTCAGATCACCATGACTCTGAGGAAGAACTATGCATTGTGAAGTTCGTGCTCTGTATCAGTTTTGCCGACCGCGTCGGGATTGGAGAGTGGGTCCAAGTCAGCAAACAGGTTGAACCACGCCGAGAGATCTTTGGACGTCCCTGCTGTCTCTGTAAAATGAGGATAAATGTCACTCACACACTGCCGGACATTTAAAGTTGTGGTAAAAAAATATAAAGACCTTCGTTTGTTTCTATAAAGCAACTGGTTGAGATCCAAAATTATGAATGGAAACAACCCACAAGTTCTCTGAAAATACCCATAAACACAGGTTTGAGTTGGACACGTCTCTTTGAATGAGTTAGGCTTTTATTTTTTTTCTTTCAAGTCTTTTCATATGTTTTACTCATTTGTCCCACTCCTACCTTTCATTGCTGGCTTAGGAGGGTTCTGATTGGCTCCAGATGAGTGCTCTGTTGCCTGGGCGATGGGCTGTGGAACGATCCCGGCCCAATCTGAAAACGGAGACGCAGATTTAGATTAATCATCAGGGGACGCTTAACGTGCCAAAGCATGATTCAACAAATAAATCATCACACCCTCTCGTCCCACTTATGATGTGGACGGATGTTGTGTAACAGACACACAAACCGCAAATAATCATTATAAACATAAATCACGGGGCAGAATCTCAGCTGACATTATTACTGGTTTATTAAATGAATTACAACTGTGGAGGTCTTGTTTCGGGCGAATTTATTTTGCTTTCATCCTTTTGTGTATCCAGAGAAAACAGTGTGTAGCAACCCTAAACACCACCAGTGAGGACATGGAGGAATGTGCTGTTGATTTTGTATTTTGTGACAAACAATCTAAACTCCAAATACAAACAGATGAGCAGCCTTTTGAATCCTTTTGTGTATTAGTATATTATATTTCAGCTCCAGCATCCTCCAACTAGTGTTAGTTTAGCAAGTGTGTAGGCAGACATTTTGATGAAAAGGCTAAAATAAAATCTGTTAGAAAAGGTTGTCAGTTTAAGTTTTAAAAGCTGGAAGTGTGACTGCATCTGAATGTACTCGACTCGTGAGGATTTGGGGATTTTCTTCCTTGAAGATTTGTTATAGCTTTGTTTTCACATTCTTGATCTCAAGCCAAGGGCTCTATAGTCAAGAATCAGTCAAGTTTTTGTGACTCTGAGAAGCAGGTTGTTTTGAGGATTTGCCTGTTTTGGGCTCCGGGGTTAAATGAAGGTCTCTGCTGCCGTGTGCTGTTTCTTGCTGGAGTGACTTCTTTGACCACTTATCTCTCCTATACTCTTCTTCCTTCAAGAATCTTGATAACAGCAAAAAAAAAACCCATCTATCTCTTAAGTTCTCAACCTCTTGAACAAGCTCCTTCCTGCACAGTCACGGCAGATTTATAGGTGTTAGTGTTGAGCATATACACCTGATGTTTTGCTTGTCAAAAGTTATTTTGCACTTACAAGTCAGTCCCTGCCTGTGTGCTCTCCTACCAACACTTGCAAATGGATTACAGCTTGAATTAGCTTTATGCTCGTTCAGTTTTCTTAAATCTTTTTATACTTAAACCAAGTTCTGTGCAGTTCTGATCGAATTCTGTTGACGGCTCCTTGGGACTACACGCTGTGACTGTTTCTGTTTTTGAGCTGTAAGACCAATTAAATGTGGGAAAAAGTCAAGCAGGTTCAATATGTTTTGACAGCATTTTAAAAAGGTGAAGATTGATCAGCCCTGTGTGCGTCGTGGACCAGCTGGACTCTCAGCCTCCCTTTTCAAAACTCATCGCAGTCTTGCCAGCCTCAGATCCCATTGTCCATATGCTTCTCCTCAACCTGTTCTAAAACACTTGAGTTGGGGAAAAACAAACTCCAGACTTGTTCCTGTTTCTAGCACTTTCTTTATCAATGATCATTGAGGAACTACTGTGACTCTGAACCATGCAGGAGTTATAGTCCCAAACCACCAGCTAATTAACCATTCATAGTGTCAGACGTGTTATTAACTGATATTACATCAGTCTGCTTCATAATTTCACCCGGGAAACACAATACAGTACGTTTTTTATTACTTTATAGCTTTAGTGGCGCTACTCACAACCCTCTTATGTTGAAAATGGGCAAAACGGTATAAAAAAAAGAACAGATGAGGAGCTCGTAGCCAGTGCCCAGGCCCGGATGAAATGGAAAGTAGTTGGCAATCAACTATGGGTAAGGAAATCTAATTGCCATGCTATAATAGCCTCCTTCTATTACTTGGACAGACGTGGGTTTGATAAATCATTTTGAAGCCACTTTTCTCCTTGTGTGGAAATACTTAGCTACAATGGGGGAAATGCCTGTAATTTTAGCTGAGCTTTTGTTAATGCACTCATTCATGGAAAAACAATGTCACTTATTTAGTCTTCAAGCATATTTATCTACCCCAAATATTTAATTAAATTGGGATAATGGTGGCTAATTTAGATGTTTTTTGGATGGTTTTAGCTCGGAGAGAAGTTCTCCCTAACGGTGGAAACCTGAAGTGTTCTCATTTTGACAGAAAAAAAACCCAATTAATTTTGACAGCTAAAGAGGTTATTGGACCAACAACTCTGGTTCACTCTTTGTCTGGATCACACAAGCACAAATGCACACACAAACTGACCTGAGAGGGAAGACTGTGTATTATTCAAACTCTGGTCCAGCAGCTGAGACGGTAGAAAGAAGGAGTTTTCCTTCTGCTGGGCCTCTGCTGATCTACCTGAGGCTGCACTCGTTCCCTCCTCGGGGTCTCCAAACACTTCCGTCCACTCTCGAGAGAAGTCGCCCTCATCCACAGACATACTGCCCAGGATCTCATTCAGAAAGGCCATGCTGTCCTTGTCCTCTCCCTCTAACTCTGGATAGGCAGAGAGAAGATCGTCCTTCCCTAGAATGATCAGGTAGAGTGAGGACTTAATACATAATTATGTAACATTAATACACTAATGTAACTAATGATTTACCTTTGATTGGGCCACTTATTTTCCTGGGCTGTTCCTATTTACTTCACACAGAAACTATTAACTAAACTATATATACTGTGCTGAAACAATTCAATCAATTAGTTGATTGGCAGAAAAAAAATTGCTGATTTGATAACTAATCAATTGTTTAAGTCAATTTTGAAGCAAAAATTCCTAAATTTCACAGGTTCCAGCTTCTCAGATGTTAATATTTGTTCATTTTCTTTGCCTTCTATCATGGTAAATTAAAGACTGTTGATCAAAACAAGCGACTTGAACACATGGCTGTGAGCTCTGGGATTTAAATGTTTCACTATTTTATAGACATTTTATAGATTAATATTCAAGCAATAATCTGCTTTATTTCCATAGTGTATATATAATACTGTAAAAACTGTGATATAGATGTAATAGTATTGTCTTTTACCTTCTCTGGTCTTATCGCTGGTGTTTTCATTTACTAGCGAGATGAGTCTAAAAAAAAAACAACACATCAGTTTATAACATTTTGCGCATTCATAAGGCAACAGATGTGTAGAAATATTGCTTTTATGTTCAGTCCAGACCGGTTCAGTGTTTTATAAAGATGTTCCCTGTTTTCACTGTTGGCATGCGTGTGTTTGGTCTGCCTGCATAAAGATCAAGGTGAGATAACTCACTGGTAGTCCGCGTTCGCTGCTTTCTTTCCATCTTCTGCCGCTGCTTTAACTTTCTTCTTCCCCTTCTTCTTAGCCAGCTTGTCCATGGGGTCTTGTAAGGTCTGCAAGAATAAGAAACTCACTGATATTATCATTAACTGTAGCAGTGTCAGAATTTAGATCTGTGCAGGTCAAGATGATTCACTGACCTTAAGTGTGGAGAACTCATAATGCTGACAGCCCTTGAAGCTCTCGTGAATGGCTGCCATAGTGTGGGACGTCTTCTCCCAGAAGTGCAAAAGTGTTGTCTGAAACAGTAGAACAAGCCAAGGTCACACACATTCAGCTGCTTGTGTTAAAAGCAATGATTCAGTTCATTTGCTTCTCATGTCTAGACTGCAGTGTCTAGCGTGGTCTGAAGTTAAATCTCCATCTCTTGAATTGCTTTGTTCCCTTCATGTTTGTCTTCCTTCCTGGCATAACCACATGTGGTAGAGCCATTGAAAACACCCTATTTAAGATCAATGGAGTGTAAACTGGGATTTGTGGTGTACCTGGTATGTGGTTAAAACGTGAGAGAGGAGGTTGCAGCGACTGGCTCCCAGCAGGTCCACTTTCTGGCAAACATCATTCTTCAGTTTGTCAAAGCTTGTTTTGGTAGTGCGCACCTGGGCTTGAACCTGAGATAGAGTTGATAAGAAAATGTCCCAACTGAAGGTAAGCAGCCAGTATTATGTATCACACAGGTTTGAACATTGAAAACAAGCACTGGAGTTCACGTTTGTGCAAGTGTAAGTAACTGAAGTGTAAGCATTTAAAGCATGCTGGGTGCTTGGAGAGAACCAATGGACCATCATTCAACAGTGTATTCTGCCCTCTAGTGGCATTTTTTGATAATTGTTTTTTCCCTGATTGTATGCTGTTTGTGTGATCTTAGCAGCATATTGGGTCTGAATTGAGTCAATCTAGTAATTAACAGCAAATATTTCTAAGTTGGGGCAGTGATATTATTTTCCTTTTCTCTCATATTCTGTGTTAGCAGGTTTCTGACATTATTACTCTTATTATATTACTCTGGCCAGGAAAAAACATACATCACAGGGACAGTGGATGGCAAGCTGAGCAAGAGGATACAGTATATTGTGACCTGTAATTGCTGGTGTATAAGCACAGGTGCAACTAATAACATTAAATGGTTAATTGAATGTATTAATTTTTCTACCTTAAGGGACAGCTTAACAGATGATTAAGCATGGGACAATATGACAAAAAAATTCAGATTATTTTGACTAAATATTTTTATATTTATTTTTATATCATGAAAATATACTAAATACTTTTAAAATGGCACTACTGGAATAATTTTCTTATATTTTGTTAAGAAAAACACTTGCATATAGGCACATCATCCCCCTGTTCTGTAATTTGAAATCTACTATTTCCACACAAAAGCGAGTCAAGCCTTCAGCCGTGGTGACGGGCTTAGGATTTTGGAATAGCTGGAAATTAATATATATAAAACTGTATGCTGGAGAGCTCGAAGGCTTTTTTCAAGTCAAGCCATGTGAGGATATTCAGAATAATCCTGATTCACTATTATCACGTGCCTTCATTCTAAGTGATCTATTATGCTTATCAAACTAAATGGAATACAGCGATTACATGTTATTGGTTATACCTGTGCTTTCTGCTTTGACAGAACAATGTCCGTGTGACAGACAAACCTTGCGGAATTTCTCCATTTGTTTATGTGTATCTGGATCCAACTCCTGAGACACATCCTTCATCCAAAGCAGCGCTCCGCGGTACTCGGTCCTGGACTGCTCCATTCGATTCACCGTCAGCCACGTGTCTGAGATTGCTCGATAGCGAAACGTTTCAACCTCCTGGTACAACCGGCACAGAGGGTTCCTCAGAGCCAGTCTGTAGGATGTAGTGTCAAATTTAGTATGAATGTGACAAATTTGACATTAATTATCATTACCACATTAGTTTTAGACATTACTAGATCGTCATACAATTTATAGTGCACAGGTAGAGTCCACTTTTGTTGATCCTTCTCAGTTAGGAAACAAAGCAAACTCTAAACAGTAGATAAGTACTTTGTCTTATTTTTGAGAAACAAGCAGAAGCAGAAACAAACTCACTAGCAGGACACATTTGTTTACCACAGTTTACCAGTGTTTGCAATTATTTTCCAGTATCCTAAAGGTAACACAATAACTCTAATATAATATTGTATTAATGTTAACTTAACTTGGTATTATCAGACATTATGTGTGGTTGTTTTGTTTCATATTTCTAGTTAGCAGACTGTGACACAGATTCAGAAATCAAATAAATTAATTCCATTTTGTAATAGAGTAAATGTATCACTGCTGTTTTATCTCTGCTCTGTAATTGTTATTATGCAAATCCTGTTTGTGAACATTACCATAAATAAATCTGGGATTACATTAGGACAAATAAGATACTTCTCTCTGTTCTTTTTTGTAATAGTAGGGGATAAAATGGACTGACCTTTACATAAAACTATTTTCTAGTACAGCTGTAACTTTAATGTGAATTGTCTGGATGTTTTCCTAAGGAAGTGCCATACATCTGTCATACCTACCTCTGTTGGGAGGAAAAGCAGAGTGCTTTCCCTGTGGCCTGCATTATCTTTCCAGCCCTGGTTTTATCCTGTGAGCCTTGGGAGCGCAGGAAACGACCCAGCTCATTCTCCTCCTGAGAAAGCACTGCACAGCAGAGATGGTGAATGTAGTCATAAGATTCAATCTCGTACAAACTTTGCTATTTAACTATATACCACATTTCCATTAGTTTCTGCGTCTTCTGTGTGCCTTTCTCCTGGTCAAACTGAGACAGAGCCAGCAAAGCCTAGCTCTTGCTTTTGTGGACATAAAGTAGCTTGCTGTGCAAACATTGGACCAACTAAAGTGCTATCAGTTTGTGTGTCTATGCCAGTTTATAACTTAAAGCAAGAGACAGCGTGCATTTTATGTGACTGACGGCAAGGAAACTGTTACTGAGATAGTCTTGGCCATAATTGTAGCGTGAAAATTGGATACTGGCAAGCTAGGGTTATGCCAGTATCCAATTTTCACGCTACAATTATGGCAATCTTTAACCAAACTCCTGCATTGGGGCTGGAGTCTGTTTTTCCAGAGTTGTCAAGGGATTAGAAGTGCTGGTGGCTATGAGAATCATACTCATTAAGTTCCTGCAGTAGCAATGCTTTGTTTTCCCTGAGAATGACAGGGGCACCGCTATGTACTTGCTTAGCATAGATAGAAAACTCTGGTTGGTTGTTGGTCCTGATCGGGTGTTACCTGTAGACTGCTGCACACTCACATTTGTAATGGAGGGGTGGTAATTGGGAGGATTTGTATGCCTGATTTGACCTCTACTGGTCTTTTGTTAGTAGACCTCTTAGTGCTCTCTAACGGCCACAACATTGAAGCACAAGGTAGTTCATAAGGGCAGCTGGTACCAGAACACCTTTAGGCGGAAGATCGATGATCAACTTTGTAGTTGTATCGTCTGATCTGGTAAAGAGTAGCAGAAATGTCAACTGATCATCACCTGTCGATGGGTTCGATCAGGTGTTGAGGGAAGCTGCCGGAACTGACCTGAAGAACAAAGTGATGAGCTCAAACATCCAGAAGGAGCTCGGAACTGTTGCTCCTTTGCAAAGAGTCAGAGTTCCTCCTGGATGCCTCCTTGTGGAGGTCGTCAGGGCATGTTCAATGTGTCCTCCTGAGAGGATTTAGCTGGGGCTAATAACTGACAGATGGATATTCATGTTCATAGTCCAAAGTATTGGAGTAAATACTTAAGTATTTAATGGACTACTAATATGATCCACTCTGTCAACAGTTTTTATACTATATAATACTTATGCTGTTTATTTGAACGTACGGCAGATCCTCCTCTGGTACTGCTCGATGACCTTCAGTAGCTCCATGCATGTTCTCTGGACGGAGTGGAAGACCTGCAGAACAGAAACAATCGGTGTAAACCTAAAGTCAAACGAACAACGCCATTGTGGAAGTTATTCTCCATGAAGTGAGACTTATTGTGAAGCACACTGTCTGAATATGCCTTGAGTTGTTCATGATACCTTTTTTATTGATTTTAAAAAACTACACTGATGAAACATTAAAGCCTTTTCTGAGGTAAAAATAGAAGTATTAAAACGTCACATCAAAGCTTTAAAAACGAGCTCTGTTATGTAGAAATCCAGTTTGAGTGGTTCATCACCTCTCTTATTGAGGACAATGCCTGAATTAAAGCTGGATGTTTTAGCTCTTATGAGGTATCGATTTCAGCCTTTAAATTCACTTCACTGCCGAAATGGAGGCATAGATGATGGAGGTTAGAGAGGTGGCTTAATGTAAGTTTCAAGCCTCGAGCAAATACTGGCACAGTGTGAATCAAAAAGCCATTTTAGTCACTGCAGAGTCCACCTGAGGGAAAGTATCTCCTGTGTTTCTTAATGTTTCTGCGATGTGATTGAGGCCTATGGTAACCAATCCTGACTTTCTGTTCCCGGAGTCACTTAACATACCACAAGCCCCCCGCCCGCCCCTGCCCTCGACACTTTCACATTTCTCCTAACCTCCAGCTTGGCATCCAGATCTGCGTCTGACGCCACCACATGCTCGTCCTCTTTCTTCCCGGTGACCTTGATGAGCGTCTGTTTGGTTTTCCAGTACTTCTGCTGGAATTTGTTCACCACAGACGAGTCTTGGCTTTGGATGAAGCGGTCCAGATAGTCTCGGGAGTAGCCACTGCAATGACACAGGGGTTGGACCGATGTTAAGACTTCTGCTCTCTCTCTCCTGTAATGATCTGGGTTAGAACTCATTGACTGGTGTGCAACTGGGTGTAAACACAAGAGGTATATACTCACAAATGTCCTCCCTCCATGTTTGATGATTACCTGTAGGGAAAGCAGAGCAGCTTAGAGTCCTTCTGCATAGTTTGACAGACGTAGTTGGGCTCAAGGACACTTTTTAGCAAACTTTTAGCAAACAAAAGTCAGCAGAAAGCTTGTTTCCGTTTTTTAAATTACAGCTAATTTGTGTAAAATGTGCATCACAGAAAATGTACTTTGTGAAATCTGTGTTTTTCGTCAATGCCAACATGGTAAAACAAAGACTGTGTGTAAATTTCGCTCTATCATTTTAACTCGATCACATTTTAGTGGTCAGAAATAGTGACTTTTTTTAGTAAAAGCTGATCGTTAAAAGGTTAGAATACTTTCCCTCGATACGTCAGTGAGGTGTTCGGTGTCTTCATTGTATGTCTCAACAATACAAACCAAACAGAAGCACAGTATAATCTCCACATTGTTCATAACATTAAGGATTCAAAAGTCTTTCAGCACAACATCAGCCTGGATACAAAATAAAAAAAAACACCTGTGGCACAACCAAAGAAAAACACCACCTGTATGTTAATACACTGAATCCTCATAAAGTTAACTAAACAACATACATACAGATACAAATGTCTATTGCAAGGTGGGGATTATTGTAAAAACTGGGTAGCTTAACCTATAGTATCATAATGTATTAGTTGATTTATATTTGTTGTAATAATCTAAACCTACAGCTATCAAATAAATATATATTTTCCTCCACAATGTAGAATAATAAAGTAACATAAAATGAAAATACTTTCCACCACTGAACCTTATGCAGGAGGTGACTCACACTGACTTGTAAAGTAAAGAGCATATAAAGGCGTGAGGACCTCTCCACTGCAGCTGTAAGTCACAATAAGGTGTGACTGAGGTCTTATTTGTGTTCCTGCCATCCCTCCCAGCAGCGTTCAAACACTAACCAGAGCACATTTCACTAACAGAGCACATCCTTAAAGCTTTAAACGTTGTTGACAACAACAGCAGCAGCTGGGTTCCAGAAAGCTGCTGTCCATCAGCGACCGAGGACGCAATGAATAAATAATCACCTCATTTCACGCGTCACGACTCATCTTAACGTGATGGGATATGATGCTGCTGCTATAAACGCACAGAGGGAATACATTGTGGCAGAAATACACACTTTATATCCGGATTTAAGCATCCGCATATGAACACTACACACAATACATCCGCGTCGCACCAGAATAAACACAACGCCTGACTCACCGCACCGAGGCAGCGTCTCCCTTCCTCATCGCCCCTTGTTATCTGAATATCACCCCCTAATATCAACACATAAATGAGCAGATATCTAAATAAAAACCCGCAGTGATGTCGCACACGTACCTCTCCGCGTTGATAACATGTATTAAACAGCAGGTTATATTCCTCCCATCGCCTCTCTCTCTCTCTCTCTCTCTCTCTCTCTCTCTCTCTCTCTCTTGTGTGTGTGTGTGTGTGTGTGTGTGTGTGTGTGTGTGTGTGTGTGTGTGTGTGTGTGTGTGTGTGTGTGTGTGTGTGTGTGTGTGTGTGTAGGCCCTGCTGCACTGTGCACTGTACACACAGCTGCTCATTCACTTCAGCGCATTGTCCTCTCTGCACGAGACACGGTGACGTCACGCACGGTGCCGCGCGCATCCCGTTTCAAATGTTTGTCTCGTGCACACAGGTATTACTGTGTGTGTGTGTGTGTGTGTGTGTGTGTGTGTGTGTGTGTGTGTGTGTGTGTGTGTGTGTGCACTGTTTGTCTCGTGCTTGTGCAAAACTGGTTTGTAAGTAATAATGAAAACAGACATTAAGATGTTTTTTTTTTTATTATTATAAAGTTAAAGATTTTTATATTTACGTGCATATTTTAAAAGGTTTGCAGATTTAATTTGATTTCCATTGTTTTCACTTCTCAGCAGATTCTAATATAAAATATAATGTACTGTAATCGTGGCTGGATTAACATGTTAAGGCGGAAAACTTTGTTTCAAAAATGTGTTTCCTGACACCTCCAAGTTCCAGTTAAACTTTCTCTAAACAAAATGTTTTAATTAACAATAGATCACATGACTGTATGTGAAAGGTTGTGATTGTAGTGACAAACAAATAATTATCACCCGACTATACAGAGTTTCTGCACCTTTTGATTAAATGATTTATTTATTTTTTAAGCCCTCAACTTTTAGATGTTTTGTTGTCACTCTCGCTGCTCTCATCAGTGTCATTTTCATCAAAAAAATGTCTAAAAACCTACTGAATGCTCCCAACACAAATCCTTTTGTTATCAACTAGCAGGTGAACATAGTGGAGCATTTATTAGCCAAAGAGCCAGATATTTCCCTCAGGAGCTGTTGGAGACCAAAACAAAGTAAGAATGAAAGTGAAAATTGGACTTGGGAGTCAATCTAAAATGAATGCTGATGTCGTTCTGTGTCTGCTGGATCAATGAACCAGCCACTGTTTGGTCACGTGTTTAATCATGCAGTATGTTTACAGTATATTATATATTTTATGTCAGTGTTGTGTTTACAGTTTGTTGTGCTGCCGCTAAGTGGCCAAAAGTTAGTTGATACAGGTTCAAGTACAGATCATACGGTAGACTAAACATACACGTTTATTCTTTGCCCAGACCCCCCAAAACCAGCAAAATATAAACTGTTTTATTTAATTATAAACTAGAGCTGCACAATTAATCAAAATATTATTGAAATCTCAATACAGCTAAGTGCAATATGCAAATCCACAGAGGGCACAAGTTTGTAATAAAGGTAATAAAAAAAACACAAAAAGACTACAAATCTTGATCTCCAAATTTAAGAAAACATTGGTAGAGACCTAAAAAGATGTCACATCAGCGTTATTTTAATAATTTTTTCAGTAAAAATTAAAACTTGTGATGCAAAAACGATCATTCCCACTCTAATTGTGACTCATATTCTAATAATCTCTCGCAATATCTGTCAAAATAATCGCAATATGATGTTTTTACCATATTGTAAACTAAAATGATTTATTTGTGGGCTGCAATTTTTAACTATTCTTTGAAATTACACTGACTAAATGATTAACAGATTAATAAAAAAAAAATGAAAGCAATAATTAGTATGCTGGATGAAGTTAAAACCCTCTCTAGTCACCCATCAGTGTTCAGTTCTGTATCCGTCCAAAGGATGGCAGTGTAACATAAAAGAAGGACAGTGCACCTTTTTAATAGTCTCCTCTCTCCTGTTTGGGGCCCCGAGCTTTCATCTGTTGGCTTCAATTTATTTCATCACACTATACTGCAGCTGATCTAATAGCATGTACATTTTGTTGTCACCTAAAGGGAATTTCTTGTCATGCCTCCAAATTGATGTACCTGTTTGCAGCCTTGGACAGTATTTGTGCTGCACAGTCACAAGGAGTGTGTGAGCAGCATACAGCTCAGACAATTTTTACAGATCAGCACACTGACTTACATTCAAACAGTAGATTATGGATTTATATTTGGAAAGTGTGTTTTATGTCGATCTTTGCAGACTTAATTTGATTATCACCAAAGGAACATTGAACCCTTTGATCCTCGAACACCCTGAGGTCATTTTCTGCACAATACAGCTCGTTTTCATCCGTTATGCAATATGGAAATAAGCATTTTGTGTTTATTAGTTTATTTTGCATCTTTAGTATCATGATACCGCCTGATTTCCCAAAGGAAGTCCTTCAGCTTGCCTTGGCGCCCTTCCAAACCCTGACCTCTGACATCATCTCAAGGCTTTTGATATGGGCAGATAGAACGGCACATCTCTTAAATAGAGGATATAATCTCTATAAAGACTGGTGTCCTTCACCCCATCTGATCCCCCTCCTGCACTTACCCACCTAATCGGAAGGTCCGAGATGGTATCAAAGCCATTTGCATTCACTTAAATAAGACAGGAAAACAATCAGGGCCCTAAATTAAGTGATGTTGTTGGGGGTCTAATTCAATCAGGACTGAGTCAGAGAAATTCCTTTCCGGTATTGATCAGGGACAAGCCTCAATGTTGATTTTCTGTGACAGTTCCTTACTCCAACTGGTGTGCTGTGCTTCCTTTTGTGAGATTTTCTTTGTATACATCACACTGTGATCAACTGTACACCAGCTAATGCCAGAATGACCAACACACTGAGTGCAATTTTCTGGGACACAGTCTAAACCAGACTTGAGCGTGCCCTCATTATGAAGGTTTGCAACCCCCCGAGAGTGCCCGACCTGACCCCAAAAATTGCTCAATTGACTTTTTCCATCTGCAGTTATGTGTGGTGATGGGGAACCATGACATTTACATTTGCACTACTCCAATATGATCCCTTGCTCGGCGCGAGTTTTCGACACAGACTATAGCTCAAAACAGGTCACAGGATCAAAAGTGTCTCTTGCCCGGAGGAGCCACTGAGTCGATCCTTTCCATTTCTGCACCAAATGGTGTTTTTCTCTCTCTCTCTCTCTCTCTCTCTCTCTCTCTCTCTCTCTCTTTCTGTGTCTGTCTCACCAGTAACTTGCTGGAACACATTTAGATCCTGAGTAGAACTCCTCAGTGCCCACTCATCACTCTGCGTGGTGTTTGAAGATTACTACGCTCAGAGACATCCTCACTGGGCATCCAGGCAGCTTAGAGGCCAAAATCCATAATCCCTTACCCTTCATGGGAATTCTCCATGCACTTCAACATGCTGAAATACAGCCCCGCTGCAGCAGCCACTCATGGTCGAGGAACTACTGCAGCCGGAGGCCGAGATAGATGGATGGCATGTCTCAATGAATGTGGGAGAAGTGGAGGAAGTTAGATTTAAAAATAAGTTATATACCGCAGATAGTTTCTGCCCAGAAATCTAATCTAAACAGATGTTTCTTGCAAGGTGTTTTATTTCTAATGCATGCACACTACCTCAGTCCATCTACATGCACTGGTTACTGTTTTATGTATACGGTAACAGCCCAAAGGATATTATTTACTGAAAATATAGGTGGGACTCAGCAGCTGCACAGCTTTTCTACAAGTCGTCTCAATAAAGATTTTCCTCTGAGCCTATAATGCCTTATTAAAAAGCGTAAATAAATGTAGTTGCCTGATTTAGTAGTCAGCATGAACAAGTAATATGTAAAGTTCAGCTGTTGTAGCTGAAGGAGCGGTGGGATTTAATTTTTCCTCCTCTAGGCTACACTCTAATGCTTTGTTAAAAACCATGTAATAGCTTGGGGAGTTTGTCTTGCAGCAAACAAGAATAATAAAAGTAATCTCATATTCACATTTGGTATTTTCTCATTATGGAAGCGTTTCTTTACAGTAAACCCTTTCCATTTTTTATTTTTAATTTTTAAGATAAGAGAGAGAGACTAAGGAAAGGTCAGATCAGGTTTTAGTCAAACATAAGGTAGCAGAATCACATATGTTGTTCCAGTGGTTTCTCACTCTGCACCATCTGTGCACACATTTTTTTGATTAGCACAAAGTCCAACTGATTAACAAGGATTTTATTTTATTTTTTTCTACTTTTCCAGTGGCAGTTTGCAAGGACACGTCCATTCCCTCAGACGACATATACGTCTGCCGATAACATGTTGAGCTCTAACTTGGACAAAATGTCAGTGTGAATGCCCTTGGTCAGCGAGGAGCTGGACCGCTACCCAGCACTACCGGCCTAACCTGTATCAGAGCGTTGCAGCTCTGTCTCCCCGCTGTTTGGCATGCTCCGTGGCACCGAGCGCTGAGGGCAGAGCGTGTCACCGAGCTGGCACCGGCCTGAACTCGTTCAAGGTTACTCTTTGATTTAATGGTGATGCATTTTTTAAAACCGCATCATCCCTCTCTCTCTTGCCACCGCGCCTAGTCCATCTCTGTCACAAACACTGGCTGTGCGTCTCACCTTTAGCAGTGGAAGCACCAGGAGAGGTTGTTTAAGATATAAATCAATGGCAAACGAAGCACCCGACTCCGGTGCAAGCTGGCCCTGATTGTTTTACCTGCCAGCCTGTTTTAAAGGCAGGATGGTGAAGGAAAACTATTCTATATATTTACACAATGACATGGGAAAACGGTCTACTCATCATGTAGACAGCTTTTTATGTGGGTGCCTACAATTAACACTGACTACAAAGCCCTGGCGTTTTGATACATAACCAGGTGCTGTGGTGAAATGTAATACCTCAGTGATTTTCTCTTAAGATGTACATGATGGAGAAAAGTATCAGGGTGTTTTTAATTTTGTCTTTGTCGAGTATAAATAGCATCACCTAGCTCTATACTTCAGTGATGCGTCTGACAAGGTGATATTCAGTAATCATCAGCTCTCCTGGCTGTTGTTTCAGTAAATATACACTGACAGCATTGTGTATCATAAAAATAGATATTCAACCAGTTGCTCTTTTTCTCTGAGGTGCAGCTGCTTGTGAGCGAGTCTAATTGTCAGGGGTTAGCATCTGTGCACACTCACACACCGATATATCGAGCTGATCAGACAACATTTAACTTTTCTTTTTTTCTCTTTTTCTTAGCTGAAATGAAATCTGAGCTATTCAGACACGAGAACATCAGCCTTTGTGTTGTGTGGCAGCCTGTTATGGATGGAGATGAGGATTTCTGATAAAGTGATAAATCAGAGGATAGAAACGGGCCATATTCATGAGCCATGTAATCCTCTTATATCTCATGTCATTTTGAAAAGCAAACACATCTTTGTCATCAACACTTGTGTGTCTGGTTTGATGAAGCTGCCTCTCTCAAGAACGGGGGAAACTGCGTATTTGCCCCTCCAACAGAAGGTTGATGAAAGACCTGATGAGCAGAAATAGGTTAACAAGTTAACAATAAGATACTAAGGGGGACTATTTTTTTATGGGGGAAACCATGAGAAGCTCCGTTTGATTGTGATCAACTCTATGAAGATAGAAACAGGCACTCAATGTTTTTGTAAATTAATCTGTTAGATTTTAGAGTTTCGGCCTGATAGACACATCGCAATGCAGATCTATCGTTAGAAACACAAAGGCTGTGAGGCTGTTGTGTCTTGTAAAACTAATACAATTCTATATTAACTCTTCAATTGATAGTTTTCATGAAACAAAGTATAAATCCAGTAAGAACTTCAGGCTGAAAGTTGCTCTCTAAAGTTAAAGCTCTTCCTATAATCTGATTTATATAAGGCTGGAACAAATGAATATTTTAATTAGCAACAAATCTCTTATTTTTCATTAGTTTGACTCGTTGTTTTGTATATAAAAGGTCAGAAAATATTGAAAAATGCTCATCACTATTTCCCACAGCCCCAGGTTACAACTGCTTATTTTGCCCCCCCAAAAAAAAACAGACACACAATCCAAAGACTTTCAATTTACAAACATATATTAAATAAAAGTACATTTTTCACAATCGAGAATCTAGAAACCAGAGTGTTTGACACTTTTATTTGATAAATGACTTTTACACACACACACACACACACACACACACACACACACACACACACACACACACACACACCTGTTGCATATTCATCCTCCTCTGATGCTCGTCATGACTGCATTTCTTTCCTTATTTAAATTGAAGGTCTAATGATGGAGGCCGTTGTATGCTGAACAGACTGTAGAGCTCTTCCATACAAATGTGTGATTTTGGACCATAAACATACATTAATGAGATTTGCGTAGAAACAATGGTGGTTGTGATTGAAGTCATTTATTAGGTAAAAAAAAAAAAGATTTACTGCTCCCAGCTTCTAAAATGTTTGTTTATATCATCATAAATGGAATATCTTCGTCTTTTGGACAGCTGATCACCAACAACATGCGATGGGAATTTTACACCATATTCTGATGTTTTTAGATTTAGATTGTGATATAGGGTAAATGATTAATTAATTGAACAAATAAGTGACATCAATTAGCAATTTTTTGTTTAAAATTAGTTGTTCGTTGCAGCCCTGTAAATGACTATAATGATTAATTGACTATCAGAATCCTGATCTTTCATTTGACTAATCAACACATTTAGTTGGAGCACTAGATTGATATATTGACAAATAATGTTAATAATAATTATACGCATTACAAGAATCAGTGGGTCAGTATGACACAGATACAAGACCAGACAACGGGTTATTTTGATCCAGACACAATAAGTGCAAGTTTTACCTTTAAAACTATTACAAATATATTGTTATTTAAATGCTAGAGTAGAATATTACAGTTCACCACCATATAGTTAAGAAATATACTGGTGACCCAGTGGGTTTCTACCCACAGTTCCTGGGTAATGTTAACCCAGTATTATGTCTGTGCTATAGCCACCCAGCGATTTGCAGTGTGTACGAATGCACGAGACAGATTTAACAAGATGAGGCATCTCAAACTGTTGCATTCTTTACTATTTCTTCCATTGTTGCGGTTCACAAATGTAAGCTTATCTTTCTGTTACATTCATTGTAATAATACCAAGAACGTTCTTGATTCTCCACACGCACGAGTGTCAAAATCCTCACAGTCCGTGGAAAAAAAAAAAGGGTTTAGCAGCCTGATAAAATGTGAAAACGGCTCTTGTCTCCACATAATGTGTTAACAGAGTGGAGACTTGTACATTTGGTGTTGAAAGCAGCCGAGACATCCAGCTGACAGATATTTGAAAGCGGCCTAATTTCGTTCAGATTCATGATGAGCTGAGTAGCATTAGATCATAGATGTGCAAACAGCAAAATGGGAGAATTAGACAGTCGCTGCTGTCGGCCATTATCCATTGTTGTAAGAACTGACAGCCTTACGATGCTAACATCCATTAGAGCAATTAGCTGCGCCACACAGGTGCCCTGCATTTCACTGTGAGACCTTCTATTAAAAGCCTCAAAATCTTCCTAATTTCCACACCCTTCCAACGAGAATTTGTATACCAAATGTAATATAAGCAGCGGGACAGAATTAAATAGAGCGTAAACTTAATTTCATGTTGCCACAATTCATTCGATTCATATGGGCTTAATAGTATTGTTCATTTTCCTGCATATTTAGGGGTGAAGTGTTCGTACCTGGTTATGTCTGGGGGGCATTAAGTCTGACTAATGAAATGACTCTATCCTCTGTGGCGTTTTAATCTATTCACTGCGAAAGTAATTGACAAGCCCACAGTATGTGCATTAGGATAGCTCCGGCACCAAAGGACAGCTGTCACTAAAGCAATTAAAATGACAAAGGTTAATTAATTCTCTCCAGTTTTTACCTGATATGAGGCATTCACAATGAGTGAGTTTTCATTTCCGGAGGAGTAATAGTGTTTCGAAGAGAGTAATTTATTTGTGATTTGAAAGAAAAAAAAAAAAAACACACCAGCCATTGTATGATAGAGATTTTAATATGTCAATACCTCACACAAAACTGTGCCCCAGGACAGCTTCAGCCCCAGATTTGAAATGAATTCTGCAGCAGGACATGGTCTGAAATGACAAATGGTTGTTGTTGTTGGTTTTTTTTTAGGATACCTATTATGTCTTCTGTAGCAGCGCAAACAAAATGTGATTTGTTTATAAATGAGGCTCGTAAATGATGTTTTACACTTAAACAAACATCTGTAAGTGGGGAAAAAAACAAACCTCTACATTTTCAGTACCGTTGGGAGGGAGGTGGGGGGTCAAGCGGAAGTAAAATAAGACGCACATAATTACTATGCCAACCACCTCTGACACCACGAGAGCAGAACCCAAGAACTTTCTAATCCACCTAAATGTCAAAGCAACGTACGCAGCCCTCCCTCCGTGTGAATCTCCACAGGCTGCCAAAAGGCCAGTGGTTAGTCATCTGTTTACTCCTGCAGCTGCTGGGTGTCATTGGGACTCTGAAGGAGAAATCCCATGATTCTCTCTGCCATTTCTGACAGCTCCCGCCCAGACCACATTAATCAGGGATTGTGGGCGAGCTAGGGGATAGACGGCAGGCATGGATGGCTCCGGCCCAGGACAACTGAACCGAGGGAGGAGATCTGGGCCCAAAGATAGCTTAGACGTCCAAACACCGCCGGGTTGTAATGCTGTCGGTTTCATTCATACACACTGAGCTCGTTAAACGGACAGTTTCTCTGAGGAAACGGCTAGTTTTTCTTGTTGCCGGGTAAAGTGGTGCTTTGAAATTAACATAATTTAAGAATCGTTGGCTTTAAAGAGGAGTTAAATGAATCCAACCTCTCCCACTTGTGCAAATTAGTCTCCAAGAAAGAGATTTGCTGCTTAATTTTGGTTATTAGATATTTGAGATCGGTTTGAATTTAATTTCTGAAAAGCTATATTTCCTACGTTTTAATTATAAAACTCTACGGTCTACATCCCCTCTGTTTAATCAGTTGTATTGAAGGTACAATCAGTGATCTGAAAGTTAACAAAAGATTAGCCCTAGTGCTAGAAGCCAAAACATAAAATTGGAACATTGAAGTCACTCCCAAAATGACTGACAGATGTTTTAATAACGGGCCTAATACTCGACTTAACAACTAAATCTAAGTTATTATTTCCAGTTGCTAAAGATTGTTATAATTCAGCAGTTCTTAAATACAGAGGTAAAGCAGCCCAATATTTGCAATCACTAGTAGATATTAAACGCACAGAATGCATATTTTTCATCCTTTGTCAAACTCTTAAACCTGAATTAATTGATTTGTTTGGGGGCAGCGCAGCAAACTGTCAACACAACACAGACAAATTATCGCCTCATGCAGTTGATACGTGTTAGATTCTTATTTACACTTCCAGCAGACACGGAGAAACGTTAGTATTCATTTGGGGCCGCGTTCCTGGCCACCTGGCAAATGGAAGTCGGATATTCACGCTCCTGTGCTTTGCACCAACTCCTGAGGGAAACATCTGTCTCTTTAGCTGCTAAATACTCCACTATGTTCTTCAGCTAGTCGCCAACTGTGGGAGCTGGGCAGGTAGCGTACAGTGGATTTACCAGAGGCGTTTTGGTCGGAAGGACCGCAAAAAAAACTAAAACAAAGAGCTTAAGGATGATAAAACGCTCCGTAGAGCTGAGGGGAAATCTGTGGGTCCGTCACATCAAGCAGTTAAGTGTTAAAATATTGATCAGTGGAGCTTTAAGTTATATTTGTGAATACATCTGTAATTCATATGGTCAGTATTAAAGCGTACACAACATGTAACATTGCATTTACCCTCAGATGACATCAGTCAGGGAACAGATCCATCTCTCAGTGGCTCTCACACCACACACTTTTGTGCCAGGCTGTTTACACTTGTAAGATTATGTGCATAATGAGGCTGCATTGTCTCGGCAAAGTGCTGCTTTAATTCTTTGAAGCCGAACAAACTGTCCCTGGCACATTTGGGTAGGGGTGGAGAGATATCAAAGTCACTTTATTGAGATGAAAGGACTGGCCCAAACAGCAATCTGAGACATTAGTCATTCCTTCTTCTCAGTGACAGAAACATGCTCTCAATTTACGAGTCAGGTGCTTCCAGTGATTTCTGCCAGCCTTGTTCCTCCACATCATAAATTCCTCTTTATGCTCACTCATCCCACAGGCAGACCCCTATTCTTTGGCCTGCCTTGTCACAAAATACACCCCATGTTGGCATATTGGATGTCGTCCAGGCTGCCATTAGCAGTTACTGTGTCGCGTATACCACAGCATACACTGTGAAAGAGCACTGAATTTAAATAGACAGCAGTGATTGCGCCCCTAGGTGCACATTTTTTTTTTTTTTACAGGTTTTCTATCAGCACTTTAATTCATTCTTTCTATGGTGTTGACTCTGCAGAGCTCCCACTTACACTGTGTTCATTTCCTCTAAATGCTTCATGTGGAGCCACTGGCTCCCAATTTATGTAATGAAGGTTTAATAGCCAATTGGAACATCCAATATCATTAACAGCCAGTGTTAGTCTCATCCAGATCTTTTTTTTTTTTTTTGATAACCAGAAGTGCCAACATTTGATAGGTGGGATGTGTGATTAGCACCTGCTGTTTTTATACATGTCCTGTCTCCTCTGGAGCAAGAAAGCACATTTTACCACATCTCACATTTTAACAGTTTGTTCTGTTTCAGCCTTTCAACTTTAAAGAACATCCTTTATGACTTCCATGTGTACCTGCTTGTTCTAATATCTACTTCTTAAACATTTTCAAACACTTTTACTTTTTCCTCATTATTAGCACTTTTCTATATAAATGATTATTCCAGTGTGTACAGATAGTTATTTTTGGATACCGCGGGGGCACTTTGGCTCTGACACGTAATACTACAGGCTGCTTGTCATATTAGTGATGCAGGGGTTGAAATTTATTATACTGGACTCGTTGTAAGTCATAAAAGTAAGATGTCTAAAATGGAAATGCAGGACTGAGAAAACAGCAGAATTAGAGCACAGTTATGTTTGATTTGTTTTTAAGGCGCAGTGCAGTAAATGATCCTCTGTATCTCTGTCAACTTGTGTGTCTTCTGCAAGTTTTATTTATTTATTGCAACATTTACTTGCGTATGTTTGATCTGATCTGAGCCCTCCATTGGTGTCATTTACTGTGTGATATTCATGGCCTTAAAACTGCTAACACATAACACAGAATTGAAATAGAAGCACTTTTTTTTTTTTTTTTTTTTTACTTTTTCTCCCGTGACTTGATGAAGATTATTTCTGACAGCTGCAATAACATGAAAATATAGATGGACGTTATTCAGTTGTTTACCACATTCGGTTCATGCATGGACATTGACGAGATTCCAACAACAATATCAGAGAGGTATATTCACTCTAACAATCACACTGCAGAAAACAACACCACTCAAAATATGTTTGCTTTTTCCATTATGTCCTCTAATGCATACTGACAGATTCTTCTTATTTGCATTGACATTTACGTGTTTGCAATGATTACCAGAGACTGATTGGAAAAGACAGAAAGCATGATTGAGACGGAAATACACTATCAACATAAACAACTAAATTAGCAGGAGAAAACATTAATAAAATTGTTTTCTGGTCTTTGTGTGGAATCCACAATATTTACATAAATACAATCAGCATATTTTTACGGTTGGCTTGAGAATTTCCTTTCAATGTAAGCAGCTATGCATATAATATGAGTATTGCAAGCCTATAAATGCTTCCCTAAATGCTCTCATAATGACCTCAGGGTAGGTCTGTTCATTGGAGCAATATCAGTCTCGCGACAAGGATATGTTAGCTGTATTAATGCCTGTCAACAATCTCAAGTTTGAAGTGTCTTGACTCCATTTTCATTCAAATAATCTGACACCGCTCAGGACCCGAAGCTCGTCTCTGCGTCCTTTTTTTTTTTTTTCTCCATGTCTGGTTATGTGATCACCCGGTGGGGAGGTAGGGGGTGTCACTGTGGTAGTTGTAATCTGGACACACCTTCTGCACCAGCTTGTAGTCGGTGCTGTAGAAGGTGATGAAGATGCAGATGACTTTAAAGGGCTTGGAGCACAGCCAGGACACGTGGCTCTGGGTCTGCTCCTGCGGGCAGCTCTGCGAGGGGTCGTGGGCACACAGTGAGTTCCTGGTCCCCTTCTCCACCTTCTCGTACTCCACCCTGCAGTTGAACAGTTTGGTGTCCTTGGTCTCCAGAGCCGTCTGCTGCTGCTGCTGCTGGTGGTGGTGGTGGTACTGCTGGTGCTGCTGGTGGACCTGGAATTCCACAGCTTTTGTCGGTGGAACGAGTCCCACGGACACGTTGCCCTGACCGGTTGAGTTGTGGCGGAAGTAGACGCTGAATGTCCCGTTGCCGTGATCCACGATTTTACCAGTAATGAGAAGGTTGAGCTTCACCGTCTTGATGTTGGAATGGAAGTCGCCCCAACCGAACATCTTCTTGAACTTTCCGGTCTTGACAATGGGCCTCCTTTTTGTCCTGGATCGAGGATCGCGTGGGTTTGAAGTGTTGTAAAGCCAGTTCCACTGCTCCCGTTTAGTGTACGAGTCTGCGTCGTCGTAGTTCAGATCCAGAGAGGTGAAGTTCTCTTTGCCATAGAGGGTCTGGGACAGCAGGCGGCTGATGGAGAAAGCCTTGCTGCTTTCAGTCCAGTAGGTCTTCACTTTGGGTTTTGAGCTCTCTCTCAAGTCTGAATTTCCTGAATTTGGTGAATCAGCACTGGTAACCTGGAAAAAAACAAAAAACAAATCACCATCAGTGAAAAATTTGAACTGGAAAGCACTCAGAAAGATCATACCTTTGACAAGACTGAACAAAATGTCCTTAACATTTCTATAAATTCAATTTTTTAATAAACGTTATGGAATGTCTATCTGCCTCTGGACCTTGAACATTAAAATACATGTGGTGACAGACAGGGCGTAGACAATCTATATCAGGGAATATTAAAGCTTTGTATAATTATGAGTCAGATCACTGAATTAAACAATCTTCCCAAGAAAAAGACAGGAAATTCAATTATTTTAGAAGATAAGAATAATAAAACAGGAAATAGTCTGTTATTAATGAAGTGGTCATTATATTCAATACGATAAGGGTCCCATAACCTTTAACAAAATATTCATTTTAACTCAAACTGCAATGTTTGCGACTGTAACCCTCCTTAACTAAGTCATTTTTGTAACTAAACCTTACCAAATATTAATCGCTGCTCCATCAGATAATAAAAGGCACAACTAATTGTGAAATGCCATCAAATTTTGCATGTGATATAAATATTATTGAAAGTTTTAGAGAGTTATGGCAAGTCTAAATGTTGGAGAACCGTTTTTAGACAGAAATGGGGGGGTCTTATATTGAAAGTTTTTTTATACATTAAAACAAATTCTAAAATCTCTCAACAAAATCCATTAATTCTCCACAAAGTTTCAGGTTCTGCAGCCTTGATGGACCAGATCAGTATTTCTTAGAATTACATCCATTGCCAATGTTCGGTTCCAATGCAGAAATCCACGTGGTCTATTGCTTGCTTGTTAGCAAGTCTGACTTGTTGTACTCAAAAGATTAATGTTAGCAGTTTTCTGTTCAGTTTTTGTTCGTGTATTTGCTGAAACCGCAATCTCTCCATAACTTTAACTTACTTGCCAACCAAAAATCTAAATCTTTTTTTAATTGAACGTAATCCAGGTTTTTGCAGAATCGTCTAATGTCAACATTCGTATGCATGCTGAGTGCCTCATGGTTAAAATCTGATGTCATGTTTGTAGAAAATCCTGCTAACTAACAGACAAACAATCGGGAAAACAACCAATCTCCTTTATAGCAGAAAGAAAACACTACAACAAATAGAGATGATTAATCCACCTACAAGTATGTCAACACCTCTACCAAACGGCGTTAACGCTGTAACCGACTCTTACAGTGTGTGAAATGTCTTGTGCGGAGCGTCCTTATCAAGATTAAGGGTATTCCTGCCATACAGCGAGATGAATGAAGCGCTTCTCGAGTGCAGACGTGATGCAACAGCAGACTATTACCTGCTGAATGTGGCCTGAATGGATGATTGATGATTCATTCTGTGTCTCTCCTCTAACAATCACACAGATGAGAGAGCGAAGATCCCCCGTGCACCCCGCAGAGGCCTGTGACAGTGATGTCCAAACCCCGGCCGAGGAACGTGACAGCAGATCTATCTGGTCGAAGCGTTTACATTTTGTACCTTCACCCCGCGATCGATACTACTGAAAATAAGGTCTTCTCTCATTCAGAAAGTTCACTGAATGACATTGTAGTACTGTAGGCCAGAGTGTGTGCGGAATACTCGCAAAGTAAACTGTTGAAGGAGTTGTGATCTTCCTCTGAAGTACACTTTCATTTTGTGAACTTGGCTTCAGAGTGGAGGAGTTTGAAAAGATGGCCTCCAGTTGTTTTGAAGAGGCGTCGATGATGAATGACCTGATGTGGATGAACCGTTAGTGGCATTGTGGAGACTTTGGCTTAGAAGCTGCTACATCTTTCTCCCTCTCTAAATAGAGGAACGTAGCCTGAGCGTTTTTTTTCTTAAAATGCAACATGATAGGCAGAGTCAAATCAAAGCCTTTCAAACCCCCAAAACATTTGGAGTTTGCCAAATCTTTGCAACCAAATGGTTTAATAAAAGAAAAGAGGAAGCTGCAGGACCTTCAAAGCAGAATGTTTGTGGTGACGAGCTGAAGAGAAATATGAATTTCAGCAGTTTCCTTGCGCAGTGGGGCAGTTAAACCGTATTAATGAACACCTCCTTTTGTCTTCCATTGCTGGAAACAAAAGTCTGTCATGTTGCCTCACTGGTGATGTATTGTAAAAAGATAAAGTGAGTGCGAGGATGAGGGAGGCTTCCTGTTCAGGATTTATTGGCACCATTATAATCAAACATAAAGCTCCTTAGGATGTAAAAGTAGCAGTGAAACAGTATCTTATAGACTGTCAGCCAAGCAGCTATAAAGTCTTTTATTTTGATGTTATAGTTCAGTCTTTATTCTTGGGTTTAACAATATTTGAGATTTCAGCTCGTTTCAGGTGTTAAAAGTGAAAATAATGTATAATACACGTTGTATGTTGCAAGGTCAGAAGAAATGTTAAGGAAAAGCTAGTGAACTAGAACTGGATTTCTAACACTTGATCCCTCACGAGTTTAAACGTGAATTCAGTTTGCTGTAATCGTAAGTAAATAAACTGTCTGTAAATTACCTTTGACCCATAATGCGAACTGCAAGCCCCATTTATTTTTCATGACTATTTCTATTCTGAGTTGTGAAAAGACTGTAGTCTCTAATGATCAAATGAAATCTCATTTTCATAGTGCAGTAATTACTGATGTTTCTCAGTAACTGGGTTTCAGTCTCAATGGAGTCCTGAAACCAGATCAAGGGATATTAGGGAACTGCTTTCAGCTGGTTTAAGTGACTGTCAGGCTAATTAGTGACAGTGTTCGTGTGGATGCAACATTTTAACGTGAAGATGGAGAGAATAATTCCGAAACAATGCTGATCTAAGCAGGTTTAGGACTCAGATGGCTCAAGTTTAAGCATTTTGTCAGCCAAGAAATTAGATTGCCTTCAACAGTGTGTTTTTAAAAAGCTACAACTTTCTACAACTTCGTGTCATGAATAATTTTGTAAGAAGAGGTGTCGCTGGAATCATATTTTTTTTGGAAAGTGGATTTCTTCACTATTTTCTTCCAAGATTATCAAAATTACAACAGCACATCCTGAAGTGTGTGCCCAGTCATCGTCAGACCTAAGTCCTTGTTGTGGAGACTCGCTCTGTTGTCACCGGCGTTATGTATGGTCCCCAAACTGTGACATGCAATTAGCTTTCATCTAAAGCACCTGACAGTCTCTGGATTAGAGCACTCAGAGGCACATTCACAGAGACCCCACTTCACGGATTAGAGCCCAACCTGTAATCCAGCCTGGGGAGATTAGGCAGATCAGAGGCAGTCCTGACTAAAGCAACGTTTATATCCAGAACACCCCGACTGACTGCACCAACACTCGGAGGGCCAAGATTTACCTCTCGCTGGCTTCAAAAACATGCAAGCCAGGCACAAAGAGAGAGAGAGTGTGTGTGTGTGTGTTAGATGCATGAATGTGTCTGAAAGAGATACTGCAGAGAGAAAAGAGGGAAAGCGCTGTCGGATAAAGGACAGAAGAAAAACAAACATGGCAGCTAAAGGTCAACAGTCACACTTTGGGTTTAACAGATATTGGTTTGTCAATATTGGATTTTTATTAAATATCAAATAAAGGACAAACTTTATTATCCAGTGAAATTTACTTTGCACTTAATTGGCTTTATTTGTGATATATTTTATAATTAAATTCTTGATTTCAGTAGTACTTTACCCCTTAAAAGCAGTACTTTCTTTGGACCGTTCACCGCAGGTTGCAAATGTCTATAAAACAGTGATTTTTTTTAGTCTTTTATTTAAATATTTTTAGTGAGCAGAAAAGATAAAACTATTCAGTATGTCACATGAAAAATGCAATGATTACAGAAAAATCTGACAAATTATTGAACTCGATGGAGCCGAACATTTTGTTTTTGTCTTTCCAATCCCATTAATCATCTCGCGACTCTTCTTCAGACTTACAGGATATTCACCCAAGAAAAGGTTTGAATAGGAAATGAAGTACAAACTTGCAGTGGGCCAGAATTAATATTAAGGCTATAAACAGGGAGATAACGTATATCACGTTCTTGGCGAGATATAAATAATCCAAAATGGAAAATTATCTTTCATGGAAAAAATACCAACCCTCTGTTTATCTGTGATGTTATCATGCAGCTGTGTTTTAAAGGTTTCGAGACGTTGTAGATTTGGGTCTTTTCATGGGATTTGATGACTGTAAGAAAAATAGAGAATTTCTTCGTCTTTATCCTTTTTTAAATAAGGCTTCGAGCTGGTTTGAAGAGTGTGCTTTAATGGGAACATATGGCTGCCTATCTCGCAATAAGTTTAGACAAATTGTGCAGTAGTGAAGGCTAGAATGAGCTCAAATGTGAATAACACTGATACAATCCTTTTTAAAGACCCGCTGGTCCTGATTCTGTTAGTTTGGGTTTCACAGCTTTTAAATTTGAGCTAAAGTTTTGACCGATTTCCTCATTCAGCTTCATAATTTAAGTAATTTGGTAATTTCACATGATAGATTTTTACTTGTATTCTTTTCTCAGTGGGTTGGAAAACAGTGATGTCATGTATTTCTGTGCACCAATAAGACTTTAGCAAAGTTTGAATCAAAACGAGATGTCATCAAATCTGATCAAACCACACTCACACAGTCTGGATGTAGCAGATTAGCTGAGTAATAGATTCAGTCCAGCTCCTACATTTCCCATAATTGAAACAAAAGCGTCTTCAGACTCTACTTTTTATGGCAAATCTCTATTAAACTCCATCCGTACAGTTTTTAACAACGGGTAAAATCGGTGGATTGACTCCTTTTACACAATAAAATGCAAAAAAACAGAAAGTCATATGGGTCAAAGCCTTGTGCAAATGCAATAGCATAAAAAATGTTTGCAGTATATATTGAATATAGTGTTTTCATTCAAAGATTCAAACGTATCTCTCAATCATATTTACAGGCTTTCATTTCATGGCTCAGAGTTTTTCCAACTTTTCGACCTGCAGTTTGTTATGCAGGAGTCTCCCGCCCCCCCAAAACCCCATTTAACTGTCTGTTAATATTATTCCCAGGGTCGGTGTATGAGGCAGAATCCCTCTACAAGATAACACAAACAGCATCGGTATGCAGAAGTCCTTTAGGAAACAACTCTCAGATTGCCAGATGCAGCATATAGGCAGGCTGTTGGACAAACCTAAATGCTATCTACTCTTGGCGAGGCTGTGATAAGGCGCAGGCGTCCGCTCTTTGAAACAGGAAGATAAACAACCCCCGGCTTCCCTCGGGAGCTCGGAGGATATTCTATGGGCTGGACCCACCGAACAGCCAACAAATTCCACCTTTAATAGAACCACCAGAGGAGCCAGATGACTCGGCGGTGGGCTGTACACAAAACCTTGCGAGGAAGAATGAAAGTGTGTGTCAGTTTTCATTTACCTGAATGCTGCGGCCGCTGTGTGGGGAGGATTTGTGAGTGCGACAGTTCTAGTTTAACAGAGTTAGAATGGAGAGGGACTGAGGCTGATAGCAGATTTCAGCTGCCACTTTGCAATCTTGATTGGATGGCGTGTGTTCTGAGTTCAGCTGCAACGTTCAGAAATTAAAAGAGTTCTTGTCCTTTTTTAATGTTTCTCTTTTTTTTGTGCTTGAAACAGCACACTGCAGAAGTTTTTTGTGGATTTATTTACTTTAACTTTACTTTAAATTTAAGGTTATTAAAGTGATGCTCTTATCCAGAGAGGCTTAAGAGCACGAGAAGCTATTAGGGGTTAGAGTTTGGCTCAAGGACATGTGGCTGTTGTGGCATCAAACCTGTGACCTTTCGGGGTATGAGAACTTACGTCTCGCTCCACCACTCCCAGCATAAGCTTATTTTAATCTAATTTATGACTTTTAGATGCCATGAATCTCAAGTACTTCTACCATAATAGTCTCAGCAAGAAGAGTTTAAGAAGAAATGTACTGGTTTATGAAATATCGGCTTCAATTTAGAGCCACTTTTCTGTCTGAAAGAAACGTTCCTTGAGACAGGAAGCTAGTTTGAGTCCTCACTGCGTTGATGCCGTCTTTTGGAGTATTTTCCAACTGGTCACTTGGGATATGATCGTGGTCGTATTCATTTACAGTGAATCTCACTTGTCTCGCCTTGTGAGGTCCCCCCCGTGGTCGAGCTGATGGATCAACTAAGGGCATTTGACGCCCACCAAGAGTTTAGGTCTATATTCTCCCAGTGATATCAAAGCATTACCTGAGGGGGGTCAGAGATGATGACAAATCACAAAGTGTGTCAAGACATCACAGGCAGCTTGTGGATGGAGCCGAGTCCTATCGCTGCAGCACCGCTTTGAGAGGCCAGGGCACAATTATTACCATGACTTCTGAGGAGGATAAATACTGTACGCGGACAGACTGCGGGATATTAGAATGGGGCAGTTTGAAGAAGAAGGAGGAGGAGGTGGGGGGAGAGAGAAGAGGGGAAAAAAAAAAAACCTAGCCACCAGTTTTTCTAACTTACCCAGAGGAAAAATGCATAATCATATTATTTCACACACGAGTTGGTTCAAAGGCGGCCAAAATAAGTTTGTGAGGTTCCCATGGGTCTGTCAATCTGTTGAAGGAGCTGCAGGCGAAAGCTTAGGATGCACCGAGTACGAAACAATTATGATCATCCCATTAAAGCATAGCGAAGCAATTTGGCAGCCCAGTCTGGAAAAAAAACACTCCCTTCAAGTGATGCTATGAGATCAGCTCACGCTACCATGATGCTATTGTACATATAAGTCACATATTTAATGATTAACGTTTGTCTTTAAGCTGTGGCAATAGGGGAATCCATGTTAGTTAATGTTATTGCTTCTGAAATCGAAGAATCCTTGTGTTCCTTCAAAGCAGGAAAGGCTTCGTAAAGTAAAAAAAAAAAGAGGGAAGGAGGGGGGGTGAAATGATTAGTGCGCTTAGTCAGCTGTGAAATTGAGTTTATGGTTTTCAAGACGGTGAATTCAATTCGATAATGGGTATTAAGTTGTAGAGAATAATTAATAGTAATTGACTTCTTTCCATCACTATGCAAATTAAACACAGATAACACCACAGGAGCTTTTTAAGGCCAGTCAAGTTTGTGGGGATTAAGTTTATGGAATTTTTTGTTGGAGAGAGGAGTGGCTCCTGTTCTGCTTTGATTGCTTTGTTGACAGATTTATCAGTGGGTGAGGGGTTACTGTCTCTGCGAAGGATTAAAGGAATTGGGTTGTCACAAACTGTCAAGACACTGAGTTAGGAGCATTCTGGTATGTTTGTCATAATGGGCTCAGGCTGTTCTCCGCCGTACTGTCAAATATATTCTTATTGAACTGCATCTGTAAATGGGCGAGAGGAGGGGAAAATGCAAAAGAAGGATTGAATGGATAGTGCTGAGGGAGAAATATCCAGCGGGACTGTGTGAGGGTGGATTTGTCAAGATGCAGATTTAGGATTTGGGAAGCTTGTGTTCACACTGACATTTGTTCATTTGTAAAGATATTAATGAGTTGATGCATGGAGCAAGGGGGGGAAATCTGGTTTGTGGTGGTGTCATTTGTCTTTACAGGACTTAAATTTAAGGAAAACAATAAAAAGAAAAGATGCCTTTAACTCTACTATAGCACATGTAAAATAAGGAAATCAAAAAAAGGACATTTTGCTTCACATATTTGAGACTTTCACATTTTCAGACAGCAACAGATGTGATCTTGCAGCAATAAATTCTGACTAAAATCTTGCTTGTTTTTACACTGTGAGCTCCTGAAACCTGAAACTCACTCCTCATAATTTCTGTTTGCGAACATTCCTCGATATTCCTGCTGCCAAATATTAATCAGACATTTTTAGAGATGTAAAAAGACATTTGAAAAGGTCAAATTAAAATCACATTTAACTCACCAGAGAGATGACTGACAGCAGCGCAGCGGCAGCCCACAGACATGTGGTCTTCATGCCTCTTTGTGGAGCGTCTCCCCTCATGTCAAACTGTCCTTGATCTTCTCAGCCACAAAAAAGAAATCTCCTCCTGACTGAGCCGGTATCAGCTGCCGAACTTGAGGAGAAATAAAGAGTGAGGAAGGCGGCGGTCCTGAGGCGAGAGAGCAGAGATGAGTCTTCTCAGGCTCATTCAGGAGGGTCAGATGTCTGCTGTTTAAACGTGTTCACGGGGGTGATTTGGGGATGTGAGGTTTGGAGGCGCTGTGGCGAGAAGCGAGGTGCTTGTACATCTGAGTGTCAGTGTGGAGGGATGTTTTATATAGCGCGCTCTGAGGTTCAGAGGGAGAGAGAGAGAGAGAGAGAGAGTGGGGGGAGGGATGGAGAGACAAATAGAGTGAGGGAGAAAGGGGGAGCAGAGAAGGAGGTTCACATTATAGACTTCTGAGAAACAACTTTTCTTTTAACATCGTCAGGGGCTGACATCTAGTGGCCGTTCTTCTCCTTTACATCAGATCCTGTAAACATCAGTGAGATACATGAAGCAGCCATGTTGATCTCAGGTTGAGAAGGTGGCGAGCCCGATCTGATCAAAGTTTATTACCTTAAAGTGACCTCACAAAGAATATTTAGTCCTTTTTAGGTCAGAGAGAAATGTATGCTGTATGCCGTACCCCATTCAAATATTAAACTGTGTTATAGCTCTGCCGGTGTTTAGTTGTACAAGATACTTATTATTCAATCAACCTGAAATTAAAACATTTTAAAGGTTATTTAAGTTTTTAGGCCAAATAACAAACCTGTTTTTGTCAAAATTAAGTTTTTTGGTCACACCAACAAAAATCTACTTTAATTTTTAACATTTTTTGGTTATTGCATATATTAAAAAAAAAAAAGAATACAACTGTTTAGAGTAAATATTTAATAGAAAATTGAACACAACTGCCAAAAGTGCAGAATGTGGATGTTCAATACAATTACGAGACTCAGCTTTTAGTGAACATTTAAAAGCACGATTAAGAGTTAAATGTGTGCTGAAGAAACAATGCCATGCATTTGCGATAACAGTTTTTTATACTTTGTAAACAAGTGCCAAACCAAATGAGCAACAGACAAACATCTCTATCAAAGTTCTGCAGGGATTTATCATTGCACTTCCTTAAAGTTGGTGGTCTTTGTTTTGTTTTTAGGCAAATCTTTTTAAAAAATGATGCAGCGGAGGCTTTGTCCTGTTTAAAGTTAAAGGTCCAGTGTGAAGGGTTTAGTGACATCTAGTGGTGAAGTTGCAGATTGCTACCAAATAAATACTGTAAGTGTGTAGGGAAAACTATGATGGCTGCAAAACATCCCATCCAGACTGGTTGGTTTGTCCATTCTGGGCTACTGTAGAAACGTGGCAGACTCAGTAGAAGAGGACCGGCTCCCTCTGTAGATTAAAAACGTCTCATTCTAAGGTAACAAAAACACAACAGTTCCTATATTCAGGTGATTATACACTACTGAAAACATACCTATGAATATTATATTCCCTTTCTGACAATAGATCCTTTAAAAATACTTGATTGTACACACATCCCATAATGCATATATTTCCTTGGTAAACATCCACATCTTTAAAACTCCACGTTCCCAGTTTGTACCACAGACTTTCTGGTTAAAATTCAGAGTCTTGAAGCCCCAAAATGACTCCACTAATGCCGTCTGAGTGTTTTTTTTCTCCCCTGATGTGACAAAGCTCCTCTAGAGCCACAGAAGACATTATACATGTTTAAAGGCTGAGAGGTTCTAATCATGACTATTAAAATGACATTGCAAAAGAAAACTGTGAATAGTGTGCAGCCCCAGTGTGGTACAGGTGCAGGACAACAAAGAGTAACAAAGGAAATGGAGAGGGGAGGGAGCTGGGAAATGTCAGTGCGCTGACAGCATCTCCTTTTCCTTTGTTACTAAATTGACACCAACACATAAAATGTCTAAAAAGGCGGAGTGACTCTTAAAAGCTTAATTTTCCCATAATCTACACACACACATCTTAACTTTGAATCAAAATGCAAAATATGATCTTAATTGTACTTTGTAAACTCAGTGGACAAATGTTTTTAACTGGTTATGATTCAGTCTAATACTGATGCCTCTATATGACCCACATAAACCAGACCATCAGTGAGACGATTGGCTGTTTCTACGTCGTCTAAGTCAGAATCAGAATCAAAGTTCCCTGTAGGGGCTTTAAATGAACCTTAAATTTAAAGTTAAACCCCCTAATTGTTACTGTTAGAGGAGGCCGACACTCACTTTGCTGATTTCAACTCATATTTAGTTGTTTTACTTTACTAGTCTACCTTTAAAGGATGATAGTCTTTATCTTATAGTGAACAAAACCTATGAAAAGACCAAAACCGACAATGAATTGAGTTACTAGGAAGTGTTGTGTTCGTGTATCCAAAGCCTGATACATCCTATTCCTCTCTGATAAAGAGCTCCAATGTTCAGAACTATTAAAAACATATCACTGAGCCACACTGTTGCACTGGGTGATGTGTTCCTTCTATATTTTTAGTCAATCCCTTATATGAGACACTAGAGCACCAAACATGTATTAATCCACGGCTGAAAATAGTCCCCAACAAATGCACTTTTCACTCCTGTTTGAGTAACTGACCGTGTTGTATATTTCTGAGATTTGTCTTCCGATTGGAACAAATGGAGCCTCGGGCAGGGCAGGGAAGCTGGAGAGTACTGAGAGAGGAGCTAGACCAATAAATTGGTGTATGTGCAGCACAGAAATGCCAAATAAGTTGTAAGATAACTTAGAAACAGTGTCAACATTACACAGTTTGTCCACCAAAGAGCAACTACAGGTTGTAAAATGTCCCACATAGTGTATGTATCTTCATCACGGTGCTTTAAAATAACAAATATGAATGACATTGTTTGTGTTTGTGCTTATGTATCATAAAATATAGATATCAGCATCAGTCGGGTGATAACCGTTTTGGTCTTTTTATGGGATTTGTTGACAATACAGAAGATAGATAAGAAAACATCAGCCTTATTCTTTAATGCCAGTATGAAGGGATTCTGCTCTCTTGTGAAAATATAAAGAAAAATACAAAAATGGCTCAATAACTTTGTTTTACAACCGTGTCCTTATTTATTTTCAGTAATTCTTCCCATACATGTAAACAACCTGTACAAAACTGCTGAGCCTTTTCATCTTTTTCTTCTGCTTTTTTCTGTCCTTTTTTTGTTTGTTTGTTCACAACATACAACTTGCATCATGATAACAACAATCAGCAATATCACACACCCCACTTTGCAATATTCAAACTAAACATTTTCTGTGCAATACAAAATAAATGTACACATACTTTTTGATATTTTTTTTCCAAAAAAATAAAAAAATTGCTGTTATTTACAAATCCCACAACAAAAAAGTAAACATTCTCCACACCAGTTTGCTTTTACGTTGAACTCAGCAGAAGCGCGTTCTCTTATTATTAACATGTTGTATAATTTTTGTCTGTACAGACTGTTTTTTTTTAACTATATTTCACCTCATGTAGTGCGAGTGAAAAACGACAGAGCACCTATGATACGGATTACTACATGAGAAAGTTTTAAAAACTCTGACGTATACTTTGCTAAGTGACCTCAAAAGGAAAGCAAATTGAATCTTCTTTTACGTCTACATGTGGTGAAGAATGTTTGCTGTATGCCTCTTCAAGTATTAGAAACTGTATTACAGGACTGTTAGTATTTAGTTATCATCAGTAAGGCAGAAATGACATTTTGCGTGACATGAATGGTTTAAATTTATCTTTCTTGTTCTTTGATCACTGGAAAACGTCAGCTTCCTCCACAATGCACGACTGTAGGTTAAACAAAAGTAAACTGAATCTGAACTTTTTAAAGCAGGCGAGTCATTTAAACGAAGTCACCTGCTGATACCATAGTTAAGTCTTTAATTGCATCTGGGCAGAAATAAAGTGATAACACCGGACGAAATCTACAAACCACAAAAGGTACTTTTACTACAACCCAAAAAATCAGTGTGAGAAAAAAAATCTATACATATATTTACTTGAGATTCACACCTTGTTGAATGTGACACATCTGAACAACTTTTCCTGTCGCCGTCGTTTTTCCTTCTGAATGTTCTCGCTGTTCCTCTGCTTCATGGTTTTTGTCTGTGGAAGAGGCAGTGTTTTATGGCAATAGAAGGTAGAAGTCACATGTGCATATCATGCTGCACTAATATAGTGCAATGTAGAGCCTGAAACAAAGAAAAAAGGGTGGAGGCAGGCAGGCAGGCAGGCAGTAGTTTCCATGAACTGATTGCAGGCTACTCCTCCATCAGCATCGTACAGATCAGTTTATCCCACAAACACAGGCCTGTGTGCCTCTAAATCGAGCAAAGAAAAAATAAAAAAAAGGAAAAGAGGAGAAGAAATGCCTCCCTTTTGTTCAAGACTGTAAAAGAGATTTGAGTCAAAACCCAGTTGAGGATTGAGAAAAAAGGAATCCAAACCTTTTTATGGAGATTTTCCTCTCCCTCCTCCTCCTCCTCTTCCCTGCGGTGACTTTTGGCAACATACGAACCGTCAGAGCATCCTAAGCCTCCAGCTACTCAGCATTTTTAGGGACAAGCAGGAAAAGCGTGGGGGAAGAGTTGGAGCTTGTGCTGCCATGTTCAGAGACAGCAGGAGAGCCGGGTCTGTCTTCAGCACCAAGCTTTTCCCTCTGTCTGAAATGAGTCGTTTCTTTACAGAACTGTGGATGTGTAAGGGGGGCAAAAATAAAACAAAAAAAAAAGGCATTTCATTGAACACGGTGGAGGTCACGAAGGCTCTAGCAAAAGAAAATACTTAAAAAATACAAATGAGGAGTGAATGGAGCTCTACTTGAAATGGTTAAACCCCACCAGTGTCTCTGCTAAGAGGATTTTCTGTAATTTCTCCGCTCTGTGACGTGTCCATTCACGCTGCAAACATCCGTGTCCCTCACTGTAATGGCTGTGATGGAGTGGGTCTCTATGACAGGTGAAGTGCTCGGTGAAGCGTCTCCCGGAGGACTACATGTCCGTGTCCCCGTCGTAGGCGAGAGTCAGAGGTTTTAGTCGGTTGTTTTGCTGCCTCTGTCTCTGAGGTCTCTTTGGCTTTTTGCTGTGTGAAAAGATTAAAAGCAAAGTCAGAGTGGCACAAACAGATAAAGACATAATCAACTACCACACTTACCATGTGGTCAGAGCACCTGCTACTGTATGTTTCAGGTAAATATGGTTAATAATGAACAACAGGAACGCAGGTTCACATCAGGGTGAGACTACAACAGCACATGGAGAAAAGATGTGGATGTTTTTTTAAAGCAAGTTATTGCATCCAAATTCATTTATTATTGTTTTAATCCAGTTAAATAGATTATCTTTCCGAGGTAAAGAGGTGAGAAGGAAGGAATTTCCCCTGCGGTGATTTAATACGTGGTATTATCGGCATTTGTGTTGTTTTTGCTTTGTAACGGTACAGCAGGATAACGTCACCATCCCTCTCCCTCCTCCTGCTTCCTGCCTCTGTGACCCTGTTAACTGGAAAACTTTGTGCCGAAGGAAGTCACCAGTTAGTTCACGTTTGGATCAAAGTCTGCAGTTAACAGGGTCGCTCGTTAAACTGAAACACTGGTGAGCTGCTGGACGCGAACGCAAAGGCTGTCGCGAACTGGGATGACTATCAGACCAGTGAAGATAAAACTGCTGCGAGTGATGGCCGAGGCTACGTGACTGTGTGGTACTGTAAACCTGGGCTGTGAATTGAAGGATACTTGGGTGGCGCTCTGTTTCAGACGGTGCTTCAGCTGCATCAAGAGCTGCTTTCCCGTCTTAAGAAACAAATACTGTCGTGATCATGTGGCATTGTGTTTCATTACTGCGACGGCTCTATACGAGACTCTGCTCAGAAATACTGTTAAACTGTTTAGCTGGAGCATGTGATCGTTAAGATTGGAAAAATAACCAACCTTTTAAAAGATCCTTATTATTGTCAACAAATCTCATAAAGAACAACAACGTGTTTATTTTTTCCATCCTTTCCAACCTAACCTGTCTGCGGAGCCCTTTCATGCCAACCGATGATTTATAACATTTAATTTTTCAAATAGAGAAGCTGGTAGTTTTCAGTACGGGGCTACTTTCAGCTGCAGATTAATACACTTTTAAAGGCTGTAGTGAGTATTCAGCAGCAGGAGGAGGATGGTGTATGTGAGATCGACTCTAAACTGCAGTGTTTTTCTTTATGGTAATAAAGGAACATGTCACCCAGTGCAACACTGTTATTTGGTGTAAGAGGAATGAGATGTCTTTTGGTACGCAGTCTTTTCCAGGGATTTGTTGACAAAAGGAAAAAATACAGAATATCAACATTATTCTTTAGAAATACTGTATTTCTTTGCATTATCTGAATCTTAAAAGGTATTTCATTTTCAAAACAGCCGGCTGGCCTTCAGTGTTTGGACCACAGTTAAAAACCATTTTACACTTGTGAGAAATTTGCTGTTAAAAAAAAGAAACTACACATATTAGATCAATCACACTACAGCTTAAAAGGTTTCAGACAAACGTGGTTTCTTTTCATGTGGAATGGACGCTATATGCCGAGATCTAAGAGGTATTAGTAAGTTAATTTGCATGCAAACTCTGTGCACATGCCAGACATTTGCTACTGTGCCTTCAGGGAGGGAAAAAAGAACATTTGGAGGAAGACGGCATGATTTCTACCTTTGTACTTCTCCGAGCTGTCAGTCCTGCCTTAAATACAACATCATGTCTCAAAGTAATGGGGTGTATAATGTAAGACTTTTCTTAGAAATATAGTATTCTATATCCTCTGGAGAACGGCTGTGAAAGACAGTAAAGCTAATTTTTAGTTCTCTTTTGTATTTTCATATTCCAATAATTCCAGTGTTGCAGTTTCAGCCGGTTGCAGGACAGTCCAATTAATACTTCTAAATATCACAAATTCTTCTCCAAACTTTATCCCAGAGCCAGAGTACTGAGACACGTGATGTAATGGTCCCTGGAGTATCGAGACGCTTCAAAAGGAATACTCTGGAAAGTTGTTAAAGACAGTCAGAGAGCACCCGGGGGACTTTTCTCTGAATAGTTTCTGTAATGACGAGCTGACAAAATCAGTAGCGAGTAAACATGAAAACGTCAGCGAACTTCCAGACAGACAGCAAGAATCACCCTGCCTCTTTTCTGTGTGTCTGATACTGACTGGAACTCACAATTATTTACATTATCTATTAATCATTTTGTTCATAACCTTTCAGAGAATAGTTAAGAGCTAAAAGTGACATACTGTACGCATACTATAAATACAGTACAGCTTGTTTTGGCTGGCAAACAGTCCAAAATCCTGTATTACTCTGTTTATTATCATAGAATTCACAGAAAAGCGGTAAATCCTCACATCTGAGAAGCTAGAATGAGCAAACATTTGGCATTTATGCTTGCAAAATGACTCAAACCATAAAAAAAATAGATGCTGATTAATGCAGAAGGACTAATTATTTCAGCTCTGAATACCAATTTTATACACCGTCTGTTTAAAGCTGAATACAGAGAAATAACGTCAGTATGTTTAATGTGTAAAGAGGATAATGACCTCTTTTGTTTGGCAGGAAATGAAATGGTAGGGAAATAAAGGGGGGAAACGTGTTGCCCTACTTCCTCTTGCGGCCACAAGAGGGCAGCGTGACATCGCGCCAGTGAGAGGCAAAGGAGGAGACTTCAGAGTCTGTAGGTTCAGATTTGATTGGTGGTACAGAAACGGGTCCCTGCAGTAATATTCAAGTCTCCTTTATCTCATCCTCCATCTATCAGTATGCCGTTGTAGTGCGAGGAGATCTGTGCTTTCTTCTACAGCTTCGACAAATCAATATTAACCAATGGAAAGTTGTTTAACTACAGAGCTACACAAATACAGTGATATACCCACGAGAACGCCACAACACAATGTCAGTGCAAATAATTGTGTTTGCTCCGACACTGTGTCATTACATCCCTGTATGAATACGCAATGTGGAGTAAATTTCCAGAGGCTGATGCTCTTAATGACAGAGCTAAATAAAGTGTTACCAAGGGATATTATGCTATGCTAATATGCTAATATATTCTGTTTACACCTTCTGGTTACAAAAAAAAAAGAGACCCAATACTGATTTTCTTTGGCATGCGAGGAAAAGCAGTTAAAGGATATTTTAAAAGCACATTCATATGTTAGTTGGATGTTCATTTAAACATTAAGAACAACTTTCATGTGAACTTATCTGATCTTTAAGTTGAAATAAATGCAGTGAAGACTAAACTGTACCAACTGCTGCTTACACACCGGTAAACAAACTACAGAAAGTGATTATTCTGTTAAATTATGGCGATAATTTGCCTGTGTGGACTTGTTTTAAGCATAAATAATAGAATCAGACATGGGTCACTTTTAAAAGTAGGTGTAAACACGAGGTTAAAAACAACCAATGATCAGGTCTTTATCTAAACAGGGGTAAAAAAAAATCAACAAGTAAACACAACCTATGTGACGTACACGCTCTAAAAGAAATCTATTCTTGGATGGTTTGTCCTCACCTGCACCAGCAACTTCACTCAGCTAGTCAGGCAGGACATGTGACACTGAGAGAGGTCACGGGGGGAAAGATCAAGGACTGCAGGTGCTTTATACTGGAGGGTGTGTTGGGGTGAGAGGGGGGGAGAGTGAACCCCCTCCAACATCCTTATTAGCTGCTGCTTTGAGCCAGCTCTTGGCAATCGGGACAGGTGTAAATCATCTCATGTGCATTTTGGCCCACCCAGACCGCCGTCCCATTGGCGCCAGACTCTTGGGCCTTAAGAGAGCGATGCACCTTGGCACAGTAGCTGCTGCTCTCACAAGAGGACGGCATGAAGGAAGCAAAAAGGAAATTAAAATAAAAATAAAAAAAGTGATGTGAGGGTGGCTGGACGTCGGGGGAAGGAGGGAGGGAAAAAAAATGAGGGTTTGGTTTCATGAATGTGGGGATAATGATGATTAAAGAGGGGGAAATTAAACTCGTCAACTCACCAAGCTAGGTATATCATAGACACTATGAATATGAGGAGCACAAAGGCTCCGGCTGCTACACCATACACCCACATCTTCAGCTTCCCATCTGTGGAGGAGGAGGCTCGTCAGTTTGTCTGTCTGTTTACACTTCAACACGCCACCAACAGCCACTAAAAGCTGCAACAATTAATTCTGTGAGAGCTTCAGAGAACTTTAACACATTGCGGCACAACACTTTATATAATAGAGCACATGGTTTACACTGTATAAAGCAGGTACTGATGAAATACTGTAGGTAGAGTGGAGGAAAACAGGACTATAAGGGAACAAGGGAGTAACAAACTCGGTATATTAGATAATACTTTTCCCAGTAACTAATTAACACTGATTTAAAATCCAACAATCCAATCACATCCTTGGATTCAGTTTTATAATCGTGCATGAAGCCAGAAACTGGTTTGAAAAATGGGAACGCCTCCAATCTGCGACTGGAAGTGTTCACATTACTTAAACTCAAAAACTGGAGTTTGTATCTGAATCTGGGGGAGAAAGGACGCAATTACCAGTTTTGTGGGGACTAGCAGAAAAGTGGTATAACTAGTAGTAGTAACTAATTACTGTTGGCAGGCAGAAATAAGTAATATTACTTTAGAAAAGAGTAACGAATAATGAGTAATAAACTACATTTTTGGAGTAACAAGCCCAACACTGATTAGATTAACACTAAGTACCAGTGGTGGGATGTAACTAAGTACATTTACTCAAAGTAAGTGTAGTTAATGGCAATTTTGGGTTACTTGTACTTTACTGGATTATTTCCATTTCAAACTTCTACTCGATTATAATTATTTTGATTGCTTAAGTTACTAAGTTAAGGCAGTACATAAAGTAGTTTAAATCTTTATCAGCTGCAACATTAAACAATTAGGATCCAATAATAAGTTTTAAATGAGCTTTCTCTTGTAACAGAGTATTTCTACTCTGTGGTATTTCTACTTTAATAAAAGGTCTGAGTACTTCTTCCACCACTGTTAGCTACACTATAACATTTACTGTGTATATATCTCTAACAGTTTTTATCAGCTGGACTCTTTTTCTGTTGGGGCAACCTTACCTGATACGTGCCCCGAGCAAAGGGCAGAAGCATTTGTTTTTTATTGTACTTCATCCATTACTATAATATCACCTGCACTGCACGTTGTAAAGAACATAAACTGAGAGGATAAATCGCCTCTGCAATGGGCCGCCGTAACTGTGAAATATTACATATTAAAAGTATCACAATTACTTTCATAGCTTGCACAGAACCACTGTGTTAACACTGTTTTCCCCAAACTTTAGCTTTGTTTACCAGGACTGTATTACATTAATATCCAGTATTTACAAATCTTCTTTTCTCTAAAATTCCCAGTTGTTACTCCCTTGTTTTCTTCCACTGTACCTACATTTAAGTACCAGCAGGAACCGGTAAGTATTTTCTTGGTAACAGACTCAAACAATGAAGTTGCATTGTACATTTCCGGCTGTACTATCACCTTAATCTTTCTTACTGTAATGAATTATAACGAGTAAAAAACGAGTAAACATTTGGAAGATAAACGAGGGTTCCTGAATGTGGAAGTGGCTGCTCCTGACAGACGTTAACTCAATCTGTTCTGCACGCTTACATCCTAAATGTTTTCTGTTGCTGTCATGCACCGCCACTCGTGACGCTCTGTGCAGATGCAGCTCTCAAATGTTAATGTACCAGCAGGTCAGATTAGGTAGCGGGACTCACACATGCATCAGAGCCGACTGGAAACAGACTGAAAACTTGTTCGATGCATCTTTGTTTTCAACGTGTCAAGTTTTATTTCATGCGTAGCTGCAAGTACAAATGTGTTAAACCTGCTGTTAATTAGACGCTGTCAACACAAACTGAAAGTATTCTGCTGTTGTCATGTGAAAACCTCTTAGCTCCACCTCAAGGATTACTTGGGGCTCTGCAGGTTGAGAAAACTTGGGGCATACGCTGGACTCTGTAAAACCTTTTCCCTGTAGATAAAGTTTAAAAAGACATTGTGGGCAATGTCAAGTGGAAATATTTGACTCAAAACTTTCACACAAACAGCCCTTCAGGTCATGATTGCTAATGTGAGCTCTGGAAATAATGTGTGATGATTTGCTGACCTTTATCTTGACAGGATGATTATTTGTCTACAACTTAATTGCACATTTGCAGTAAATATAGGCTTCACTTGCAGTCATCATTGGCTGGAAGGTTTTTTTCTTCAACGTTTTTGTTGTTGGAACAGATTAATTATACTGTCAAATATTTGTAACATTTACCAAAATATAAACCAACCACGTCTGCATCCTTCTTACTTCCTCCACATTTCTGAGTCAGAAGCATTTTAATGTGGTGGTTTTTATAATTATGACTTGACAACTGGAACATAGGAGCTTCTGAAGAGTACATTAAGGCAGGGTTAGTTCCCCAAAACATGACAGTTAAGCGATTAAAAAGGTTTTCACTTGACAGCAACAAAGCTCTGTGTCACTTGTATTTTGTGTATTTTTTTTAATTTCTGGGAGCGCTGTGAAGAGCAGCAGCGGTCTGTAAAATGCGTCACATGGTCTGACCTGGTCCGTAGGGCTGCAGGTACCAGGTCCGCCCGGTGCGTCCGGGCAGGATGGTGGAGGGCAGGGTGGGGTTAATGGCACGACTGGTCTTCACATCCCCTTTCTTGTCCCCTGCTGTGGGGATCTCCAGGATCGGGATGGGGGCGCACTGGTCCAGCTGTCCGGTGGGTGACAGCACCTCTGTGAATCCCTCCTCGCACATGCAGACACCGGCCTGCAGGGGGCAGCGCAGAATCATATTTGGTTTGAGCCACAGGTATAATACATCAAGGGAGTGTTGTATTAATGGAAGAAGCCCTGGACACTTGTATTTTAAATATTTGTGTTCACTGGCTTATGTCTTAAACGTCTGTTTTAATGTGTATTTGGTCTATTTCCCCATGTTTTAGACTAGTTTATATTCCTACGTCTGCCAAAAACTCTATAAAATGTCAATCCGAAGGAGGCCATGGATGTTGGTATAGTAGAGTCACAAGTTCAACCCCTGTACGTCCTCCGCAGCATTCTGTCTTCTCTGTCTCATTCATTTAATCTAGATAAAAGCATAAGCTTCCACAGGAAAAAAACAACAACCATTCCACAGCATGTTTGTGAGCTGTATTCATTATACAGAGAGCTGTTACTTAGCATCATTGATATAAATGGGGTGGATGAAATAATACAAAGGCCTGTCAGTGTAACAAACTACAGCCTCCACAATGACCATAAAGTTGAATCAACACCTCTCTAAAACTGAACATCACAACCTTCATGGCAGTTGGATTTACAGTGGGATTGTTGTATCAGACTGCATTAGCTTTAGGTTGGTATACCTAGAGTGTAGATTTACGACGCTGGATTGAAGCGGCGACCTCGGAGGTCGTAAAGGTCGCTACTCATCAGATCAGTCTGACCTGCTTATTCTGTGGTTATTGAGTCTGCTGGCTCTGCCGCTGATAACCAGCCTTTATTGCTTAAAGCAGAAATAATATACAAGCTATTAAAATGGGTACAAATTTGAGATTTACCAGCTGCTGTATCTGCTGGACATAAACCTATTTTCAATGCAGCACATTTGAGTGACACTACAGGAAAATAGGTTTCACATCTTCACGTTGAAATCATTTCATTCCCTGCTGCATTCAAATTCAATTCTGGCAGCAGTGTGTCACAGAGAGTACAGAGACTGCCATTCATCCAGAGGCCTTATGCTTTCAGGTGTATGTCTTTTTATTGTTTTTATTCTGTTTACCCTGTTTTTATTGTGCATCTTCGTCTGTAAACCAAATATTTCTCTACAAGATTTTCTTTGTATTCTTTTTTTTGTATTTTCTTTTTATTTACGGTTAAATTGGCGATATGGGAAGAAAGAGCCACTCACCTCGCTGCAGAAAGACTTTGGCATGAGACAGGGAGGATCACAGGAGCTGTTGTCCACTGGAGGGTTCATAGAAGGACAACCTCCTGCGGGTGGTAAGACAATAGAATCAAACAGAGCACATGATGTTTTTAAAGACATACAATGAACATCATCGCTGTGTCCTGGTAGATTTACTGCTCCCTGTTGCCGAGCGCCAGCGTAGAAAACATGTACGAAAACCACTTTCTGCTCACACAGCCTGTAAATTCATACATTATATTTAAATGCAAAGAGAAACTATCTATAAGTCAATATAGCTGATGTAGCCAAGTTTATTTTTGAAACTATTTTAGGTGAGAAACCACATGTTCATGTGTTATACAGGGATGAATAACTGTACAGGCTGCCATCGCCCACCACCTTCGCTTCTTATAGAAATGAGTCCCTGTTTTTTAAGAACAGTGAGTGTTATATTTCTGATATGTTTTGTGTAGATTTTACCTCCTACAGAAAACTGCCACTCACCAATGTCGACTTACTGTCGAGCTTTAGAGCTGCGGCCACATCGTTGCTTACTTATTTATATTATAATAGTGTCACCCAAACATTTTGACCCTTTAAAATAAACCAATGTCTACTTCAGACCCCTCGTCACCTTTTATACGTCTACATAATGAATCCAGTTCAACCTAAAACTGATTTATTTGAATACTATTAGATCTTAAACAATTAGCTTAATAATCAGTTAGTTGATCAACAGAAAATTTATCTGCAACAATTTTGTGTAACTTTAAGAAAAAAGACCAACAATCTCTGATTCCAGCCTCTCAAATGTGATGTTTTTTTAATCCTATATGATAACAAACTGAGTATCTTGGGTTTTTGAGACTAAACAAGCAATTCGGATATGTCAATTTGAAAATAATCCACAAATTATTCAGTAATGAGAATATAGACGGGTGACAAATTTAGGAAAAACCTGAATAAGTGGAGAAGCATTAAAGATTCAGATTCTTTCATACATGACATGAATCGCCTAATGGTTTGATGAGAATGATCTGAAACAGTTTAGGTTTTTTAATAAAATGTTCACCCATCTGTAATCGTTGGTGTCACCTGAGAAGGTAAAATCATCCAGTAGCTCACTCAAGAACATTAAACATCTGGGTACAGTCTAATTAAACCTAATTTTGTGTGACACATGTATATATATATATGTGTTTTTTCTGCTTTCCGATTTTGCTCATCATCTTGAGATGCACCAACTTTATTCTTTGACCCGTTGTGGGGGAGTTTTTGATCTCATCACACATTCAACAAGTAAAGCTGACTTACGGACCCCAGGTCTCTTGATCCAAGGATTACTGTTAATGTATTATAATGTAAGCTCCACTGTAAAACTCAGGAGGTCCTTACCGGTGACATTGAGTCCGTCTGAGCGCTGACACCAGATAAAAGGGCGGGTGGAGTTTACGCTGCTGAACCATTTGTACTCGTAACATTCGCCCCCTGAGAGCAAAATAAAAAAAAAACAATCAACATCTTTAACGAGTGTACAGTGGGAGTGTGCAGTGAAGACCATTAATCATGTGAGTGACAGAGTAATAAAGCAGCTGCTAAGTTATGGTTGTATAATAGGCTGCTGTCATATAATATCACTATCAGTGTGTCTTCACAGAAGGGTCCAGTTCAGTGTTTTAATCTTCAGTAAGAGCTTTTGCTTAATGACTTTCTATCAATGCTATTATGACTTTATCAATATCTCCATCAGTGCAGTAAATGACCATATTTCCCAAAGGAGTCCTGTGTAACCAATCATCAGTCCAGCCCATTTGGTGAGCGTAAATGAACAATTTAACCTTGAACAAAGGAAAGATCTATTCTCCACAGGCCCTGGGTACAGTATCACTGCTCCAGTCGATGGCACAGCTCTATCTGCAGCTTTCATGCCACGATTTGTCTGCGGCTCAGACTACTTCGCCCTTTATGTTCTTCACTTTTTCCCCATTTCTTCCCTTTTTTCCTTGCTGTGGTACATCTGAGGCCATTTCTCAAATGTGTCAAGTTATCGTTGAATCACTCACTTCAAGCCGGCACTTCCCACCATCTTTTTACGAGCAGATTGGACTTTTACTACTATTGAAACATGTCTCAGAGGAAGAGCCGCTCTGGAAAGCAGAAATAATGTCAGTGGTGGTGTCAGCCCAAAAATATCACAGGTTTGTGAAACATAACTGAAAGCCTCTGTGAGAGGGGAGATAGCTGATTTCTGTGCCTATTAACTTAAAAACGACTCATTATAACCACACTGTTGTAAATGGATGGCTCTTATATCACGCTTTTTACACCAACATGCTTCACAGTGTGCCTATTGCACACATTCGCACACCGACGGAGGTGAAGCTGCCGTGCAAGGTACCTTCAAATATCATGAATCCATGGGTCACTTAGTAGTGAAAGTAACAGCCAATCAGGTTTGCTGGTTGCTGACAGTACTGAAATGAATGGAGTAGAGCTAAACCTTATGCTTCACCTTTCAGCCACGCTCTTCATAATCTAGTAGATGGATTGCCATAACATTCTGTACAGATATTTAAGGGAAACCTACCAGCTTTTATTTGATATATTCGATATTTCATGCAATATTTGATTTAGGATTATTCAGAATTACAATATCTGCCATTTAATTTGTATTCAGTAACTGACTACATTCAAAGTAATGTGACCCAACGCTGTGCAGAATAAACAGATGGTGTTAAGCAGCAACTCTTGGCTGACGCATTCTTAACTTAGAGATAACGTTCAATCACTAATAACATCACATGTGTTCCTAAGAACGGACATATTGGTCCTATTAGCTACCCGTTGATGTGTGGGACAAACAAAGTCCAGATACAGATAACAGGACTGTTGCTGTCAGCATGTGGCAAACAAAAGCAGAGAGAGAGAGAGAAAAAAAGATTCCTGGGCGGGGGATCAACAAAGATCCCTCGGCCGGGAATCGAAGCGGTCATGTGGTATCTGCCTCAACCATTAGGCTACCAGGGCGCCACCACAAAAGTACCGATTTGATCTTTTTCCCCTCTGTCCCCAGCCTCCCTTTCTTCGTCACCACCCTCCTTCTTCTCCTCCCACCACTTTCTCCTCCTCCTCCGCTTTCACTGGTCTTGGCTCAGCCTCTCCTCCCCCTCCATGCCTGAAGTGAGGCTGTGAAACCAGGTCAGGCTAGTGAAGACTGCTGTGGGGCTGTGTACAGTAGCCAGGGAGGGAGGAGAGGAAGCGTGGGAGGCGGAGGTGGATAGGAGGAGGGTGGCTGCTCTACAGACTCAGCCTGTGGCTACTGTTTATGTCGAGCTTTGGTGGTGGGGATTCACAACTCATATTGCACCTAATGGGTGATTAACGGGCCTGGGGAGATGCAGACAACAGTAAATGGGTGTGGGGGTTTCCTCTATTTAGAGATCTGACTCAAGAAATCCCATCTGGGCGAGCGCCAATTGACCCAGTCTACACAGGGAAAAATACATTTTGGGTCTGGGTCTGGGGTCTGGGGTCTGGGGTCTGGGTCTGGGTCTGGGTCTGGGTCTGGGTGCCCCCCCGATCCTCTCTCTGTAGGTTTCTTCTGGTGTTCCAGTTTCTTCTGACAGTCCAACATGCAAGTTCAAATAGACAGAAGTGTAAACAGCCTGCAGGTATGACCCTGAATATAAGTGTTAGCCCCTCTGATGCACTGACAAGCTCTCCGTTGTGTTTCCCTGTCTTCCACACAAGCTGAGACTGACTTCATTTCTCCATGTCCAGTCGTATTAGGAATATGTTGCTAAAGTAAAGTGATAAATTAATCAAGGTTTGGGACTGCTGGCTCGATACAAGCTAATCTGCATGCACTTCAAGTTCACTAGTCAAAGGGAGTTTAATCACCTGTGCAGGGCTCAGACTCCCAAGCCTGGTCAGGACAGAGCTGCAGGTTTTCAGGCTCCTGAGCCAACACGGCTCGTGAGCGGACCTGAACCGAACCAAAGTCCACGCCGGCCCCCCTCACGCAGATGCTCACGCATGAGCTCCAGTCTGACCACTCCATCAGGTAGCATTCACCTGTAGGGGCAAAGAGGCAAAATACATCATACAGGGCTGTAAATGTAAGGTGTACTTCAATGGTTATGAAAGCCATAAATCATTTCAGTTATTTTTCAAGCAGAAAGAGAGAAAAATTGCCAAACATCCTCCGCTTTCAGTTTCTCCATTGGGAGGATTTTCTATGTTTTATATGACTGTAAAGTGAATGTTTGGATTGTTGGTTGCACAAAACAAAACATTTGAAGACACCAGGAGGTGGTGATGGTCTTTCTCTGCTGTCTTTTTACATTTCATAGACTAAACAAAACAGATGTTTAAAAAAAAGTAGTTCATTAGTCATTTTTAATGAGAATAACCATTACTTACATCCCTATTTAACAGAATTACCAACACGAAGAAGTTATTGTAGTTATATTTTGTTTTTAAGAAACCATTTTATTTGTTTTGAAAAAACAAAAACAAAAACACTAATTGAACATCATAATCCCTCTACATAAATCAATTTGAATTGATGAAGAACGAAATAAAATGGTGCAAAAATAGACAAAACACAAAACCTGCAAGCCTACAGTGATGAAAATGTAGAAATATATAATTTTAAAAGAAAGAGAATTAACACTAATGTGGAAATTAACCACAACAGCACCTAGAATAGGATGAACACTAAAAAGTCTAAAGCTTTTACTTTCACACCACACACTCGGGTGTGTTACTACGTGGACAATCAATTAGTAGATGCAACAACCACACTTATATATTCAGCCCGGACTGAATAGAGACGGTAGAAAATAAATTAAATTCAAAATACGCCTCTCTGGCATCTCTCCACGGTTACCTGTTCAGTGGGGACTTTCTGAAATAACTGCCCGATGACCTGTAAAGAAAATTGCAAGGTCTGGCCTCGAGCCATATCACAAATCTTTTAATTTCCTGTAAGCCAGTGTGCACAGCCTCAGATCCTCAGGCAGGTTCTCCAGGTTGGCTCTTCCAGAGACTAAAAGGTGACCAGGTTTTTGCCATCAGGGTTCCTGTGCTTTTGGAAGACCTGCCTGAGGAGCCTCGGCTGACAGAATTATCTCAGAGTTTAAATCTAGATTTACTAGATTGGATGTATTTCGTTTCCTTCTCACTATTAATTTACGTTGCACTTGTACCTTCTTTTTTTTTTTTTTTTTTTAGCTATGAAAAAATATCTGCATTGCAGCTTTCGTGTGGGTATCCTGGTGGAAATCAGATCTTCAACTTTGGCAGAACTAAAGCAATGTTTTACCTATTTATCTATGGATGAGAAGACTTTAATCTGGGCGAGGGTATGCAGCAGAGATACAGAATATGTATTTACATATCGTATCACGATGGCTGAGATGCTTTGAAGAGTTTGAGGAGGAGGAAGGTGGTAAGTTCGAGACGCAGGGCGGGTTGGTTTTGATCACAGCTGACAACTGCAGCTCACGAAACAGCAGGGGAAATAGAACATGGGTCAAGGGTGGCAGTGCATGAAAGTGTGTGTGTATGTGTGGATGCAACCTGCCAGAATTCCCAAGCTGTCCCCCGGTCCTGCACAAACAGCCCTTGAATTTCCTCCCAAATCACACTACAGTACCTCCCTGCACAGAGAACAGTCTGTGCTTTTGATTGCCGTTTGATACTTCAGTGCTCCTGCAGTTTGGCAAAAGGGGTTGGACTGACTTGTTATCTAGGGCAGCGTTTCTCAGTGTTTTCCATCTCGGGGACCAGCAGACATCTGATGAGGTTTTTTTTTTTTTTTTTTATTTCTTCAAAATGAGAAATCCACCAGTAGATACACATGCCACACACTCTTAGAATATAACAATACATTCAAACTGGACATTTAAAAGCAGTCCTGGGGTTTAAAAAAGAGTAACAATTTTTCCTCCTCTATATTTTAGAGAGATCGAATGATGAGCGATCGATGATGAGCCAGAACAGACACAGAGCACTTTGGAAATGAACTCCAGATTTGTGTTTTGTCTTTTGGCAGAAGCAACCAACAATAATTCTTCCTTCAGGGGCCGCTGACACTGAAAATAACAGATTTATATTTAAGCTGCACTGTGTGAAAATACCCTTCCTTATCAGGCTGAATCATAAATTGGAGGTTCAGTTTCCCCTCTTTCCTTACTGAAATTCTGTAGAATTGCCCTATTTACCCACAGGAAATACTGACGTACACTTGTCTATGTGCGGCATAATATCGAGCATGCAGCCAGAGACTGTGAAGAGCGCTGCTGTGGTTGTGGGAGGGGCAGTAAAGCGTTTGGAGCTGCAGACCTGATGGACAGAGTCCGGCTCACCTGTCGGCTCCGCTCCACTCCACGCTGCAAAACCACATCAAACCCAGCAGCTGACAAGCTTCTGTCACAAAACCTGACAACAACTCATCAAACACAACCTTTGAAGTGATAATCCCATCTGTGAGATTCTCTCTCTCTTTTTCCCAGGTGCAGGTTAGCGGTTGACATTCTTGATGCTAAGCTGATGGGAGCCTATCTAATGTGTTCCCAGGGTCCTAAATGTTCCTTAACCCCACAACCCTAACCTCAGAACTGGGGATCACAGGACCCTTTGGGGAACATTAGAAATGACCCTCGCTGGTATTGTGCTGTTTTTGCAGCTCTTAATCAAAGTGTGGTCAACAGGCTACTGTTCCTGGTTTAATGAAGGCCTGAGTACACACAATGTTCACCACTGCCCCTGTTAAATACCCACTTCTGTTACTAGTAAAATGAAAACACTTTTATGAGCTGTGTACACTCTAAATCAAGGTTCTTGAAGTACTTGCAAAGCTATTTTGTTTTTTCTCTTATGTTTAAAATTTGTTATATTCAGCCTGCAAATATTTTTAAAAATAGTTTTCCCATTTAAATCATTTTATTTTCTCGCAAGGCTGCAAAATCTGAGCATAAATATGATGTTTGATCAGTTTTATTCATGTCGACATAAACACTTTAGCACTCTCGATTTACCGCGGCACAAAACAAATGTCTCTTTTTAAACCTAAAGGCTCGGAGCACTGATGTGTCAAGAGAGGCAGTTAATCATTTTTGGATAAAGATTTTAACGCGACTGCTTCCTGTCTCATTTGCACGCAGAAAAGCCGCCGTTGTCCGGGAATAGGTTGTCAAGCAGCGTGACTCAGCTGAACACGTAGAGCAAGTATTTAAGTTACGAGGGAGAGGAGGCAGACAGAAATTAGCTGCTTGGCTTCAGAGTGCAGAATGTGTGTTCAGTCTGCTCCTCCAGTAGAGAATGAAATCACCAATGGTCCCCCCAGGTCAGTTTGAGACTCCTGGCCTACATTCTTGAATAAAAGCTGTTATACAAATAATGTTTCATGTTCGGCATAAACTAATAAAAGCCAGTTGCTGTAACCAGTTACTGGACCACGACTAGGACCACAAACTAATTTTATGATGAGAACTGTTCTTTATTGAGCTTCTTCTGTCTGGAATATCCTCGCCACCAACATCACAGAGATAAAACGTAGATTTCCCTTCAAAAAGTCACTAAAAAAAGTTGATGAATCTTAAATATTATTTTGTTATTGCTGTTGTGGAATATTTTTGGTTGTTTTTATTTATTTATTTGGTGCTGTGTGTTTCCATTGTAGGCTACTGTTGTTTATTGTTTGTAGAATGATTTCAGAATCTGAGTTTGTTTTACATTTTCTTGTTTTATTGACACTTTTAAAGGTCCAGTGTGTAACATTTAGGAGGATCTATTGGCAGAAATGGAATATAATATTCATAGATATGTTTTCATTAGTGTATAATGAATTGTTGTGATTTTGTTACCTTACAATGAGCTGTTTTTATCTACAGACACAGCAGTTTCTCCCTCGTGCTTGGAAAGGGAGAGAGAAGCGAGTGAGTTGTAATCTGCAGCTACAATGCTGGATGCCACAAAATCCCAGGAAGACTAGCGACCACTATGAATTTAAGAACAATGAATAAATAAGTTGCTGACAAACTACCTCGGATATTCACCAGCACTACAACGGCTGTTAAATTCAGGATAAAGTGCAGCACTAATTCCATCATTATCACAACATACTGAAGGTAATCATCAATCTGTTGGTCAGTTTGTTCACCTTTCAATTACAGTTGCTTGTAGTTTGCCACCAAATAGCATCAATGGATCAGATAAACTGTGAAAATATGATCAAATACACTTTAATTAAAGTCTGATGATCTCTGTGGTTGAGGGAATAAAAAATGTATAGTAATTTGAATCTTTGTCTTGTTATATTAAATCAGTAACACAGAGCAGGAAAACTTTATGGCTTGTGACTTTAACAACAGGAAGCTGTCTAAAAAGAAGCAGTGCACTCGGTGGTCTCCAGAGTTTGAAGAGTGATGTTTTTGAAAGTGGAGTTGGTGTGTGAAGGCGACCGTGAAGGATGGAGGGAGATGACGCCTGGCAGTCATCTGAGAGAAAAGTCTGATACACTTCTCATTCTAAGACTTTTTATACTTTATGTGGAGGAAGTAGAAAGAACAGATGGGTTGGTTACTTCGTTAACCAGACGCCAATAAACCACTTACAGGATTTACAGCAATTAAATTAAACCATGCATCTGTGTACTGTATAATATTTAACAGGTTTTTGCTTTGCCTGCTCGTATATCAGGTGAATCAACAACAGATGTCCAGCTCAGCATAAAGACGGCGCAGAGATCGAATCACTCACCGAAATAAAAAAGTCATCCTGTGCAGGTCGATCGTGCACTGACACTGCCGGGTTTGTAGGTTTGTTACCCGCTGGGGCTACCCATGCAGAAAATGTGTGCACACATGGCACACCAACCAGCTTTTGGTGGAAACTAAATGGCGTATGGAGTCTTCTTTTAGGTTTTTGTTATACACTTCACCGACTTAATGACTCATTTATTTCGTTCTCTCACAAATCAGACTCTTCTGGAGTTCATAGGAGATTGATGAGGCAGGGATGAAAGCCTTTCACTAGCGTTTACCCACAAACTACTTAGCCCGTCTCCCTCTGTTTCTTTCTGTGTCTCTCCAGCTGTATGTTTTATAAAGTCACCCCAAAAAACACAACTCACATGTGATTGTGGTACTGAATGTTTTACCTGGTTTGTGCTAAAATATCCATTAATAGGCTTATTCTACTACATATTTTATATTTTGTTACATGCTTAAATGTTCTAAATTAAAGGAGGAAAACAATTATTTTATTTTGAGTAAAAAATAAGAATTTCAATGTGGTCATTTTATATGAGCTATTTATTCATTGAACTTACAGAGAATGTGCTATATTGTTGCTATATGTTGTGTTATTTGGATATGAAATTATGTACTGTATATCGCGTTGTTGAGGTTTTATTGCACAGCCCAAATGTCCATACTTGATATCTAAAAGGTGTTTAGAGGAAGGAATCGCCTTCCCAAAACCAAACACACAACAGCAAAAATGTAAGGAGTGGATTAAACAACGTGTTTATCTGCTGTCACATCATCTGAGTAGTACTGACCCATTGTATGGAAGCCGGTCCTGGTTGCTATCTGTCTGATAATTAATTAAAATTAATTACATAGATGTTAACACTCCAGTAGCCAACAGCCAACGTTGTGCAAGATAACTTTACATCTGCCAAACCCTCATCATAAAAGCCTTTATATTCTGGACACACTGTATGGAAATTAAAACAATCACACCTGCAGTACTAGGGCTAACTAGGTCTACGTTGCAAAACTAGAACAACACCTTTTGTTCCCTGACTTCTACACGGTCCATCAGCTGGTTTCTTTCCTCGAGGACAACCAGCTTTAGATTCAGTCTGTTAGCTAGCTACAGCTGATAAAATCTGCCAATTACAGTTGTCATTTCTTCGGCAAAATCGAAGGTCACCACCTAAAGAATAGAAGTCTGTTTCTGTCTATCAATCAGAGATGTTTCACAAATGTCTGAAGGATTTCAGGCAATAAAAATGCCACCGTGCACCTCCTTCTATTTATTCCTATTTTCACTTTATTTTAAAATTTGCTTCTATTCTTTGTTCTATTTTCTATTATTCTTTGACTTTTCTATGTATTACGCCGTTTTCTTATTTAATATCTTTTATACTATACGTAAATCCCTTTGAATTGCCTTTGTGTATGAAATGTGCCAATTAACTGCCTTATGGCGAATATTGCAAGTACGTCGCTACACCTGCTTTCACACGATGTCATGCCTATAATCGACCCTGAAAACACTTCTTCAATCTGTTCTCCTCTTAATCAGCACCTCTATTCATATGTGAGGTAAATAAATGCATACAATCTATTGTCATTTACAGCACAGCGGATTGTTGTTCAGTGAGGTTGTAGCTCAGCTTGCCATATTCTCTTTTTTTTATAAGCCTGTAGGGTTTTTGTTATCTCGCCCACACAGATTATTGATTGCACCCATTTCTTTCCTGTTATTTTATCTCTGTCTGTATGTGTGTGTTTTAATCACTTTGCTTCTCTGTTTCTCCACTGTACAAATGGAATAAATGGAACTGAAGGGGTCACGGCTTTCATTTGGATTCGCCTCTCGGTCTATTTCACTGAAAGAGCAGGTGGTCTAAATAGTTTGTCCCCTCCACATAAAAACAGAAAATAGTTCCTGACAGCAGTGCCTGTAGCTCGGCCAGACGCTTCAACAAACACAACTAACAGCGTTGGCGGGTGGGAGGCCCGTGAGGGATCGTCTTTTTGACCGGTGCACTACTGTTTTACACTCCTCATGTGAGACTTCTCACTGTAAGGTGAAAAGAAGTGGCTGTCAACTTCTCAGCTCCTTCATGGTTAAGAAATGGGGACAGACATCATGAAAACTGGGGGAAATTAAGTAAATATGAGACCCAAATCTGCAGGCAGAGTAAAATAGAGACTTGGACTTGGAGCAGAGTAGAAAGCTCTCTCTGAGATGCTACAGGCAATGAAACACAGTACCTACCACTAAATTAAACTTTCATAAAACTGCACTGTTATACAAAGCATCTGCCATAATGTAGTCCATTTATTCTGCCTTCAGGTAATCTCCTATCTCTGATTCTAGAGGTCATGAATGGATACTGAGTGCTATTGGTTAGAGATAATAAAATCTACCCTGCAACAAAAGTATTTTAAGTGTCTGCTTTGTGATATAAATCAAACTGCTGACAAGTGTTGACTGTGTTATGCATTGCAGAGGGACTTTTGTGTTCTGCTGGTTGAACCTGAGAGTGACTCTAATGTCAAACAGAGCTGTAATGGATTATTTCACTTAGACATTTGCTCAGAGCTAAAAATCTGTCTGACGCTCAGATGTGCATGGCTCCACTGAACTCTGCGTGTCTGCCATCTCTCTACAGTGGTGATGGTGAGTACAATGTTTTATTAACCTGTACACTAGGGTTGCAAAGATTAAGTGATGCGAAATTGAAACAAAGCCATACAAGAGTCAGAGTGTCGACTATACTTTGAGTCACGATCGCAGATTCAAGACCTGCTGGCGTTAGCAGCTAATGCTACGTCTAACGGACCACTAACTCCTCACAGTACCTGAGGCCATGTGCTGCTTTATTCACAGGGACATGTGCCCAAACAGGGTAATTTGAAGAAGAAAAAAAAAGGAATTCAGACGGATGACTGACCCAGAAACAATATCCAATCAGCAGCATTTCGGTGAAAAATCCCCCCTCCTTTATAGACTGACTACATGCATCACTGTCTTTGTTTACTACTGTTTGTTTGGCAGAAGATAAACTTTTTGGGGACATTTCTGACTCAGTATTTGAAATAAAGAATGTGGAAATAATTGTTTTACTTTATTTAGAAATAAATAAATAAATAAATAAAATCATTGTGAATCACTGAATCATTGTAAATGTTATTTTTTGTATTGGACTGTGCATCTACTAGGGCTGCACAATTAAATCAAAATGTTATCAAAATTGCAATGCATGTACAATATTGTAATTGTTGCGGGTGAAATGTGTGACAAAACAGCATTATAATTAAGTAATCTTGTTCTCCAGATGTAAGAAAACATGTCACATTGTCATGATTTGAATCGTCTTTTTCTGTGAAAATGAAAATTGTGATTCAAAAATGATCATTACCACTAATCATGAATCACATCTCAATCACAGTATCTGTCCAAATAATCGCAATATGATTTTATCACCATATAATGCAGTCCTAATATCTTACATACAGATTGTGTCACCTGAGAGGGAGAGATACACGTCTGTGCCTATGACAATGACATACGGGCAACACCCTTACTATGTTAATATCATTTCAACTCAATCCCGTGTTAGAACATGACTTTGTAAGGTTACTCATGCAGCACAGGAAGCTCACAGCGTTATTACCTGGGCAGGGAAGGGTACAGGCCTCTTTCAGTCTGATCTGTTTGTCTCCGTCGACGGCCAGCTCCAGGCTGCTGCACAGCTCCTCGTCCACCAAGCTGCCGTCGCCGTCGCTGGAGCCGTCCGACACGAAGCAAGACAGGTTTCTGTAGCGAATGCCGTGTCCACACACCACACTCTGATAGGACGGGAACACCACGGAAGAAGAAGAAGAAGAAGGAGAAGGAGGAGGATGATGATGAGTTAACACAGCGGGGTCACTTGATGACAGCTTGATACTGGTAATCTATAGTTATGGCTGGAAATCAGCTATTTTAATTGATACCTTAAAGTCATATAAAGGTGCCAAAACTGAAACTGTTGAATTGGCTGCAGTAATAAAAAGATGACTTTCATCTCCAAATTACAATAGAGTGGTTTTAAAAGTATATATTTATGTTAATGGATTCTGCTTTTTACAAAGTGCATATAAAAATCAACTGTATAAAATATTAATGACACTTTAAAGCTCTTTAAAAGGTGCAATCTATGACTGATGTTCACCCAGAGATTCAATGAAGGTAAGAGCCACTATCCCTTATTGATTTCCATTATAGAATCAATACCAATCACCGTGGATGAGAGGTAGATAAAGAGAGAGTTTTAAGCTTAATCAGGAGAATGTTGCTGATATTCTGCAAGTTCACTGTAATTGAAACTATTTTAATTAATTACCAGACGGACTGAAAGCTCTCTGAACAGACAGGAGTTTTAGGTTTCTTACACGTGTAATTAAAATCTGCACAAAGATGCTCATTAGTTTTCCTGTCTCCAAACACTCTTCTTGGCACACTTTCATTCAGTTCGTCAACAAAAAACGCTGCCATCTCTTTTGTGGACATTAATCACTGCTGAAGATACCTCAGTGGTTTTGTGTTGGCCGTTTTGTCTGCTCCACTGGCTAACTTAAGCAAGTCGTGTTCAGACTCTATTTTCCCTTTTAAACATAAATCAAATAAATGCTTACGCTGAAATTAAGTTATTATGTCTTGTTGTTATAAAGTCTAATATTTGTCACACTTAGTTCAAGACTTTTTTCTTTCGCATTCAGTGTATTCATATTCTACCACGGAGTATTAGGGACAGACTAAGAAAAAATGTTTTTTAATTTTTTGGGAAATTACGAGATTAAAGTCATAATGTTACGAGAATAAAGTCGTAATAATACGAGAATAATGTAATCGTTTTAATGAGAAAAAAGCTTTGATAGAGTTATCAAGATCTGACATGAGCAGCTCAACCAAACAGCAGCCTCAGTCTGAGCCAAGCAGCCGCTGTTTCTCTCAGTCATACTGTACAGTCAACAGGTAAACTAATGTATTGATGATTTCGTCGTTAAACAGTTTTGCTGGCTTAGCCAACAGGCTGACAGTTCTCATAATATTACTACTTTATTCTCGTAGTATTATGACTTTATTCTCGTAATATTATGACTTTATTCTTGTAATATTGACTTTATTCTCGTAATATTACAACTTTTTTCTCGTAATGTTACGACTTTATTCTCGTAATGTTACGACTTTTTTCTCGCAATGTTACGACTTTATTCTCGCGATGTTACGACTTTATTCTCGTAATGTTACGACTTTATTCTCGTAGACCTAATATTATGCCTTTATTCTCGTAATATTATGACTTTATTCTCGTAATATTACGACTTTATTCTTATTATGACTTTATTCTCGTAGACCTAATATTATGACTTTATTCTCGTAATATTACAACTTTATTCTCGTAATGTTACGACTTTATTCTCGTAATATTACGACTTTATTCTCGTAGACCTAATATTATGACTTTATTCTCGTAATATTGCGACTTTATTCTCGTAATATTACGACTTTATTCTTGTAGACCTAATATTATGCCTTTATTCTCGTAATATTACGACTTTATTCTCGTAATGTTACGACTTTATTCTCGTAGACCTAATATTATGCCTTTATTCTCGTAATATTACAACTTTATTCTCGTAATGTTACGACTTTATTCTTGTAGACCTAATATTATGCCTTTATTCTCGTAATATTACAACTTTATTCTCGTAATGTTACGACTTTATTCTCGTAATATTACAACTTTATTCTCGTAGACCTAATATTATGACTTTATTCTCATAATATTACAACTTTATTCTCAACTTTATTCTTGTAGACCTAATATTATGCCTTTATTCTCGTAGTATTATGACTTTATTCTCGTAATATTATGACTTTATTCTTGTAATATTGACTTTATTCTCGTAATATTAAAACTTTTTTCTCGTAATGTTACGACTTTATTCTTTGTAGACCTAATATTATGCCTTTATTCTCGTAATGTTACGACTTTATTCTCGTAATATTACGACTTTATTCTTGTAATGTTACGACTTTTTTCTCGCAATGTTACGACTTTATTCTCGCGATGTTACGACTTTATTCTCGTAATGTTACGACTTTATTCTCGTAGACCTAATATTATGCCTTTATTCTCGTAATATTATGACTTTATTCTCGTAATATTACGACTTTATTCTCGTAGACCTAATATTATGACTTTATTCTCGTAATATTACAACTTTATTCTCGTAATGTTACGACTTCATTCTCGTAATATTACAACTTTATTCTCGTAGACCTAATATTATGACTTTATTCTCATAATATTACAACTTTATTCTCGTAATATTACGACTTTATTCTTGTAGACCTAATATTATGCCTTTATTCTCGTAATATTACGACTTTATTCTCGTAATGTTACGACTTTATTCTCGTAGACCTAATATTATGACTTTATTCTCGTAATATTGCGACTTTATTCTCGTAGACCTAATATTATGACTTTATTCTCATAATATTACGACTTTATTCTCGTAATCCCCCCCAAAATATATTTTTTTCTCTTAGTATGGCCCTAATACTCTGTCTTAATATTCCGCAATAACCTCTCTATGTAGTTTTTATTATTCAGTGGCAGAGTCCGCCATGCCTGCACATGCACAAGGTAGTCACAAGAAAACAATACATGCATGTACTCCAGTGTTAATGTTTCTAATTTTATCTGATTCCAGCCTCACTGTTAACTGTCCTTCACCTGTATCAAAGTTGAAAGAAATAAAGACCTGCAGATATCCTGTATTAATAACTCAATAACAAGAAGAGAAGTAGTGTGTTACAGTGCATCATGGGTAAAGGCTGACTTCAGTAAACGTAGTTAGAAAATGTTGTCTCTCCGTCTGTTTCTCTCTATAAAACAGACGAGGAGGTCTGAATTATTGGACACTTGATAGAGTTAATTGAGAGGAACAAATGACTTAAATTAATGATGAGAGGTGACATGTCTCCCTCTCTTCCAATAAAACTAAACCCATATTGGGAAAGTTTTGTTTTATTTGATATAGCGATGAAGCAGACGATTATAAATCTGACCTGACGGCATACAACGCAAAATGAAGTGTGAAAGCTGCCAAATTTCTTGGCGAAGGTATCGGTTTACAGTAATGTATCAGCATTAAAAGTGCATTAGATTGATTTTTACTGTCCATCTCACAAAATAACTGCATGAGCAGGGATTTGATGTGGTTTTTCATCAATACTAAAGACTCCATTATTTTCCGCCATGTGCTGAGATTTCTGTCTTCCAAAATCCACTTTTTGGCTCAAACCTGTGTGTATTGATCTCAGCTGAGCCAGGGACCTGTCAAAACTGCATTTCTTGTAGCTGACAGAAGTCGATACAATCATTAATAATTAATGCTCCCGGATTACGGTATAATGTTATGATTTATTAACGTACCTCCACCCGACACTCGGACCAGGGGCTGTACTGCCAGCGGTAGCAGGGTCGGACAGGGCAGGGCTTCCACTGCTCCATCTGAGAAGGGCAGGGCCGGCCATCGCCCTGAGAGGCCTGAACCACCGACCGCTGGCGCCACATCTTACCTGGAGAAAACACACAGGAAGTGACATCATCAGTGTATTATTTCATTTAATTTAAAAAGGTTAGGATTCTTCTCACACAATATACCAAGGACTTGTATTACCGCGGTTGCACTGCAGAATTGTTTGTAAATTACTTTATTATGAACCATTAACAGGTCATTTCTCACAAATTGTCAGTCCCAGTTTTGAAACTTGTCTTGTGTTTTACCAGCATGTTAGAAGATAAATGTTCTGCCTTCAGAGGTTTTGATTTCTTTCTGACATAACATGCATACAGAGTGTCAAGTGGCTGTGTTTTCTGCACAATAAACTAAATGCAAACAGATTTGGCTCATACAGTGGCCATTGCGGTTTACCACACAGCAGCCAACCTTTCTCTCTGTAAACAGCTCGTTTTGAAAGCATTAAATTAATCTCACTGTGCAACAGCACTTTACTTAACAGAGCAGGGTTTTCTAAATAGCCTGAATTATTGCACTTTTTTCTCTGCCATCTTGATTAGTTCTTGGTCCACTTGAGTAAAATGGCTTTTTGTCCACATCAATCAGCAAACTCTTTTTAAATAAATCCAATAAATTACAGCAGCTAACACCTCAGAGACCGTTTGATTTAAGTGCAGAATTGATGCAATGAACTGGCGAGAAAACTCAACACAGAAACTCTACACACACTCACACATTTTAAAATGCAACCTTTCTGTCTACTTGTTTTAAACCACCCACTCTCAACTCTCCCAACCCTTCATTTGTTGCACATCCCACTTTCATTTTCACACTGCCTAGCCAGCAATCTGCTCACCTCAGAATACACCTTTGCCAACCTACGACACCTTTCAACACATAAAACACAAATCAGGCTTCCCACACACTCACACAAACTGTACAACCTCATATCCTATTCCAACAAGAGAACATCCCACACACAAATAAGGTCCCCTCGTGCTCCTTTAGCCTTTCTTAAACTTTTATCTTATTCCTTGTGATTTAGCAACTATCGCTGTAGCACCTCTTCTTCAAAGCGCTCCCCTCAGCCCCGAGGAGCAGGAAGATGTAATGGGACAGAATCAATTGTGTGAACCGCCGGAACAACAACCAGGCAACAGGAGGACAAATTTTCGCCGGCCATTTGGGAAAACTGTAACGTCTCTTAAATAAACACTTCCTCTATTTTGCTTCTGTGAGTTTTTCTGGCCAAATGCCTCCAAGGGGAGCAGGAAGTGTCTCATATAGGACTTTTTTAGTCATCCAAGTACGTCTTGCTGAGCATGCATGTTTTCGCTCAGCCACACCATGCTTTAGTACAGAAAACTTTGATGCAAGGCCTCCTTTCCAACCAACCAGGGACAAATTGTACTGCATGAGAAAATGCTTGTCAAAGCTTTATGTATTCAGGCTCCTCCAGACCTATGTGTTTTTTACTTGCATATTCCTACTTCACATTCATATATGTATACATTTACAAGTTGGGGCTGCCAAGTACAACAGCAGTCCTCTAGTGCTGGCAACTGGGCATCATAAACTCTGCCTGTATTTGATTCTTTCACGTTACAAGCAGCCCCGGGAGCATCAACAAACAGTCACATATGTTTCTTAGGTCTCCAACGCAGAAACATGACTGATGTTGACATGACACACAGACATGCTATACAATATAATTATATGTTTAAAGATGGAGTCAGGAATTAAACTCACAACCGTTCTGTCAGCAAACGAAGTGTTCGGGGCTTCCCGAGCAACAGCAGCTCTCACCCAAAAGAATAATTAGATGAGAATATCAGCTGGATCATCATGAAAATAGACCTCAGGTCTGCCCTTTAGGGCAGCTGTGGCTCAGAGGCAGAGCGGGTTGTTCCCCCAATCAGAAGGTTGGTGGTTCAATCCCCAGCTTCTCCTGTCACATGTCGAAGTATCCTTGAGCAAGATACTGAACCCCAAATTGCTCCCGATGCTGTGCATCAGTGTGTGAATTTGTATGAATGATTAGTTTCTGTTCGATGGGGATTTGCCATTACTGTGTAAATGTGTGTGAAAGGGCAAATGTTGCAAATAGTGTAAAAGCACTTTGAGTGGTCAGAAGACTAGAAAAGGCGCTATACAAGTACAGTATTTACCATTATCTCACTGCATTAACAATGTTATTATCACCTAATTGATGACACTGTTAAGTTTGTTTCAAGTGGGTAGATGTGACCCTGATTTCACTTGTTTTTTGTTCCTGTGCGTTAAATGGAAGTGACATCATGTCAACCAAATTGCAGATGTGTCTGCCTTCAGGCTGCTGCATGTAGTAAATGTTTTAAGCCCCAAGATACAGTTTTCCCTTCATTTTTTTTTTTTTATGTAGCTTTAACTGAAGAAGTGTTTGACTTCTAGTAGCGCTTTGGAGCTCTTTATTTATGAGTGATGCATGCACATGGGGAAACATGCCAACAGAAACTTAAACTTGTATTCAAACAATACAGATTTTATGTGGAAGGAAATTAATTCAACATGTTTGACCTCAAGGACACACAAAGAAAGTTTTGGTAAGTATCGGTGAATGAATTGGTTTGTTTATCACAGCTTTAAGTCTGTTAAGATCATCTCATTCTACATGACCTGACAGTCCGATACGGTCTCTATCAGCTTCGTCATTACAGCAACATGACTTTATATTCAAACCCAAGACTTTTTTTTATGGCTGCACCATTCCACCAAATAGAAATATTCTTGATGTCTTCCAATCACACTTCTCAACAATTAATTGAAATGTCAAGTGCAATGTTTGGCTGCACAGCCCTAGAAACACCTGCAGAGGAGTGAGGTTTAAGAGGCTAACTCCATTTGAGCCGAATCACTGTGAGTTGGTGCAAATTCAAGAGCTTGATGTGTTTGGCCATTTGCCATCAAGATTGCCAAACTCAGCCTGGCTAATTCGGCATCATTTTTTATATCACGTCTTCAAAAAAATTTCAGTCAGGACCCCTTTTGTCAAAACAACTTTTATTTCCAAATGCAGAATGTTATATTTGGCAGTATGGCTCTGTTCTGGGACCTCCTTGCCCTTCCATGTGCATACATGGAAAGCTTTGGACAAGGAGAGCAGCAGCAAAGACCCCCCAGGGTACAGAACAGAGCAAGCATCACTGGCAACAGAAATGACATTGATTAATTAGATACAACATAAAAAGGAGGAGCTGGGGTGGAGGTGGGTTGCAAAACGGCTTGCAGAGGAAGCAGCAAAGGTAGGCAGGCTAAAGCAGCTTAAATAAAGCGCCCTGAATGACATTTGCCAATTGGATGCTTGAATCAGCTGAGCTATCAGCTGTTGTGTGTTTACAATCAACTTAGATCAGCTGATGTAGCTGGAATTAAGAGCTGAGCTTGACTTTGTGGCCTGACTGAACTAACGCTGTGATTCATTTATAGATGAGCTTTAATGTAAGTTTGTTTGATTTTTTAATTACTTTGCTTGTTCTGGTCTTTGCTTTACTGTGATTTTATATAATTATTGCATGTGAAAAGTGTATCTGATCATTGTAAGATCAGGACGATGAAGAGGTGACAGAGTTTAGATTTGTCTTGTTAGTAAAAGGTCACATATTTTTATTGTGGCAGCCAGTAAGTTCTGTCAGTTATTTGGCCACACTGGAAATTGCTCAAGAAAAAAATGTCAGCTAAATGTCAACAACAACAATTTTTGTTGATCAGACTGTTGAGCAAAATGTCTCGTCTATTATGAGTCTTACCCTCTAGTCCACACGTCTGTGAACACTCTGACCAGGCCGACCACTCCGACAGCTGACAGTTGACAGGACACTCGACCACACAGGAGATGTTCATCTGCCACTTCTTCTCCAAATTCAACTGTGACACATATAGGAAATGAAAGGAAGTAATTCAGGACACATCATCAAATCATCCACCATACAAGCGAACAGTCACGACACAGCCAACTCAATCTGTTCGGGCCAGACAGCAGCTTGACCTCTCAGCACTACAATTCCCAGAAGTCTTTGTTCTGGCAGGGGACAGACTGTGCAGGGCAGCATCAGGCCAGTGGAGTTGGAACATCGAGGCTGCTGTGAAAGCCATTCTGACACAATGTGTTTTTGTGAATGAGCCAGATGATGAAGTGGGCCAGGGGTTAAATAGCTGTGGGGACGGCTCAGCCGCAGCCCGCCGGCTACAATTACAGGGAGCCGAGACACATTATGAATGAGTAAAACGCTCAGCCTGAAGCAACGACAACAATCTCTGCATGGGAATACGAGTGAATATTTCATGTTGCTGTGGGCCTAATAGTACTGGAAGGGTACGATAATATATTGTAATGAGTAATGTGATTAAGTCATTAAGAAAAATGAGTCTGTCAAAGAAAGAAAGTAAAAACCAAATTACCCAAAAAACAAAAGAGGAAGTGCAAAAGGAGACACTTGAGGAATTTGTGCTCAGTCTCACCTCCTCACAGAATTTTATATCGACCGATTTTCCGTCGCTGCGAACACAGTCGAGCATTCGAGTCTTGATGCCGCTCCCACACACAGCGTTAGGACTCAGCTGACATGTACTCCAGTCTGAGGAGAAACAGAGCATATTCACATTTATAATGTTGGCTGTTAATGTTCATAAAACAGGCAAGTTCAGAGTGCTTGAAAGAGCAACAATTTGAACACAGCGCAGTCTGCAAAGGGTGCAAAAAGGCCCTATCTAGAGCATGTCCGTTCTGGGCTACTGTAGCAACACGGCGGATCAACATAGCGGCCTCCATGGAAGAGGACCGGCTCCCTCTGTAGATAAAAAAAAGCTCATTCTTTTCAGGTTATAATACACTAATGAAAACAAACCTATGAATATTGTGTTTTATTTCTGCCAATAGATCCTCCTTAATGTTACACACTGGACCTTTAAAAAAAATAAAATAACATTGCAGAGACCTGTTGGTGCCATCCTGAAATACCAGCAATGTAGACCACATAATGATGCTCAGTACAACCATATTCTTCTAGCCACTGAGAATCATTAAGGTGACTCTGCTGCACTTCCTGTATTTGTTTCTTTCACACTGCAAGCAGCCCTGGAACTGTCAACAGTCACATGGATAAATACATGTGACTGTAGTCTTACTGCTGGCGAATGTTAACCTAAAACCATGTGCTTTCTGAGCTGCATCAGCTCTCACCCAGAGAATAATGAGTAATACAACATAAAAAAGGTACAGTAGATAATAGCTCAAAGGAAAAAAAAAAAAGAAACCCTGTATCGACACTAGATAAGATTTCTCTGCTGAATTTTGTAAGAGCAGAAAAAGCTCATTCTCCAACAATGTTACCATCATAGCTCTTTAAATCCTGGGGGACAAGTTCAAGTCAAATCAAGTAATTTGAGACATATTTCAAGTCAAGCCTGAATTCCTTAAAGGCAAAACCAAGTCAAGTTAGAAGTCCTCATAAGCTAAATCCGTGCCAAGCTGTCTCTCATGTGTGAATGCTTTAAATGACACATCAGTGGAACATTTTTCTGTAAATTGTGTTTTTTACAGGATTGCGACTGTGTTATTTCAAGTGTCTTATTTATTTTTTATTTTCAAGTTCCAAATCAAGTCTTTAGGGGGATAAAGTCTCAGTGCAGTCAAAGACAAGTTATAATGTAATTCTTATCATTCTTAAACCTGCATTTAATGATTTTCAGAAAAAAAAGTAAATGCTGACATATTACCACCAGAGCACCATTAAAATGACCAGTGTGTAAGATTTAGTGGCATCTAGCGGTCAAGATTGCAACTAACTGAACACTGTATATACAAGCCGAGGTTATTATTGGGTATTTGACATGACATGGAAATAAGAACGGGATGTGCAATGTGTAGGAGAAACTACGGTGGCCACGAAACTCCCAAAAGTGAAAGGCCCTATCTACAGCCAGGGTTTGTCCATTTTGGGCTACTGTAGAAACATGGTGGTTCAACACGATTCCTATATTCAGGTGATTTTACACAAAACTTAACTATAAATATTCAATTTCTGCCAAAAGAGCCTCCTAAATGTTACACACTGGACCTTTTAAGTTGATATGTTAAACTTGTTAGCACTCATTTAAACATCCAGCAGACATGGAGCAACATTAGTATTCATTTGATGAATCCAAGTCCCATGTTTACTCTCCTTTTAGCTCTATTCTGCTCTCCAACAACTCCTGAGGCATATATCCAGCTCAATTAGCTGCTAAATGCTCCACTATGTTCACCAGCTAGTCGTTAACTTTGTCTGCCTGCTGTTTGATGCTGGGCAGGTAGCCTGTAGTGGGTTTAGCAGAGCTTTTCCGCTGATAGCAGCCACCTGATGTGTCTGGAAATTACGAACCAAAACAAACAGCTGAAAGACGCTGAAAGGCTCCATAGAGCCGAGAGGAACTGCAGAGTTTACTGAGCGACACATAGCCATTTAATTCACTGTGAATACACAAATGTCTAAAGTCTACAACTCTGGGCAACTTTGCACCTGCAAAGGACAAAATAAAATAATGTAATAAATCCTCTCTTGTTTTATAATATTCCCAGCTGATGGAGAAATGCAGATACATGAATATGGGTGAGAGATATAGTTGTACAAGATGAGCTACAAAGATGATAATGTTTATATCTACTAGCTGTGACCGTTGAACCCCAGAACTATCATCCCTCCTCCAATTACATTTTACAGCAGAATATGACCATCACATGATGACTGCTAACCTGCCAGCTTATAGAGCAGACAACTTCACCAAATACAGCAAATATTTACCAGTGTTCTGCAGGCTGATTTATTTTACTACCCTGGGTACAAGTAGAGTTTGAAGGCAGGTGAGAGGAAGTCATGACTTAAGACAGGAGGGAGGATAGAAAAGGAGAAGAGCAAGTATTCAAGTCACAAAAAACAGCATCTCACTAGTGTTCTGCTTTTTGTAGTTGGATGTATTTTCAGTTGAAGCAGGATGATGTGGCGGGACAAAACACAAGGAGATGCTGTTCAAAAGTGTTCAAATGCATCAGCTGTCACAAATTCTTTACACCTCAGAATGAATAAATCCCAGACAGTGAGAAACAACCGTGGTGTGTCTAAGCGTTTTAAGGGTGAACAGACATAAATGCACCGTCGTACCATGTCGCTTCATGTTGCTTTATAATATGTTTAGCTTAAAGTTTAATATGCTGATGTACAGTGCATCCCAGGATGCAAAAGAACTAGAAGTTTTATATAAAATATCAATTAATTTTTGATACGGTGTATTGACACAGTGAAACACTATCAAATTAATTACCAGCTACGTTGCTGACATAAACTAAAATGCTCATGCCTTCACTGCACTGTATCTGATGGATCTTTGAGAAAGGACGTGCTATGCATACAAATGAACCACTATGGGCTCCCAGATGACTCAGCAGAATGGCTAGCATGCCTTGTGCATGCCATACTGTAGGTTTGACTGCAGCTCATTACCTTCGTTGTATGAAACACTGCCAGTCGTCCCTTTAAGCCACAACACAACAAGTAACACTGAAATGTGTGGTTTTTTGTTGTGTGTTTGCAGTCAAACTGTAAATAGCTTCTGGCTGGCAAAGATCACTGTCGATAACAGATGATTACTTTGTCAGCAAAGAGGTCATTGAAGGTTTATAACAGCTCACTTAAATCCAATAAATCTGGCTGCCATCAGTATCCTTTTATGACAGCATCATAAGCGAGCCGTGTGGCCACGCGGTCAGATTTGAGTTAAATAACCAGGATTTAAAAGCAACATCAATACAAGTTTTCCCCAATAAACCTCACCAGAAAAATCCAGAGCCGCAAGAGGCTGAACCTTGCCCCCCTCACACAAAAAATAATTTCTGTGAAGTGGAGAGACAACATTTTATTCCAGACTTAGGGTGCCAATGCCTTTAAAACCACAGTGTGCATGCTGTTGTTAAAAAACACTCTGCAACAACAGGGAGGCTGAGGTATCACTCATGAAGTGTGCCATCCGCTGACAAAGATGAGTGGCTGTTTTTAGCTGCAGTGAGCTCGTTTGCAAGCTCAACTCAGGGAATTGTGTCTCCTTCTGCCGAGGAGCTTTGTGGCACTCTGGGGACTGAAAATAGGGAGATTGCAACAAGAAAGAGCGACAGTAAAAGACTGTGAGAGAGACGGAAAGAAAAGGAGGAAAACTGAAGGAAGGGAGCAGCTTGGATGGTCTCAGCACATCAACAAAGACAAAAAAAAAAGAAAAAGAGCGCTTTACCCTATAATAATCTCAGCTCGTATATTATGTACATATACCCTGGGATGCCTGTATGCCACTGTGAACCCAGCAGTGAGGATTATATGTCACGTCTCCCGGTGTAACAACCAAAAGGAAGACAGAGAAGGAGGGTGGGCTTGTTGCGAATGTGGGGCAGCAACAAAGCAGGCAACACAACAAATGTAAATGAAATACAGGAAACGCTGACAATCTCTCATTTTTTCATTTTCATTGAAATAGTTTGTAACAGTTTCTAGAATGAAATGTGAAAGAGTAGCCTCTGTGACATGTGATATGGAGGTGTGATATCCTGCAGATTAGACAGGGGAGCTCGGGAAAGTCGCCAGCTCAAATCGCTGAGTAGTTTTGGAAATCTCTCTGTTTATAGACGCTATAATTAATATTTTTCTAATAACAATTTATCAAATAAAAGAGGTCGCTTATAGTAATGAACCTACAGAGAATTATCACCTGAATCTGCAACTCCTCACAGCTTTATGGAGCTTTACAGTGAATTTAGGCTCATTGTTATGCTGTCCAACTGTTGGTTAACTCTCACTGCTCTTATTGTGTCGTTTTCAGCTCCAGCAGGTAGCTGCTTTTAGTGCAAAAGCTCTTGAAACCCACTGTACACTAGCTGCTCAGCAACAAACAGCAGACAGAAACAGTTAGAGACTAGCTGGTGAACATAGTGGAGGATTTAGCAGCTAAAAGATATCTGCCTCAGGAGTTGGTAGAAACCAAAAACAGAGCTTAAAGAGCGTGAATATTGGACTCCAAAAGAACGATAATGTTGCTCCTTCACTGCTGCTCCATTGTGGCCAACAGTCTGACATTTTACTTTACCAGAGTGGTGCTCTGCAAAGAGACATGACATCATCATTATACAACACAAGGTTTGACAAAACCATGAAAGGTTCAAATTATCTCAACCCAAGAAATAAACGTAACAAAGCTGTTGAAAATAGAAAAAAAGATGAGTCAGTTATCGATTACTCCTCCTGCTGTTAAAACAGATGAGGAGCTCATTCTGAAATGGAGGCTGTGCTGTTCAGAGACTTTTAAAAGCCCTCACTTCAAAGGCTGTTTTCATATTGGTGATTTGGTTAAAGTTGAGAAACATTCATCCTGACACACCCATGGCTGCGGCCCAAAAACCATCTGCTCCATCTAAAACACAAAGCACGTACGGTGCTGTCATTTTGAGGAGACACGCGTCTGCCACAAACAAACTGCTTTCCCAACCTCAAAGAGAGGAAGGAATCAGCACAAACTCAGCTTAGTTGCTTCTGACCACTGTGACTTCAGGATTATTTTACATTCCTCGACATTGCCTTTACCTGTGATATTGTAGAAGTAGTTGAAACAGTTGAGGTTCAGGCCGCAGGGCTCTTTGTCAGTCGTGTCTGGACACTCCCTCCCCACGCTGGGCGACCGGAGGGTGTACGCCAACCGCACTCGACTGTTGGTTCTGGTACAGGGCTGAAACAGAGACTCCCCATTAAAACCTGGAACCCACACAAATGTTTGTAAAAATGTGTAAATGATAGCTCATATTGCAGAGAGTGATAAGAATCCCTGAACAGGAGCAGGAACTAAGCCAGAGGGCTCATGCTACACTGATGCCCATATCTATTGAACATTAAAAAGGCAATAACCGTGATAATTTGCCCACTTATTGGGTCACAATTCATTCCGTTTTCTTACGTGAAGACATTCTCCTAGAGGCTGCATGCAACTGGAGGGATATTTTATCATTGTACTTCTAAAGTAAATAAACAAAATCATTTCCCTCCCCTCTCTCCTGGCATTCCCAGAACATGGATTTCGAGTTTTTCCAGCAGGAAACGACAGACCGCTTAAACAGATATTATGCTGGAATGGTAAACCACCAGATTCTACACGGTCATTGCTTGTGAAGAAGAGAGTTGGGGGAGAAAATGACAGCCTTTTGAATAACTCCATCGCTGGCTCGATGAATAAAACATGCGATAGGCCCCCGCTGGTGCCACTGCAGACTCCAATTCGAGATTGGAATTGTGGGAAGTCGGTGTCAAGCACTTTGGGAGAGAATGGGGTGTGATTAACAATGGCCGAGGTGCTGCTGTGAGAACAGCAGGTGAAACCAGAGCAGTTAAAATGGCTTTTTACCCCGAATCGGAGGTGTCAGGGGCGGAGGAGCTGAACAGGATGTTCTGACATCTTACATGTTTTTGCAAAAGGGAGAACAAAGATTGCGTTCGGGCTGTAGCTTGTAGGTGCGTGCTTCGCTGCTGTGATGAAATCAGAGGTCAGTGTCTTGCAAAAAGTAATTTAGAAAGTCTTAATATTTTAAAGTGAGTCAGAAAAGGACTCAAAGGTCATGATGTACAGGGAGATACATTCTCATGTTTTACAAATTTTACCATCAACTTCAAGGTTGCAAGTGATTATGAATCAAATTCCTGGTAGCTTTGAGTATCTTATAAATCAACATTCTTCTGAAAAAATAACTAATTCTTTTCAACGTTGTGGTTGTCTGCCAAATATTTTTAGCCAGCTTTATATTTGCCACTACATCACTGCTGATGTAGAGAGCGTGTGTCAGAAAATGTAAATCTGGAAACCTGCTCAGGAGTTCTGAGTCTTTATCATAAATCATCTTCCTTCCCTGCTGAATGCACAGTGGGTACAGTGTAATATAGGTGATATATAAGCCATTTTTCTCCTGCTTCCCAGTTCATACATCTCTTTTATTCCTCCTTGGTGGACGAGAAATAACCTGTTGACAAAGATTCATACACTGCTCACAATAATACAGTGCAGCTACGCTTTGAATTCCTTGAGCCTTAGAGAAAATATTTCTGACAAGAAAAAGATATCAAGATAAATCTCAGTGGGCTTCGCAGAAATCTGACGTTCCCATATCTACTCTGTACCAGACAGCTGAGCTGCTGCTTTCTGATCTGGGTTCAGCTCTCACCAGGCTGCAGCGGCTCCAGGGGCCCCAGTCATTGAGGACACAGTCTTCGGGGCAGGGCAGCCGGCTCTCCCTGGCCCCAAGAGGCATCTCTTCTGGGTCACATAGGTAGTCCTCCACAGACTCTGACGGCCCGTCTATCGTGTTGAGCATGCATCTGTGGGATTGATCGAGAAACACTGAATTTGACCTTGTTTTAGCAACGCTGCAGTTCAAAAGACCACAACAAAGGAGTCAGGGTTGACAGGTACATAGAGTACTTGATGACCTATGTGTTTCTTAAGCAGTGGGGTGTGTTCTTCAGGGTAACAGATGTCAATTTCATGATAAACAAAAAAAAAAAAAACATCTGTTGTATTTGGTCAAAGCAACACACACTCCACTGGCACAGCAGTATGATGAACATGGACTGGCTGAATTAAATACTTCAAAATATGTTTCACACTTCAATACAATACAAAAAGCTGTTTTTTTGACTCATGTGTTGTTTTTTTGTTGTTTTTTTAACTGAATCCTGGCTTTCCTCAACTGTCGCTGCCACATTTTTAGAGTTTTTTCCTCCAAATTACAGCTTTTTATGCTGCAGCAGACAAGATAAAGAGGAGGTGAGACTGCTTCTATGTTCACTGATAATTTCACCTACTCCAAGAGCAGAAACTTAGCTGAGGTAGTTTTTAATTACTGTGATTGTGCATCAGCCACCTAAGCACTGAACCACCAACAATCATGAACAGGCATTACACACAAGGGTTATGGATGTTGATATTTTGTCTACCAATGATGTCCCTGCGTTTTATTATTTGTATGTGTGCGTGTGTGTGTTTTTAATCCACAGGACCACTATGTTTGGTTCTGTTTGCCTCAGGAACCATCTAATTACAGTCTTATGAGTCTAATATAGTCTAATTACAGTGCATGTCTTGGCATGTGCAGAGAATAAATCCAAATAAAGAGTTCCACCCGAATAGATTTGGCAGCGTGTTCTTTGTTGACTGTCAGCTAAACCATGTTATACAGCTTCGCCCAGCCAATACAGGATCGTTTGCACGGTTTGTTTCCCCATAAAAAGCCCAACTTTACACAAGGTAGTCATATTAATGAAATAAGGATTACAAATTAGTGTGTCAGCCTTATTAGAGGTCTGACAGCTTGCAACTGCTTTAGACCAACAAATTATTTTTTCTGATACATTAATTAATAATATAATAATGACTACAAAAGCCCTTTGTAATGTCTTCAAATTGCTTGTTTTGACTGGTTAAGAATCCAAAATCCAAACCCAAATTCAATTTAAAATATAACAAACGAAAGCAGCACATTTTAGCATTTGCCAATAAATTAAGAAATTAATTGAGTATCACATTGTTTGTTTTCAATTCAGTGTTATTTGTACAGCACCAATTCAAGTTATCTCACAATACTCTTAAAATAGAGCAGCTCTACACCGTAGTCTTTATAAAATTGTTGACTAATGGGTTCATTATTTCAGCACTAATATACACTACATTTAACAGTTTCTATTCATGCATATAAACCATATAAACATAGACACATAGTGGGACAGACAGCTTGATACATACCTCACTTTCCTGGTCTGCACGCCTTCGCCGCAGTTCTCTTTCAAGTCCACGTTGCTGACTTTCCACACACTCCACGGCTCGGCCACCCACACATACTGATTACAATCACTCCGACATGGCACCACCTCATACACCTGAGGACAGAATAACCTTATTTATGTGCTTAGCATTTTTTAGGTAGATACAGCTGCGAGAGAAAGCTCAATGGGTTGGCCCAACTAATAATCATAATCATCATGGTCATGGATAAAATAAAAATGTGGCCTCTACAGTTTGTATTTTTATAAATGTTTCGTCTTAGCCATGGAAGTTTGTCAGTGAAGTTTTTGCCTAATACGCAGTGATTCTTTGGCTCAGCTTTCTGAGGTTTAACTCAGCCAACGAGATTATTTCTGCCCCCAGAGCAGCTCTGCCTCTGGGAAATGTCTGTATAAATAAAACTCCAATCTGATAGTAACTTGTTTACTTATAGTGAGGGTACTGTGACTGTGTACATCTATCTGTCAGTGACCCACTGACATTAGCGACACATAACATCTGCGACTACATTACAAATAGCTGAGGAAAGCAGCTCTTACCTGAGCCTGTAGCAGTGAGTCATATCCAGTGAGCATTGGGGTGGATTAAAAGGAGACAGATGGATTAATGAGCACATGCCAACTGTTCATATAGTGCAGAACCTATGATTAATGCAACATTTGAGGACATAATCAGAAAAGCCTCTGGCATAAATACCTGTGTGAACTTAGCAGATACACACACTTACACTTACACTTACACACACACACACACACACACACACACACACTGCCAGACGTAGATCAACACAACCATAATCTGCATCTGCTGATACTCACGGGCCTGGAAAGCATTTCATTTTTGCAAATCATGGAAACCTTAAGGAATCAACTGGCGCACACTGGGGCATTAATATGGTGGATGGGATCCATTTATAGCACACATTGCTTTTTGCACTGTCGCTGCTCAGCAAAAAAATTACTGCTGCAATAATGAGGGGAAGGTAAGGGAAAGCTCTGCAGACTCGAGCTGATTATTCATTAATAATGAATTTCTTTCTCTCTCTTCAGTGTTGGATACGTATAATGTGTATCACACTTGTAATAAAGTATAAATATATTGTAGCACAGTCCATAAATATTCAACAATCAGTGGCGAGCTGAAAGCAGGCTTTGGTTTTTTATCTCAAGCTCCTGCTCAGCCACAAATTCACACTTCAAATACAGAAGCTTTCAGTGCCTGTACCTGGTTGATGTGGTCCAGTTTTGGACACGGCCGGCCACCGTTGTAAGGTTTCTCCCTGAGCCACTTGGAGCGAACTTTGACCCCGCTGCCGCAGGACTTGCTGCAGCGTGACCAGTTAGACCACTCACTGAGTTTACAGTCCGAGGGACAGGGGATGATGCACGCCTCCTCAATGTAACCTGAAAGGACGACAAGACATGAGGTGTTTTGCAGGAATCAAACTAATTAATGGCGGTAGCTCTGGGTTTTGCCTTGTGACCTGTAAAGTTTAATGGTATGATTTATGAGGTGCATACACACTTCGAAAGAAAAACTAAAAGAGAAAATTATTTTTGATTATTGAATGATTATTTCAGAATGAAATCAGCTTTGAAATAAAACCTTGGTTCTCTCTGTATCCCACCAGCAGGATCTCAGCCTCCACTTGAGAATGACTGGCTTTAGAGAGAAATGGCTGGTTCTTGAGTCTCTGAGAAGAATCTTGTTTTCTTTACCTGGTATGAAACTACATCTGTCCTAACTCCCAAAGATTAGTTTTTCTTTTCGATCTAACAAACAAGGATTCAAGTTCAAGAACTCTTTAAATGCCAGATGGGGAAAAATACCCAGCTGTAAGAGCACTGCAAACTATTAACCGATTCTTCACAAACTAATCTAAATGCACCTATTGATTTTCAGCCAACTGGAATAAAAACAGGGTCCACATTCAAAAGGCCCAATTTTATGGTCTGTTATATAAAAGTCTAAAAATCTACCAAAGCAATAGTTGGGCCTGACAGCAAGCTTCATTATTTCAATCTATTTTTCCTCAGCTCACAGGGTCATGGCACAGTTAACAGGGCTGACTTTAAGCATCTCACTCTGCTTGTTATTTGTGTTTTTCTGGATTTCTGGACCTTTACCATCTCTGGGCTGTGATTTCCTCTGTTTTTTACCAGTACACACAGGCCAAGGTTCAGTCAAATGCGTTGAAGGAGATTATTCTTCTGAACCTTTGGCTTTGTGCATTACGTCTTCTTTCACTTGCTCAGAGAAAGTCTGTTTAGTAGACAGAACGTAATACATTTTTAGGATTATGTAACAGCACTGGCCTGTAAATCTGTTTAGCCTTTGATTAAGAAAATCGATGAGGTGAACGAACCGGGAAAGTGGAGTGTCTCACTGGGTGCCTAACAACTTCCTCTTCATGGTGTGGGCTCTTTCAGGCTGCTTTTCTTTTTATTGAGAGACATTTGGTGCCACATTGACTGACGGATATGCTGAAAACACACTTCCCGTGATTTCAGATAACAAGTTACAGAGGAATCCCACCGAGGCTATTCAGTCCTAACAAATCAATCACTTTAAATGCAAGTATTTTTCTTTTAAACTCCGCAAAGTCTTGCTGAGCACACATGTTCTTTTGTAACAACATGCTGCCGGGTACAAAAGCTATCCACTGCTGGCCACTGAGCACTGCTGGAGTAAATGGAGGATAACTAGAGGGAGAGTGGTAGTTATCCATATTCTTTATTTGGGATGTCTAAGTTGGTCCCACAACTGACACAATTGAGTGACGCCCTGCTGTCAAATTCTGGTCATGTCAGGCCACATTTAGCTCCAAAAATAAATAAATACATAAATAAATTACTCATTCGGCTCTGCTGGTGTGGGTGTGTTGCTAAAGGTACTGTTGAGGAGATGAAATACAATCCAGAAAGTCAAGTTTGAGTAATACATCTGCACATAATAAGGCTTAGCAGATGCCAATACAGATAATAATACAATGAGACAGGATAGCTTTGAAAAGTTATCACAGCAGCAGGCATTTTATCCCCGATGACGGCAAGGTAAACAATAGAATTGCACCAATTGTGTTGCAAAGTAATCTATCAGGAATGTGGACTTGATCAATTCCCAATTTGGTCAATGAAGTTGCATTGTGTTGCGCCAAAGGTTGAGCTAGCTGTGATGTTTTTTCCACTTTTTTAGACAGTCCCCTGCAGTGGTCTAATTGAAATCAACAGAAAACCTTTTTTTGTTTTTGATGCAGTGCAAATGTTTGTCTGAATGCCTCCTCCGCCACACTTAAGAGAGGGGAGGGTTTGTCCTTTTACAACTAAAAAAATCTCACATTCCTATCAGTCCTTTCATTTTTCTTTTTTTCTTACCTTTTACGGAATACTGCTGCCAGAGGTGATAGTGTCCTCCTCACAAATACAATTTGATGGATGTGTTTTATATATGGATGATTGGAGCTTAGACATAGGGTAAAGTTGGCTCAGCTGAAGAGGACAGTTGAAGAGTGATCTTGCTGCCCAATATGCAGGCCCGAAACTAAGCCCTAAGATTCCTAAAAGCTAATATGATTAGAAAATAAAAAGTCTGTTAAACCCAGTCAGGACTAGAGTCTTGGCAGCACCAACTACATGCACAGTGACATAACGATCACATCCATGCAAATACACACACACACACACACACACACACACACACACACACACACACACACACACACACACACACACAGTTCTGCCTGACCTCCTTGCACTCTCTTTCTCCTGAGTCCAGATCAGCAACTCTACATCAACACCTTGCTGAGTTCAGCATAACCACACACATCTGAAAGCTGAAGCTTCATCACCTTTGACCTCCCACTGTAGGCACTGACATTCAAGTCCAGTCAGTCTAAATCACTGACGCTGTCACTTTAACGCCACTCACGGTGCAAATGCTGCAGCACCTAAGCCTGCAGTTCACTTGTAGTTCAACTGATATGAACTCGTTAGGTGTCTTGCCAAGCTCTCAGGGGTGTTTTTGGGCCGAGTCCAGGTAGGAGATCACTACTGTTGCCTTTAGAAGTCAACTTGCAACCTGAAACAAGCTCCTGCTCTAATTCCCAAAGCAGTTGTCACTGCGGTATAAAGCTTTCCTAACTGCTGACTGCCCAACTTCACCTGAAATGTTAACATCTTCACTGCCCAACCAGCTCTTGAACCTCCCAGTGATAATTGGGATTTGCACTGACATGCCTCTGGAAGTAGACAGCCACAATGTATCAGCATTTTGTTTAGAACATAAGCAGGCAAACACATGTTAGCTTAATCTGTACTTCACCATTATTCACAGTATGGTAATGCTGTGTTGTTATTTTGTCTTTGAACATGCAGGAACCCACTGGCATTCATAGCATGCTGGCACATTGTTAGGGCTGGAAAAAACCTTGAAGGGATAAACTGACACAGAAATAGAAGAAAACCACATAATGCAAATATAAAAAGGGTCATCTGCACACTGATCCAGTTACTAAATTCAGAAAACTTTCAAAACTCAATAATATTCCAGTTTTGTAGAAGATGTTTAGAGAAGTAGAGACAAGGCAGTTTATTACACTAATGTGTGTCACTGTCCTTATATATTATATGTTATGTACTGTTTGTCTTCACAACCTGTGAAACATTCATGTGTGTGCTATAACACAACAGAGAGCAAAGTGCTTGTATAAAATAACTAATAAATTATACATGCTTTTGGTAGAACCGATATCAACCAAACCAATCACAACAGGAAAATGTTTTTCAAAATACAGAACCAGTGGAAAAGCACATGAAGTTATACGCTGCTGGATGGTTTGTACACACAGCAGTTAATAGTGGGACTTTCCCAAATATGCTTTACTCTTTTTGCGCTTGCAGGAACCCACTAGTATGCTCGATCACACGTTGATCACCTGTGCAATAGACTGCAGCAGAGACTTTACTTTCTAAGGCGATTGAGACTGTACGGGGTGAGCAGCCAGATCATGCTGATGTTTTACCGGGCGATCCTAGAGAGCATCATTAGATATAGAATCACAGCATGGTTTGGCAACTTAACAGTGCTGCTGCTTGCCAGCACGAACAAAATAGCTATGGGGATAATAGGGAAGAAAGAATGAGCCCATACAGAGCCTGTATGAGCACACAGTCACGAAACAAGCAGCAGAAATGATTGTGGACCCTCAACATCCAACCTCCCTCTTCTCTGAGTACGAACCTCTGCCATCAGGAAGAAGATTGCCTGTGCCAAAGTGCAAATCAAACAGACTGAAGTTATCGTTCGTCCCCACTTCTATCAAGCTGTTGAACTCTAATACTAAATCCTAGTGCAATAGGGCAATGTGAAATACACAAACCAGCACCATAGCACTTTAATTCTTATAGTTTCTTACAGTCTCTCTCTTTAACCTGCCGTATTGTCAGTGTTAATATGTATAGTCAAATGTGTCTCATGTTTTAAGGATGTTGATTTTGTGATGGTTTTCTGATGTGTGTTTTGTTTGTTGATTTATTTCTGTGAAGCTACAGACTGTAGCACTGTGCACCTAAAACAGATTTTCCCCCTCGTTTACTCTATCCTATTCTACACTGGACCCCTGGGTACCGACCGAGAAGACCTAGATAGTAAATCCAGCAACCATTTATTTCTGGCCATTCGGTAAGGAATAGAGTCTCCACAGTGTTGGCTTCTGAAACCACATTTCCTCTGTTTGATGGGTGGTTGGCCCGGGAAGCTTTAGGTTAACCTTCTGGCTCCAGGAATCTTTCAATATTACTGCCTGATTTTTGACCTGTTACACCTCCTGCACCACAATCATCTCCAAGGCACTGGGGACAGCTTAATCCCAGGGTGCTCTGGAAATAACAACGGAGGCTCTGCGCTCACGATGGAGCACAGAGGATTAACAAAGAGTCACCATAGGCCTAGAAGGACCCTTTGATGTACAATACCAGCTTTACCAGACGCTGACCTTGGCACCTTGACAGCACACTGTCTACATGTTGTAACAGTCAAAACAACTTAAGCTCAATTATACGGCACAGTCTCTTAGTGTGTTTCTGTCTTTCTCTAACAAATGTGGCTCGTCATGCGCCAACAAATCTGTTCACTGCAGAACTGCTCAAGTTCACAGGTCCTCAGCAAGATACTTGCCCTTAAGCTTTACCCTTTTATGGTTTCCCACAGTGACTGTATTACCCCCTCCTTTACCACATCCGGCTAAGACGAGGCCAAGGCCCCCCTGAGCCGTCCTGTAATATTAAGTCATGGTAAAGGTCAAAGCGTCATGGGTCACTTATAGTCATAAGAACTATATGAGTACTGTCACATCATATAGGACAGCCCATGACTCATTACAATATTTCCCCTGACTACACATGACCTTTGACACAGTGTGATGGTAGTAGTAGACGAAGTAGTACTATGGTTTGTTGAGTAGTGTTTTTTGTAGGTTTGGTGGTTACATGTCCTTCGAGTCCGATTGAATAGTTCAATTTATGTTGAGTAGTTATGTTGTTTTGTGATTTTTTTGTGAGAGAGGATTAAAAACTCTCATCCATCTTAATGATTGCATACCACCACAATTTCAGTCATTGTCTTGAGCTGGTGAGTCTGTGGCTTGGTCTGGAGTCTCTACCCCCTCAGTCTCAGTCTTGATTATATTAAACATGACAACACACTAATTAGATCTTCTTGTGGCTGACTGCAATTATTGCTGGGAACTAATAGAATCAGGAATTTGCCATTTGGATGTTACTTGCTTCTTGTGCCGCTGATTATTAGTCTCCCTCTGTTCAAGCTTGACTTAAATCATTTATATGGATATAAAATATATAAATGTACAGATTTCTAAAATCCCCTTTTAATATATTATTCTTTGTAGTTCACAATCCTTGTATTGTTACTTGCTGCAACTATGCAAACTCTGAATAAAATAACTAATTCGTTGAACTGTTCAGAAGAGCCCTCAAAAAGATTCAACGTTATCTTCACTCCCTCTCATAGAGGAACGAGACAATCTGAAAAGTGAGAAATACTACAAAGCTTGGATCAACGTGCACTTTTAATGATAATCCCCTTTTTTTCTGTTCATGTCTGTGGAACATAGAGATAACAGTGGCACATTTTGCCTGATCACCATCATAGCCGAGGGCATTGTGTCAGCAGCAGAGTCGTGGAAGGACCATGTCTCCTCCTCTATCAAGATTTAAAGTGATGATGGCTGAGATGGAGAGAAGGGTACAGAAAATGAAGGAGGGAGTGGCAGAGTGAACAGGGGGGGAAGAGCGACTGAATGAGGGGGATAAAAGAGAGATTTAATGATATCTTTGAGATTCACATGTACTAACGCCAAGCCTCATGAATGTGTTTTTGTTTTTCTGTGCACCTCAAGGAACATCTCTCTTTTTCTAAGCTCAACGATGCTTGAAGATGAATGCATGAATGCACACACACACATACACTCAAAAGCATTCACATAGGTGTAAAAATACACAGAAGCTGACAAACACACAAACACGCACAACCCCGTCCTTGCGACGTGCTCTTGTCACACCCACACTCAGATTAACTGACGCATATCTGAATCTCTGACTCACAGAAGGAGACTAAAACCATGTTTATATATGCACAACACTGATGTATTCATTTGAACATCTCCCGCATTCTATTTCACAGCAATTTCACAACGAGTTTCTGAGCCCAGATTCTTTGCTTGAAGTATTTTGGATCTAAGATAAGACCTTACAACGTGGAGACAAATGATTCTGACAGGAGTGTGCCAGAAAAAAGCCTCCTTGTGTGAAAGTCAGTATTCAAAATGAGTTGCTAGCCTCCATGGGAGGAGCTTTGATTTGTGCTCAAACACAATCCTTCACTTCAGATAAATATTTAACAGAACAATAGTTATTCTTGCATGTACAGAAATCTGATGTGCTACAGTATGTTTCTCCCCTGGCTACAAAATGCACTTCGACTTTTGTACTTTGATGCAGATTTCTGTCCCTTATCAGGGGTCACAACCCAACATTTTCTCACTGGCCTCTAGTGTTACGTTGCCATGCAGATATTTTGTTTGTCCAGGTCAATTCAACAGCAACGTCTTTGGAACTCTGGATAATCCACAGAACTGTCAGCTGTTTCTCAATTGGGACTATTTCTTCAATAAAAAGTAGTTCCAATTTAAACTAATCACAACAAATGTATCTTTCAGGCGTGGAGGGCTGGCAGAGGGTGTAGCTCAGTAGCTCAGTAGCAACCACGGTTGGTTGGTTTACAAACACTACAGAAAGTTTAAAGTGCTACAGCTCCTCGAGAACCACGCAGAGTTCATGGGAAGTGAAACAGAGTCTATATCTAACTAAATTTTTTTATTTCAGTGAATAATAATAAATAAATGCCTGAATGTGTCAAATAAATATTACTCATATTTATAGTCTATGACTTTTCTGCACATAAAATCAATACAAGGTGCTTTGTAAAGACTAGGGTTAGGGCTAACTACCTCAAAATCTTGATGTCAACAAATAGGTGTAACAGTCGAAACTGTGAAATGTAGCTTTACGATACCGTGTTGCTTAGACTTCGCTGAATGGCGTACCTGCGGTGAATGGATGCCTGTTGCTGAGCTCCTGTTTTTTGTCTTTTGCTTCTCAGCTCAAGTGTAATGTTTAGATTAAGTGCAGCCACTGTTCTGTTCATGTATGATAAAAGAGAAGCCGTACAACCCGACTTGATCAGGTCGATGTGTTAGTTAGAAACAATGAGCAGTGTGGAAACCCCCAGTACCAGCATGGCTGTGTGTTTGTGATTCTTTCGACTCTCTTCAAGTTAACGTTAGCTCAACCAAGAAACACAGACCCAAACTGTTACATAGGACGGAGTTGCTTTTGCAGCAGTGGTTAAATCCCCGAAGCAAGACACAAAGAATCAAACTCAATACAGTGTGTATGGATGTGGTAACAGCTCAAAACACAATTTTAACTCTGTGTTTAAACCTCGGCAGTGACAGCCTGCACATGTACTCACCGTGACTGTTGCAGCGTAAGGTCTCCACCAGCCTGTTGTCCTGGTCGTAGCACACCATGGCCTGGTAGCGGTAGCCCTGTCCGCACTCCTTGATGTCTCCCTGGACCTTCATCCCCAGGATGCTCTCCACTCTGCCTCCCTCGGGCAGGATGCAGTCTGACCAGTTCCCCACTGGCTGGGCATTGTACTTGTCACAGGGGCAGTACTGGGTCTCACTCAAAGGGTACATTTGTGTATTCTTGCACTTGTCTTTTTTCTTGCTTCTCCCTAAGGAAAGCAGAGGGAGAGAGATGAGTTGGACAGCCTTGGGTGAAATGACTCCACATGGCTGTTGGTGTTGGTGGATTTATGTCTGTGTTGGTTTGAGTCTCATGATACTCGAGGCTACTTTCAAGGACTTGTTTGGGATAGTGTACCCACTTAAAAAAGGCTGAATAACACAGGAGTTTCTGTCCCTGTTGTGGGAGGGGGGGCAGCAACTCTTGATGATAGATTACGCTGGTGAAATAGTTTCAAGCAGAGTGCTCTTTTACCGAAACAGCTTGACGTTTTTTTTCATCCTTAGACATGTCAAGCATCGTTAATCATAGATCACTGTGCAAAAAAACTTCTTCCTTGCAGTGGTCTATCATTAGGAGCTATTTCCCATGCAAATAAGGTGAGATGATGAGTTTCTAACTGCCCACGACATCTTTACCTGCAAGTGTCAGCGTTCGACTTTAAATCAGTATGTTTTTTGCATTAAAATGAATTCGACTGAGGTCTGTAAAGTTTATCCTGCATCAGGACCACAGGTGGTTGTGGCTAATTGCAAGAAACTCTGTAGCCTGCTATTATCTGTCTGTAAAGGTCACAGTGACCAACTGGCAGCAGAAGACACATTTTGCTCAACATAATCATCCACCTTTACTACCTGCTTTAAGGACACTGAATTTGTGTGCGTCATTTTGGTTTGTGAGGGTTAGGCCAACATTTAAGATATTGCTGATCCTTTTCCCCAAATATAGCTAAAGGATTCTGGATAAATCCACACCATCTCCTTCCTGATTTAAAGCTAAGAACAATTAAACCACCTCTTCAAAGGGTGTTTATATGCATTACTTGACCTCTCTGCTCTTTTACACTTCTGTAAATGGGTCAAAAGACTTCACATCAGGGGGAAATAAAAGCTTTTAAAATCCACTTTCTCTCAGTTTAAAAGTTGACTTTTTTCCACCCAGTAACCTCTCGTGGAGTTGCCTTAATGCATTGCACCACTCTTGTCATTTAGCTTTTATGACTGTGATGCACAGAAGACCTCTCTGGGGACACTCTGATTGATAACAAAGGCTGCAAAGATATTTCAGATTTGTTGCTTTAATCCCACTGGAGCATTTAGCGGGCAAGAACTATCTGAATAGATTTATGACCTTCACTTTACTCCTTTTCTCTTGGACCACTGCCCACCAACATTACCTCCCTAAATTGCCTGATACCTCTTAACACTTAAGCTACAGTGTAAATAAGCTTGTCAGAAAAAGGTTCAAAACAGCAGCCCATTGTTTGTGCTGTGCCACTCTCTGTTCCCACCTATCAATGCCCTCTTTCTGGTGCGGACCCCAACACAGTCAGCTGTGCAGGACGAGAACTTGGACCAGTTGGTCAGCTGGCAGTCATCCTGGCAGGGGAGCTGACAGCGCTGAGTGATGGTAGGCATGGCCTTGGCGAATTTCAGACACTCGCCGATGTCGGCCTGCGTCCCGTCCAGCTGGCGGCAGGACACAGCTGGAAGAATTAGAGAAAGACGGGTCAAAAGGACGTCATTAGAACGTGTAGGGAGCCATAAAGTGGTATATTTTTTATTGTTTCAACAGATTGATCGGTTATAGCAGGTATTAAAATGTGCAGGACAATGATGTATGGTAATAAAACAGGAAATAAGTGAAGTACATTGGTGGAAAATACATTTATTTAAGTACCAGACGCACTTGTACTTTAATTCCATATTTCCATTTTAATGCTACTTTATACTTGAAAGTTGCAGATTCAGATTTTCTAGACAAAACATATAATTAGCTTACAGTATAAAATATTAAGCAAGAACATTTAAATACTGCTGACTCGTTATTTTATCTATGCATACCAATAATCCAATAAGAGGAGCCAAATGTCTGCATATATCTTTACTTATTGATTGCTTTTTGACATTTTTTGACAGAAATTTATTTAAGTTTTACTTACAAAAATAGTTTGACATTTCCGAAAGTTTGCTTTGGTACTGAGAGTTGATGAGAGGAATTGAATGAGGAGGTCAATAACAAGCGCATAGCTGTCTGATAAATACAGATGGAAGCTAAAGCCAGCAGCTAGTTAACTGACAGCAGGTCAGACGCTAATGTAATAGTTTAAAAAAAAACAAAAAACACAAAAAATGAAACTACGGGCCAGACTAAGAGAAAGAATTATTTTATTTTTTTGGAAATTACAAGAATAAAGTCGTATTAATACGAAAATAATGTAATAATATTACAAAAAAAAAAGTTTTAATGAGAAAAAAGCTTTGATAGAGTTATCAAGATCGGACGTGAGCAGCTCAACCAAACAGCAGCCTCAGCCTGAGCCCAGCAGCCGCTGTTTATCTCAGTCGTACCGTACAGTCAACAGGTAAACTAATGTATTGATAATTTTGTCATTAAACAGTTTTACTGGCTGAGCCAACAGGCTGACAGTTCTCAGTCTTACGACTTTATTCTCGTAATGTTACGACTTTATTCTTGTAATATTATGACTTTATTTCTCAAAATGACGAACTATTCCTTTAATAAATACCTAGCACTTAGATGCTAGATACAATTGCTAAATGCAAAACTGTACTTCCATAAATTTAAGTAATGGCAACTTAGTAGTTTTCTCAGGCTAGATGAAGCTCTCCTCCAGAGTCACAGAAAACATCCTACAAATGTTTCCACAGTCTGAGTAGTAACTCCCTTCTAACTTGTAAAATCAAAAAGTAAGATATTCCCATTACTTCTTCCCCCCACTGATGAGCAACATAACATCAAACAGAGATTTAAAGAGGGTAACTAAAGAGTTAATGAAAAATAGATCAGAACTGTATAATTCAGATTTGATCCCATGGGGGGGGGGAGCAGACACAAATGCATATCTACCTCAATTGGTTTAGAGCCCACAAGTCAATTTAAGTTGGCTTGCATCATCCCCATTCTTTGTTCTTTCAATAAAGGGTATTACTTGTGTTGCTGCAATATTTCATTTGATGCAGACGTTCTGCAGGGCTGTACCTTCACAGAGAAATCAATCTCTAAGCACATTTTTTTGCTGAACCCCCGTGGGCACTGATATTGGTTTGGAAAGCCTGTGTCTGGTGGTGTATGAGGTCAGGTCTTTTCTTGGTGTGTGTGTGTGTGTGTGTGTGTGTGTGTGTGTGTGTGTGTGTGTGTGTGTGGGTTTAATAGTGGCACTACACTGTTTTCTCCCCTCTAAGGAAAGCCTCTGTCCAGGTAAAGAACACACACATTAGAGTGACAGAAAACACAGACCAGAAAAGACAGTGTGTCTCATTTGGTTTAAGTCAATGACAAAATGATTTCTGCCATTTAGAAGTGTCAGAGGGGTGAAAACAAGCGCAGGAGGGTCCGGACATCAGGTGTCACATGGTATCAAATCAGCGAAAAAAGCAGCACAGAAATCTGGAATAGCGCGGCGGCTAAGACTTAAGTGGACCTTAAAGCATTTTCATGAATAAATTGATTCTTCCATCCATTACTGTAAGCTAGCGAAGAAGAAATAGAAACATAAGCACTAATAACGGCCTTCCATAGGAGCTGGAACATAATGAAATTGATCATTCTGCGTGACCCCCTGAAATTGGATTTTTATGAAAGCCTCCCAGGACTACATGGTGCATCCATCCTCTATAAAAAGGCAAGAGGAAATGTGCTTTAAAAAAAAAAAAAAGAGAGGACTATAACCTCTTTAAAGTACTTGTCACTTATGCGTGAAGCCCATATGAACAGGATGTCGGGCTGACGCATGCTATAGGCAAGGTGCAGCAACTTCTCCTAAATTTCAACAAGAGACATTCGATTAAAATTGCATGACAAGAGCCCGAGGTGGAAAAAAACCCAAGCAGTGAAACAACCAAACCTGTCAAACAAAGTCTCAAGAGGCACATGATGAGTTGTGAACACATTTCCTTCCCCCAAAACTCGGGAAGAAAAACCAAAGAATAAAATAAAAACAACAAAAAAAAGTATCTTGTTGATGTTTTTAAGGAGCCTCCGTTTGGGTTGTGTCTCGTAAGTGGGAGGATTTGATGTTCGCCATAAGTAAATTGGCCTTTTCTCTAAACCTTGGCGCATCCATCTGCTGCCTTGTGGCCGGGCTCCAGATGCACCGCAATGAGAAAAAATTTAATTTACAATGATTAGGAATGGTTCAGTGAAGATGCAAGGAGGGAAATGGGAGATGAAGAGATTGGTTTCTATACCTCTTGTCTGAAGCCCGGGTCCACAGGTCTCCTGCGCGCCCGCACTGTTCTGTCTGATGAACCAAGGGACCAGCTGGCATTTCCTCCACTTGTGGGTTTTCCACCTGGAATAAATCAGGACGGTATGGCCGTCAGTGGGCTCACTATTACACTACAACATCGCACTGCTCCATGTAAGACAGTCAGTGTGTAATAGAAAGGTTTGTATGTTGGGCTTAAAGTCAAAGAGATTTCCTTTAAAATGCTTCACAGGTTTCAACTTATTGTTATTTGCAGAACTCAAGAAAGACATTGATGTAAGTTCTGTGGAGACCTCAGAGTATATAAACTATTATAAAATAACAAACGTGGAGGAAACTGTCAGGTTTATTGCTGATGATATCTCCCCTTCACATTATGTTACCTTTAATTTAATTAATTTGCTTATTATCTTTACTAAATTCTAAATTTCTAAGCAAAAAGACTCCATGTGCACATCAAACAATACAATTCCTCTATATCTGAATGTACAAACAAAAAAGGTGTACATATAACTATTGTTGGCTCTACAAGATATTTATTTAACATTTTGTGTGTTTGTTTTATTTTTTCAAACTTTCTCATTACCTTTAGTCCCCCCTGCACACTTGTGATTACAGACTCAAGCTGTATCCACCAGATGGTTGAACTTGTTTACTTATTAAATACAGTTTAAAAATAAAACTATTTGAGGAAAATTATGGACCAATATTGTGATTTATATTGCATTTATTTTCTTTATATTAGGCTACAGGCCTGTATTGGTCATGTGTATAGTATTAAACATACCAAGCATCATCACAAACTCATCGCACTACTACATAAATAAAAGTCTGACATATTAATCGAGACATTATCGAACTCGAAGTGCAATAAGCAAATCACAGAATAAAGGTATATAATTATATAATTATAATGAAGTACTGTAGTGCTGCAGAGGAGTCCTGGTGTGATGAATGTTCTTATCATGATGATTTTAATAGTTTTTTGTGTTTTTTTTTTTATTGGTGGAAATTTAGTCTGTGATGCCAAAATGATCATTCCCACATATTCCTTAGTTAATCAATCGCAATATGATGTGTTTTAAACCCTATCATGCAGCCCTAGCTCCTTTTTGTAGAGGATCAGTGAGAGAAATTTATATATTTTCATCTTTTGAAGTTACATTTTGACATATTCAGGCTCACATTTAATATAATATCTGAAACATTATGTTAGTGGTAAAGTTGACATTACTCAGTAACTATTCAATCAAGAGGTTTAAATGTGGCGTTACTGTATATTCTTTCTCTACTGATATCTTGTAAGTAATCGATCAATATATGAATGTATATCGTGCTGACAGCCTCTAACGGTGCTACTGGTGCTCCAGTTTACTGTTAGATAATTGAGTTAACATTTGCTTACAGACGCGGGCGAACGACTTCAAAACCCAAAATCCTGGAGGTCTAATTTTTTTAAAGGTTACTTATAAGCTTTATACGATTATATAATGCGCTTAAAAGTTTACGTGGGAGTTTCAGGAAACTCAAGATCGTTTATGTACAAGATGAGTGAGTGATCACTCTGTTGATCTTTCCTGAACAGAATAAAAATAAACAGCAAATTTCTTATTTTTCAAGCATCTAAAATGATACAGAATGAGTCGCACTTTTTTATGACCTAAACGTTTTTTTTTTTTTTTCATCTCTAAGAAACAACAACAAAAAAAACTAAGAAAATTAATTAAATTCAGGAGTATCAACCTGAATTAGTGTTAAATTATTGCTGCTATTATCAGAAAATAAACTATTGGTGCTCCTGAAGTGCAGCAGTCTGAAGTTAAGATTACTGACTTTGTTGAAATGATACTAAAAATCCTTAAAATAGCGCTTTGTCTCATATTCACCAATAAACAGTTCTGATCAATGCTCTGAACTTATTAAATCTTATTAATTGTTTCACCACAGAGCTACAGTAGGTCTTATTGCTCAATACAGTCCAACAGAGCCAATGAGTTAATAATTTATGGTCACAAAACACCAAATATTCCTGTAATCTAATTAAATCTGTTAGTGTTTACTTTTTGTTGGCCAGCATGATGAATAAGAAAGTGTGCATCTATAAATGTGGGTTGTATTTGAAAATATATGATAAGATGAGGTCTATAAGGGTCCTTAAAATCATCCCCACCCCTTTTTTTTTTTTTAAATTCCCTCTCCCCCCCCCTTTTTCCCCCCCCTTTTTTTTTTTACCTAAACCCTGGAAAAATTTGGGGGGCTCCGAGGCCCCCCCCCCCCCAGGACCTCCGGACAGTCCTGTCCTCCGTTGGATGGCAGCTGGATGATGAGACGTTTCCTTGATTGCTTTCTCTTCACTGCGTTACCAGCTGCACAGACACAGACAATTACTGAATTAAAACAAGAACTGTCTGCATGGGAAAAGTGATGAGAAATATGTCAAAATGATAAGCTAGGCTGCTCTGTTAATACTCCTTGAAAAATGGACTTGAG